GGGCAGAGAGAGAGAGGGTTACAGTGGGGAGTCAGCTAAGCTTCCATTTTGGCTACTTTGAAAAGATTACATTTGAATCAACCTGAATTTTCACTTTAGTGAATAACTCTGTTAGATTTGAAATTCACCTTGCAGCCTGCTTTTTTGGGAGCATTATTGATAATATCATTGTCTTTTATTGTATACTGGTCTCTGAGGAAGTTCCCTGGTGGACGAAACTCGTAAGATCAATCCTTGTTTTATTCTTTTTTTAAATCAATAAACCTCTTTTTCTACCTGTAGGAGTCCTGCATGGTTCGTGATACTGGGTGATACCTGATCCTAAGAGGGAGATACTAGCCCCCCAAAACATCAGGGGAGGCACCAATAGAGCACATATATTTCAATATCCTGTGAGTGTAATCTATAGCAGGAAATATTACATTTCCAAACAGTATTATGCTATGTTTTATTTTATTTGATTTTAGATTCATCAGCTGAGTCCCACATATATTGTATTTCTAGTCTTGTTTAGACGTAACACTACTTGGGAGGTGTTCAGTGGGAAGCTGTTTTTTCTGTTTATTCTGATTTAGTATTTAAATTCTTTTTTCTTGTTTTTGTTTTCTATCATGCCCCTACAGCCCACTTGTATGTGATAGACAAATGATAAACAAAGATATGGCAAAAAACATCTCTTTTCAAGAACAGTAATCTGCATTCTAGATTGCAAGTTCTTTCGAGCAGGGTCCACATCTACCTATTGTTCCCTTAACATTTTGTATTTGTCTCATCTATTATTAAATTCCCCCATTTATAATATTGTAAAGTGCTGCTGCTATATGTTGGCCCTAAACAAATGCTGATAATAATAATAACCCTGCTCGATAAGGAAGCTTGCGATTCTATATGGCTGATAGCCTTGCCTGTGAAATATTAGTCTGGCAGGACACGTTTGGGAAATTGTGTTATTGGAAAGGAAATAGTCACTAGTGACACCTATGTAATGATATGTGTATCGGTCCAAGAATTAACATTCTGTGCCAGGGAAGTGATGTTATCACAAGGGAGCAGTCCGGCCGCCTAATTAACACTACAGGTCGAGTTTCATGTGTTTTCTTTAGTTGTTCAATAATGCATAGCTAACAGATGTCAAAAATCCCAATGGGAATCAATTTCAGCTAACTTATGTTATAAAACTGTAGGCGATCAAATTACTTTGTGCAAAATATATATTTTTTAGAAAAAAAAAGTATGGTGTATGTTTTATTATTGAAAAGAAAAACGTGTGCTGTGTTTGCATCATATTTGAAGAAAACTGCCTGGCCAAATGTAATGATACAATCCTGAATTTATTTCAATCAGATTTCAAAAATGTATGAAAAGCTACATTTTAATTTGATTTTCTCATGATCTGTGCACAATTAACTGAGTTTTTCAAAAAGTTACCAAGGGTTACCCTATTTGTATTCTTTCCCAATGGATTAACGTCTGGAAAATATTAGTATTTAAGACTGACATATAAAATATATATTTTATTGTTGATGTTTTATGTGTTTTAGAATTAGTAACACAGTCTTACAAACGTATGTGTACATGAGATGTGATGAAAGTTTTGTTTACATTGCTTACTAAATATGGAATGCTATTGCCACCATGTGGCCAAGGAAATCATCTGCAGTTAGAATGGTTATTCAGATATTTTCTCAAAAAATATTCTATATTAGGATTACAACACTATTTGCAGGAACAAAACATTAAAAAAAAACAAAAAAAAAAAACTTAATAACCTTTTCAATATATTAACACCAAAGTAGACTTAATGGCTAAAAATAATAACTGGAAAGATAAAGTGGCTGCACCTTTTCTGTGGACACACACAGTCAGACACACACACACACACACACACACAGTCACACACACACACACACAGTCAGACAGACACAAAGACACACACACACACACAAACACACACACACACAGTCAGACACAAACACACTAACACACACACAGTCAGACACACACAGTCACACACACACACACACACACAGTCAGACACAAACACACAAACACACACACACACAGTCAGACACAAACACACACACAGTCTCACACACACACACACACACACACACACACACAGTCACACACACAGTCAGACACACACACACAGTCACACAGTCACACACACACACAGTCAGACAGACACACACACACAATCACTCACATTAACACTTTTCATTTACCCCCCGCCAATCCCCTTACCTTTGGGAGTGCTGGGGAGGGGGTTCCTCTTTCTCCCTGGTGGTCGAGTGGCTGCCGGTCGGGCTGATGGGCTGGCTACTGGGAGCGGGCAGCTGGCGACGGAGCTCTTCCTCTGAGCTGACTGCTCATCTCCCTCCGCGCCGCAGAGTGATGCTGGGACCCGGGTTGATGACGTCATATTCCGGCTCCCAGCCTCACTCTGCCGCGCGCGAGGGAGCTGAGCAGACCGCTCAGAGGAAGAGCTCCCTCGCCAGCCGCCCGACCAACCATCAGCCAGCGCCTTTTTTGACGCCCCCTGAAAAATGCCGCCCAAGGCAAATGCCTTGTTTGCCTCATGGCTAATACGTCCCTGATTACGTGTCTGTTAGTCCACCCATTGTACAGCGCTTTGGAATTTGCTGGCGCTGTATAATTCATAAAATAATAATAATAAAGTGTACTGATGGATCACAATACATGCATTTGACTGGAAAATTAACATATTCAGACATTGTTCAAATCGCACTCTTAAAGAATGTAATGTACATCATGCCATTCAGAAGAGGTATTGGTAAATTAGCATTCGCAGGATATTATATAAATACACTTCTGTTTTATCAATATTATATTTGTGTATGCAGTAGGACAAAACTAAACAAAAAATGTGATTGATACACATTGTGTTTGTTATTTTTCATGTTGTCCATTAATAGTTAGTGTATAACAGGTACAATAAAAAAAATCTTCAGCTAGGCTTTAAAAACAAACTGCAAGCCCAGGAGTAAAGCCAAAGGAAACCAATGAACTTTAAAGTTTAAAACTGACGAAAGAAGATTACCATGACAACGGGAGACAGCTTCAAATAGGTATATCTATTTTACAATGCACTCCAGGGCCACCAAGCCACAAGTGTGAATTTCATGCAAAACAGGCAAAGTACCCATGGGTGCTTTTTTCCTTCAAAGTATTTTATGTTAACTTGTTGACGACTTTTTTTTTTTGCACTTAGTCCTGTGTTAGCCAATCATGGGTTTGTTCAAATGTTTTAGATTTTTTTAATTGGCAAATTATCTGCAAAACTACGCTATGTTTGTGTTGCTTTCTTTAGTTACTATGTTTTATTTTCTAATTTAGCCAATTCAATTGCCGTTTTAAATACCTTTTTTTTGCTTGCAAAAGCATATGTTAGTACAAGTGAAATGCTGGCAAAACTAGCAAATAAGCAGCAATATGCTACTGTTGGAGGTATCCAGCAATACTCCAGTACATGCCAATAAAGTTGCATAGTGCTGCAAGGTGCCAAAGCAATCAGATGTCTGCCAGAGCACCGGCAGATCTATAGTGCTGTAACTAAGGACCAATATGTCAGAAGCACATACTTTTTTTATTGTTCCCCCTCATATAGCAACATTTGGGAAATGTTTGCTTTTCTTGAGAGAAATCAGGGCGTATGTATGGATGTGGATTGAGAAGGAATGCACAGGTTGTTGACAATCCACAAATGTTCATTTTTTTTTTTTAGAGAATGATGGAGGAGCAGTAGGTAGAAACATTTGGCATATAAATTTAAAATAATAATCTCTCTAAAAATTCTTAGTGCATATGCATACACGATATGAAAGTATTAGTTACAAGCAATACGGAGGGTGTGCATCACCTGTCAATCTATGGTGGACAGGAAGAAGAGAATGAAGGACGGAGGTACCAAGGATGCGCTTTCCTCTGATCACCCAGAATCAATGCTTGTTGAGTAAAAAGTGAAGGAATGACATAACACATCAGTGCTAGACGACAAAAAGCATGTGTACGATCATATGAGTAAAATATATAACTTTTAAGGTTACCTAAAAAATAGAGAGCACTATATTTCTATCTATTTATGCGTGTGGCTGAATTCAAATAGATGAACTTATGAAAATTAAAGAAACATTTTATTTAGATATGTATTTGTGAAATGTTTGCGCAGCACATAATGAGTACTGTTTTTTAAGTATACATTTTTTTTTTTTATAAAACACTGTTTGCTACATGATTGGTGGCAAAACAATTTGACATGTCCATAATCACACATACAGCATTATTTCCTTTTTGTTAGCCAACCATCATAAATTATTAATCAGTTTTATGTTTTACTCTGTAATTAAAAAAGGAAAATAGAGAGGAGGCATGGGGACTGTAGTTCAACAGTAGCCCACATTTTTTGCCAGAAGTTTGGAGAATTTATCTGCCCCTTAAAGAAATTATTCATAATATGGATGGTGATTTTATTGGAAAGGCAGTAAGTAATGGTAAAACATTTGATTTCACCAGATTTTTGTATTAATTATCTAGTTACAACAATATTTCACTAGTTTTTTTCTGCATTTATTTTAGATCTTTGAGATCATCATTAAAGGGAGTGCAGGTATATTTAATAATTATTCTACCTCACTATATCACAGTGTATTTATCTATATACACATGTAACTTTACACTTTTTTGGTTCGTTTTTCCAGTTTGTTTGGTTTTATTGTCCAATGTTCATATTTGTACACTGTGTTTTTAATACTTTCTGCACACCTAATTATCTATTTTACTGCCTTGGGAAATTTGAATCATGATTCTTTTTAGGTTGCTGTATCTGAAATTGTTTGATACTGTGTTTTGGGTGTTACGACGTGCACTTTAAGATCACTTGCGCCACTTTATTTTGCTTTTATTCTTTTTAACGGTAGAACAAACATACATTAAAATTGCCAAAGCAGCTTCAGTAATAAAAACGCAGAATATCAAAAAAAAACTATAATCCAACCATCATTTATTGTATAATTATTATTTACTACTATACAAGTGTATCTAAGCAAAAAAAAAATAATATAAAAATACAAAAGTATGTCACTATGACCCACAAGCATGGAATATTAACATCATTCAAATACATTTACATATGTACGTGTGTTCATATACATGCTGTCAACAATGCCAATCTAACTTGGCTTTTACTTTTATTTTGAGAATCAAAACAGAGTTTCTTCTACACAATCTCTCTTATAAAATATTTCATAAGACTTATTACTCAGATTATTTAAATATTTGTTTACCTCTGTGTCTATGGCATATGTATTTTCATATGTATCATATAATTTATTTTCTTTACATACTATTTAAATTTAATTTCTTTGGTGTTTGGTTTATGGTGTTTGTGCACACATATTGTCTTTACAGAAACACTCCAAGCTGTAGTGTTTATGGTGCCAGGAGGGCCTAGCGTACCTCTATTGTACTTTGTCAAACCATATTTGAATGCTTTTACCTGTGATCCTCTGTGTGCTGCTTCCTGCCTCTACTACAAATGCAATCAGCTGATGTTCTCAGTCATTGAGCTCTGCCCTGCATGCATGGCTTCGTTCAGGAGTGGTGCTAACAGAAGTTCCTTCTTAGAATTCAAAATAAGTTTTAACTGCGGTTGACATGAAACATTAACCTTTATTGTAAAATCTTATTTTAAAAAAAGGCTTTAAAAGAATATATCATAATTTCAATGATAAAATAAATTAAACTGCTAGTCTAGGTCAGCTTAAAGTAGTTTGCCAAGTCTCCTAAGCTTTTGTCAATAAAAAGTTAATATAAAAATGTGAGATAAAAAAGCTAAATTTCATAGGAGTTAGAAAGAAGCAAGAAACCTGAGTCTTTCTAGGTCAGATTTTCAATATGTAAAAACTGTAGAATCCTTACTAGATGAACAAGAACCTCAGATCTCTCCCACCTCCGTATAACCCAATAGCACATTGTCAGAATGTACATGCCTGGAGGTGTTTTCCTCTGTGATTATGAAACCCGCAGATCGGTTGACAAAATCCGAAAGAAGAGCCACGAAAGCACTTTGCTCAGAAACTGATGTTGATGATTATTAAATCATCTGACAAGGAAGGTAATATAGTATTGTTGAATAAAGACAATTACGTACAAATGTACATGGAGTATCTTGCTGACACTGGTGGTAATAGGGTCCTATCCTCTGATCCGCCTGTGACATTATTGTAACTTGGATACAGAATCTCCCAAATCTGAAACGCAATTGTAAATAAATCTGGAATGTACTCACTTCAATTTATAACTATTGTAAACAATAAAGTTGATGAAAGGAATAGTAAAAGCAAGATTTTTTTCCCCATGTGCTATATCTTATGCAAATTGATTAAAAAAAATGCCTAAAATGAATTATAATGTTAAAATCACACTTTTTTTTATTTAAATCTACTTTAATTTTCCTGTCCTCTCTGCGAAGAGACTGATTAAAGGACCACTATAGTGCCAGGAAAACATACTCATTTTCCTGGCACTATAGTGCCCTGAGGGTGCCCGCACCCTCAGGGTCCCCCCCTTGCCCGGCTCTGGGGAGAGGAAGGGGTTAAAACTTACCTTTTTTCCAGCGCCGGGCGGGGAGCTCTCCTCCTCCTCTCCACCTCCGATCCTCCCTTTCGGCTGATAGGAAAGCATTTCCTCATAGGAAAGCATTTACAATGCTTTCCTATGGACGCTTGCATGTTCTCACTGTGATTTTCAATGAGACAGCCACTAGATGATTTGGAGGCTGGATTAACCCTGTTATAAACATAGCAGTTTCTCTGAAACTGCTATGTTTATAAAAAAAGGGTTAATCCTAGAGGGACCTGGCACCCAGACCACTTCATTAAGCTGAAGTGGTCTGGGTGCCTAGAGTGGTCCTTTACGGGTTTGTTTTCAATGTTGATGTTAAATACTAGCTGTGAGCTATTTACCAATAAGTTGTGTGGCCAACCCTTATTAACGTGTGCCTCTACAGATACCTATCACTTAATAGTAACTGAAATGGCATGCTTTCATCACCATAGCAAACACAACTGGATTGTATACACCCTGCAAATGCATATGTCGCCTGTGATTGGCTACAGTGAGATAGACAAAAGGAGTTATAAGCTTGATGTACATGATACTACATGTAGCAAACTGTAATGTTATACAATGGCATATTCATATCTGTGTTATGGGCCTGTGGGCCCTAGTTTTTCCCTTAGCTTTTGAGGTTAATGTCTGTTAGGCTAATTGCTCATTTAAATGACACATGCATTTTATTTGCATAAAGATTTTTTTTTTTTTTTAACTCACGTCTCTTGGCTTTTTGATTTTATTTTTTATTGATGGATGACATACTTTGGGATGCACTTTAGTATTTAAATGTGATGACATACTGTATACATGACATGTATTTTTTCCTACAGGATGTATTGGAAATTTGTGTTAGTTATAAGGTTATAACTTGACTTTATCTTTACAATTAGCTGAGCCAGGTTTTAATTTTGGTAAGATAGCAGTAAAATGTAGCATCTAATGTGGAAAAAAGTCAGTATAGAAACTGGTTAAACCCACCCGGTATTTACCAATCACAACTGGTATGATGTAGAATTAAAACAGCTATTAGTCACTAATGTTAGCAACACCCATTTTAACAATTAGCGGTTTGTCAGTAAAAGTGAACAACATTGTATAGCTAAAAGCCAAGAGATGGCTAAATCTTAATTTACCCGCATTAATCATGTTGAGTTAAGTGAAATAATTTGAATAATTAACCATTGTTCAACTTATTAGTAGACCTTTTACAAAGGTAATTATGTATAAAAATTTGTGTTGACATTCAGCCCTTACAGATCAAACACGGGCTTTATATTCAAGATTTCCCGGCCTAAACAAAGATGGGTAAAACTAGATAACTGACAACTGATTAATTCACATTAGACAGCTAATTAAGAAAGAGTTTGGTCCTATCATACTTGTGTTTAATATTCCTACTATTTATTTTTCGGCAATAAACCGTTCCCTTAACAGTCAACAGCTATGTTTTTTTGTGTGCATAGAATAAATAATTCACTAAACAATGTGTGCATTCTCTGACTCTGTTTTCTTCTTTTTTTTCACATTATTCTATTTGTTCATCTGTACAAAAATAGCTTCACATGTTTTTTGGTTCCTTTTTAAATTTTTTAGTTAAGAAATTCAAGGTGAATTCTTGAACGGCAGTGCTATGGATCACCCACAGTGGAATACAATTAAAGATACGTCCCTAAAAGAGAAAAAAATTGAAATATTATCAACATGTAATAGGCATAATAATTTATTTTCTTATTTTCTTTCTCCATTTATCCCTCCCTTTCTCATAGAGATATTTAGGAGCTCTATATACTTGTTAGAGCACATTAAGCACTTGTCTTTAGCGTTGTCTCAAATATGTCCTGTATGTTATCTGTAAAGTTGTACCCATATCTCAACCCAATACGGTCTACATTCTAACTATGAATGGAGACAAGTAAGCATTCAAGCTATTTTAGGTTCTATAGTGTGGTTAGAAACTTATTTGTTACTTAGATTACATAGAGCAGACATTAACCCAGTCTAAAGCATTGTATGGTCATATTATGTAATTATAGCCTCAATTTAAAATTGTTGGATACGCTTTTCAAATGATATAGTAGTTTTGGACAAACTTTTACAAAACTTTTTTTTCCCAAAATATCTAAATCAAATACAGCAAGATATACAAATGTATCAAAAATATCAAAATATTGTAAAATGTGTATATGACATTGAATCATTGTACAAGTTTATCCAAAAATACTAACTCCTTTGAAAAGCTTATCCAACAGTATTACATTGAAAATAATAACTGAGTGGCAAGGTGATAATAGCCCACACCAGCTAAATCTGTGGAGAGCTGTAATAAATGGTACAAACCTCCCCACCCAAAAACATATAGTGTAATATAATTTTAACATATGAAAATATGTACTCACATAGGGCAGAGCATCAAATGAATAGGCTCAAATCACATGAATATATGTGTACTAAGGTGACACCAAACCTCTTAAATCGTCTAACAAGAGGAAACTCAAAAGAAGAACAATAATGTGGAATACAGTGCTGAAGTTAAAAAATGGATGAAGAAAATAATAGAGCTGCTCACCTTAAATAGAGCCTATTATAATCGGACCCAAGGAATACTGGCAAGTGTGTCTGGACTTCACAGCCCCTTATTTAAAATAAATTTTTGGGTACTGGACATTCTAATATTTAATATTCCCAACAATTTGCCTCTATCCAAAAGTTTATAGTAACTTAATTTCACTTCATTAGTGGGGTCATTGATCATTTCTTATACAAGTTAGTGTCCCCCAATAATCTAAGAGTTTCATTGTTATAATCACCTAAATCAAAAATAACTAATGCTCTGCTTTAAGAAAATATGGAAGACAGGCTGATCCTTCCTAAACACTCTAAGGGTTTGTCTTTTATTTTTACTTAAATTATACTCCTATTAGTAACACTCAGTTACTTTTTTTGCATATCAAGTGTGTGTAAATTTGGGGAAGTATTTGCACCTGTGTGGTAGAAGCGGTGCGTATTCATCACAGATACGTGTTTTTTTTTAAATACTAAATTGAGGCTTATATCCATTTTTTCAGATAGTCAATGTTATGCATTTTGATAATCTTTGCAGATGGAGTTCAATATGTTTGCTTTTTCTTTATTTGTTTTATCTTCCTGATCTTTGTTTTCTCCATGCAACAGACATTCCTTTCCCCCCCCAGCCTCTCCAGTCTTTATCTTTAGATACAAAATTACAAGAGAAAAACAGAACCATTTGGTCTGCATTGACAGCATACTTTACATAACAAATTTCTGCCACCTGACCCACTTCTCACCTTTAAAAAACATACAATTAATAGCATTTAATGGCAATATATTCTGTATCTGGAGTAATTACTAGTTTTATGTATTATGTATCAAATGCATTTATGCAAAGTGGATTTACTATGCATTTTCTGCTGCATTATTTTTGCAAAAACTACTGTGGACTGGATATATTATCTATCTTATTATCCATTGTTTTTTGTTTTTTATACTGTTATATATACACAATATACCCCAAAAAATGGTCCCCAACTACACCGAGAAAGGAACTTGAATGTAGAAACATCCCTAAAGATTACGTATCTGTTTATAATAGACCAAAGATCTACGTATAGAGACTAAAAAATAAATAGATAAGTGTTTGAACCAAAATGTGTCACATTACAAGTATGGAAATATTTAAAACAACATTAACACATAGCCTATGTAATTATTGGACAATTCCTTTATTTGATACTAGACATATGTGGGAAAAAAGGTAAATTAACTAAATGTCTCCCGAAGAAGGAATTATGTTCACTAAAATATTGTAGTAAATATAATAATTTCAAAATTAGAGTACTAAGCGCTGTAGAGGCTGAGTACTTGTAACTAAAAATTAAACTACGTATCTGCTAAAAGATGCTATATATCCCAGATAACTTGCAAAATAAAGCACTGGCAGTGATATATGAGAGCAATCAATTGAGCGAAGGAAAAGGAAGGGTACTAGCATAATTTGATTTCCCTATGAAACTAGGAATAGAGAAAAAAGGGAAAAGACATCCACAAGCCCACAGATTTCTTTAATCCCTATACGACCTAAGATTCACAGGAAATATAGAATGGAAGAGAAAAAAAAGCCTCCTATTACCTCGGGATTCTAAATCCATACTTATGGACAAAACCAGAATAGAAGTGATAGGGTGTAGGCTCAATTTCTTTATTAACTCTGAAAGTCCTGTCCCTGCATAATCATCTCACTATTGCATTTTTGAAGCTAATGCCATAAACTCCCCAAACTCATGGGTGTCACTACCTAATCCTAATTCAGTTTAAACTAAATAGTAAAATCCCATACCCTCGTGCACCCCCCAAAAAAACCCACGTAAAATGTTTTTACGTAGAATTAGATAGTATGCTCTGAGGAAACACGGGAAATTGATTTTAGAAAGAAAAAATAAGATGGCGATGCATGACTTAGTATTAGCCCAGGATAAATGAAGGAAGAGAAGGAAATAAAATATATCCTTACAAAGCCCATATACATCTATATTGATGAAGTTTGAATGATGTATGTATTCATATGTAACAGTTTGTCATAATGTTATTGTTTTATGTTTTAAGTATTCTCTAAAAGGAAAAATATGTAATTTGATTAAATTTGATATATTTTTCAAAAATGAAAAATAAAAGCTTGGCCATGGTTCTTTCAGCAGCCAATCATGTTTATCCTTCATACAAAATATGCCTGCAATATACATTTTCAACAAATATTTGTACAACTATAACAGAAATATACCAAAACTTCATGTGCTAGACAGCCAAATGTCTCGTTTCCAAGTTTTATGTAGCTCAGTGACTGGGTTACAAAATCTTCTGCAGATTTGGTAATGATATTTGTGTCTATTCTTTTTGTCATTGCAGTAGAGACGCCATATGGTGTCACAGCCTGTACAAGGAAAGCAAAAACATCAAAAGTCAGTAGAGTGAGATTGCTCACCATGGCCTCTGTTTAATAAGCTTTTATAAATGATTCAATACGGTTAGAAAAACTTTACAAATGATTGAACTACAGAAGTCACCATTAAAGTCTACGAGTTTTTGTTTTTTTGTCGGTAAATCATTTGAAAAGGTTTTCAAATAATATTATATCATTTAATATTATTATTAATAGAGGCACATATTGTAGATTAAATAGTCATATAGTGATATGGGTAATTCACCTGTATTTTTCAGGAGTATGGTAATCATATTCTGATATTCACTCTGACATTAATGTATTAATTAATCTTGTATAATTGGGTGGTATACATTTAAAATAGAAATATATAAAACAATGATTCAGATTTTCTGCATATATGTTGAATGAAAAAAAGCCAGTTATTTATTTTAGATAAGATGTAATTTTTTTCATTTATATTAGAGAGAGGAAAATGCCAATAGGATGAGAATTGTACCACCCCTCAGTATATAATAGACCACCAGCAATCTAACCAGAGGGTAGAGGATATATGAAAAACCATTCATTTTTTTATACCTTCCTACAATAAGGGTGATCTCAATTTGTTTGCATCAACTCCCCATTTTCACTTAAAGGGACACTCCAGGCACCCAGACCACTTCTGCCCATTGGAGTGGTGTGGGTGCCAACTCCCATCACCCTTAACCCTGCAAGTGTAAATATTGCAGTTTTTATAAACTGCAATAATTACCTTGCAGGGTTAAGTCCTCCTCTAGTGGCTGTCTATCAGCTTCTTAGAACACAAAAAGTGTTTTAAACGATGCTGGACGTCCTCATGCTATGCTATGCATGAGGACGTCCAGCATCGCCGGAATCCCCATAGGAAAGCACTGAATAATGCTTTCCTATGGGGAGGTCTAGTGCGTGCGCACTGCCATTGCTGAGCATTGCGCATTAGGTCTCCCTCGCCAGCTGACGGAGCCTGACCCAAAACCAAGGGACATCGGGGCTGGATTCAGGTAAGTCACTGAAGGAGTTTAACCCCTTAAGGACACATGACATGTGTGACATGTCATGATTCCCTTTTATTCCAGAAGTTTGGTCCTTAAGGGGTTAACCCCTTCAGCAACATGGGATGGGGGGTGAAAGGGAGGGGGGCACTGCGGATCCTGCAGTGCCAGGAAAACAAATTTGTTTTCCTGGCACTGGAGAGTCCCTTTAAGTATAGAGGATGAGAGAAATTAATTTAAATCAGTTACATACTTCACCAATGTCCCTATCTAGTGAGTTATATAAATCTTGACTGGTATGCAATTATCATTATCGTGTTTTTTCACAGAAAACTTTTAAGCTATTGAGATTCTTTGTTTGAGGAAATGTTGTGCTAAGTTGACTATAGCTGGGGAATATTATGGCAGAAATGCATCACAATTAATTAATTGACCACTTCACATTGCCACACATGTATACTTGTGTATAAAAATATTTTGTTTGCAATGATTGTGCTGATAGCATAGCCGGTGCTGCCTTTCAAGCACTGGCTCTACTCAGCTACCCTGCACAGCACAACACTGCGTTACTCACTGGCCAGGCAGCCCTTGGGCTGAGAGTAGTGCTCATCAAATGCTCTCACCCAGTCAGAGACCAAAAGGGGCATTTTTGAGCTGTCTGCTATCAGCAGATTCAGCTGGTAGTCCGCTGGATCACCAGGGAGATTGGATCCACCTGACCAACAAGGAATAAGGATCAGAGCCCCCACTCACTGCCATAAGGTAAACAGGTTGAGGACTCAACTAAAAATAAATAGAAAGAAGAGCAGGGAAGGCTGAACAGGGAAATGTAGCTTCCTCACACACAATCTACACCCAAACACACTCAACAGCCTGTCCCATCACATACACGCATTCACCTTGTCACACCACTCCCCACACACACATTACCTGTCATATCACCACCCCTTAGCCACACACACTCAGTCACACTATTGGTCTTCCCCTACCACACACAAGCACAGTCACCATGTCATATCATGTCCTCCCTCACACACACACACACACACACACACACACACAATCCCCTTGTCACTCCTCCCCCCCCACACACACAGTCACCTGCCAAACTTACCCCTAACACACAGTCACATTGCCAAAGTCACCATCACTCTGTTGCAATCATCCTTTCATACTCACTCCGTCACAACCACCCTGCCACAGTCACCCTTGTAAACACATAGGCACCCTTACAACCCCATTGTAAACGCAATGCACGCAACAAGACCACAAGTAGCCATCCCTCATGCATACAACTTAATGCAAGCAGCTCCCTTCAGACATATGCTTACAGACACAGAGATACACAGATAAAGACATGCATTGCAGGCACAGTCATGGATACACATACACACAGATATACATTTACAGATACTCACAATGATACTCACTGCCTTACACACACTCTCAGGCACATACATGCTACACATTGCCAGATATGCACACACTGTTACCAATACACACTGCCAGACACACACTGTTATTTCGTGTGTCTGTGTGTTATTGTGTGTCTTTATACATCAGTGTGTTTGTGTGTATGTGCATGTATCAAAGTGTACATATGTGTTATATCTAGGTATGCTATTTAGGCATATGTGTTGTATCTATTGCTATCTAGGCATATTGAAGCAAAAAATATATTTTAACAATAGACATTTGCACATTATTAGTTATGTTTTGCTTACTATTTTTTTAATTCAAACTTTTTTTTTAACACTTGTTAAGTGCTTTATTTGTCTGGAGCCTGTCACATTAGAGAGAGTTAATAAAAGTGCCAATTTCAAGAAATCTGCATTTTTATAATTGGGCAGAAACAAATTCTTGGCTATCAACTGTAAAGCCAGGGAGATTTTCTTCCGCTTGCATTAACTTCACAAAGAAGCAAAGGAAATCCACGCTTGTGACTGGTGTATTCCCTGGCACAGATAGAAAGTCTGAAAATCTGTACTTGGTTAGAAGGGGAGGGCTTGCAAAGACTGCAAAAAAGACATCTGCAGCTTTTGCAATCTGTTTTAGATATGTCCCAATGAAATATGCATACATTAGGGGCATTCCTTTAATTAAATGTTTTCTTATTTTTAAGTTCTCTTTTCCTTTCCACATGATGTAATGTTTTTATAACATTTATCCATAAATAGAGCATCTATTCATATATGAGACTAATTTACCTGAATAATAATCCCCTTTGATTTATATTCAGCTTGAAGGGCTTTAGAAAATGTTGTAACAAAAGCCTGTAATAAAAAGATGATATCAAAATGCAGCAATATAATTGATGCACATGGTTTATTGGATAAACTATAATTTGTAATTTGGAAGTTATTGTTAACATGAACTATTAACAATATCATTGCAATTACAATGTCACTGTTCCGATACTTGTCAACAGCCCGTTTACCATTATAAGTTTGGTTGACCTCACAAAGTCAAGCAATCGTAGTCCTTCAGAAAAAGAACTATTGACACATTATTGGAACCATTAGAGCCTTTGTAGTTCAACACCAAAAATAACTTGATAAACCACAACAATCAATAGCTCAATTAACTCATTTAATATAGGTCAAAACATTGGAAACTAAACAAGGATAATCATTAATCAAAACTTACTTTAGAAGCACTATAGAGAGAATAGAGTGGACAAGGGAAATATCCAAATGCAGAAGATATATTCAAAATAAGACCTCTCTTCCTAAAATGGAAATGAAACATTTTAGAGATATTTTAACATGATATAATTATCCCATAAATTAATTAAAATGAATTTTCTTTGGTAAAATTTTTTTTTTATTATCCTCCTTTAAACGTCTACTATTTCAGGAATGTTGAGAATAGAAGACAGACATGTGTATCTCTAGAACATAAAATATGTTGATATTGATTATGAAATCAGCTTACACTGGTGATTTTATCCTACACATGACACTAAATATAAGTATATGGAAAAGAAATTACATGATATAAACTGGACATGATGCATTAGAGATTGTAATGTGTATTATAGCATTTTCCATTATCCCTATGACTTAACTATGCTTTCTGATGCTTCCTCAAATTTATCCTCAAATAACATGAAAAAGGAAAAAGATGTTTCTCTAGATCACCGGTATGTAACCCCTGGATAAGGACGCAATATTGTATCCCTGTGCAATTTCAGTGGGTCGCCAATGATATTGCTTAGTTCCCTCGACAGCTTCTCATAAGAAGATGCTTACCTTGGCAGTACTGTCTTACCAAATGCTAATAAGTACCCTGAACAATGGGATCTTGCAAATTAATTGTGTTATATAATATCTAACAATTGAAGTATTGGCCACTGAATCAATTTAAATTGAAGAAAGAGTGGACAAGCACAAATGAAAGTTCATGTAAAAAAAAAAAGTTAAAAACCACTGCTCTAGCTAGCATTAATTTTTATAGTATTCCTGGAACCCACCCCCTGTCACCCCTTATCGTAATGACAACTCACAGAGTGCCACATATTTAGTCCCCTGTACCCATATTATAGATTTGGCAAGGTCATAACTTTGTCCTGTGCAGAAACAGAATGTCTGTGGCTAAATGTTTCCTCATTGGTTCTGTTTACATATGATCAATTTGTAGAAATGTTGATTCCAAAACATGTAAAATATAGGCGTTGCTAGAGGGGGCTTTGGGGAATTAAACCCTTCATTCCTGGATCTCTACATGTAAAAGGATATTAGTGCTTTGCAAAACCACAAAGGGGGAGAAGGTGATGCGGAACAGAACTTTGCTGCACACACTTCTATTAGTTAGGTAGCATGGCCAGATCACATTGAATATTTGGCTCTGCATATTTCCACTATGCTATTCTGGAGAGCATAAGCAGCATTCTGTTCATGGGTTTCAAGGAAGGGAGGTAATATAAAGAGGAGAGCATATGCCACGATATCTCTGTATTATTGCAGGGGGTTATCAATTTTGCACCAGGTGTTTTTGGAACCTGTTTAGACATTTTGAATATCTAAATGTCACAACAACTCAACCTTCTGGAGCTCTTTGTAAATCTTCAGCTTGAAAGGGTGGGGCGAGAGAGTGAGAAAGAAAGAAAGATATATCGAAGTAGATAAAACCATATAATAGTTAAAGTAAATGTATGTCTAAACACAAGGGAAAACATGATGGGCTTTTTTTGTATTGAGACCGTTCAGGTAGCAGCAAGAATTATTGTAGGTTAAGGTCATTGATTAAATATAAACATATGAAAATATATTGGTGGCAAACTATAGTTTTCAATAAGGCACAGATTGATATAAAATGAAACTAAACAATACAAATTTAAAGAGAAACTAAGTTGTGTTCCACCCAGTAGACAGCAACTAGATGTGGAGTTAACCCTGCAAGGTAATTATTGCAGTTTAGCAATAACTACAATAATTAAAATTGCAGGATTAAGGGGACTGGGACAGTGCACCCAGACCACTTCAATGAGTGGAAGTGGTCTGGGTGCCTATAGTGTCCCTTCAATACAAATGTCCCATTATGTTTATACTTACTTTTACCTTCATTTTTTGTCACTTATATCGGTCCAGCTTATGTTCAGACAGTACTGTCTCTTTCAATAAAACATTTATGCTCAGCTAACAAGTGTGAGAGGGCAAATGCAAATAATACAAAAGTAGACATAAGGTTAAATGCATAAAATATATGAGCAGACATTAAATCACAATGTCCGGAAAAATTACTACATGAGCTGAGGTTTTTATGAGTATGTATAGGCTGGAACTATATCTAGGGTATGGCCTTGAGCTGGTGCTTTTCGTGTTAGGAACATGAGGCAGGGGTCATCTTGCTGGAGTCTAAGCTTGAAACTGCGAAGTAAGGATACATCGGTGAAAACTAGGCAGATGATTTTACACTGAACTAAATTAAATTAAAATATATGAATGGAAAGTCCCTTTGGGAGATTAGCCAGTCACCTGGCTAAATGTAGTACACTTTTTAAACAAAAACTTTGATGGGTTAATTTGCTAAGCACTGATTTGTGATAACTTGAAAATGCAACGTTGGACTATAATAGACGGAAGAAACCTCCAACTTGGTTATAATCAAAGTTCAGGTTTTTTATCCTGAATTTTGTTGTTTGGTTTTCAATTTATTATATTCAGTGTATAGTGGATAAACCCTTCAGTTTTTTAAATAACTAATAAAATATTTAGTGTGCAATAGAGTCAGAAAACATTGAGAAAATTACCTTTCTTCCATTTGCTTTAAAATTATTCTTGTCATCTAAAGATAGCAATAAATTAGACATTATAATGGAATTAGATTAAACATATTTGAGTTGTGTAATGTAATTTATAGGTTAAAACATTTCTCACTCTAAAATAAAGTTATCTAATCTAGCATAGGCCTTGATTTAATATGATAGGCAAAACCTAGTCAAAAATTATTGACTGTTTTCATCCAATAATTTTGACGGAATTCTAGCAGCCAAACGGGTCAAGTGCTTGAGATTAATCCTACAATAAATGTGCCTCGTAAGTATATTTTTCAGCATTTTTTAATGACTAGCTCATTAAAAAGAGAAAATAAATAAAAGTCTATAGGGGTAAAAAGACCCCACATTAGTATAACAGAGGTTTGAAACCTTCCCCATGCCACCACTTGCCATGCCACAAGTAGGGGCATGTCTGCAAAACAGCAAGTTGCCAGTGGTATCTCTCCGTAATATAAGACTAGTGACTGGGCAGCTATTACTGCCCACTCATTAAGAAGATACATGGGAAACCCAATACTGCAGGGCTCCTTTAAACAAAAAAGGGGGATATCCTAGTCCATCCCCCCTCCCCCCCCCACCCCCCCGACACTGGTCCCATGATGTGGTATTTTAATTTAAAAAAATAAATAAACAGGAGGTACTTAGTTTTCTGCCATGTCTCCACCCTGCAGGTTTGATCTATCAGTATAATAATCATAGGTGGTATTAAGGGGCTCTAATAAATAGGGGACCTAATATTATATATATATTTACAATATTTGCAACATCCATTAATATATTTATTACTAGAATATATAAGGAAGTTGAAAATACTATTGTCCACCTCCTCAATATCCGAATATCTGAAATATCTGTTATCTAAAATAAACCACCAAGCTTAAAGGAAAAAAATATATATATATTGATCTTGCGTTGAGTGTGGATCTCCTGTCTATTGAAGGTGTAGTTAAAAAAAAAAAAAAAAGATTGATGATTGATGGTTAAGGGACAGTTGGTAAATGTTGATTTTATTAATAGATCATCTGGCAACGGACCAATAGAGGGACAAAAGGAGGATCTGTGAAACAATATGTACTTCCAAGCAGGATTCTTCCAAACACTTTGACTGCAGTTACTGAGGGAGACAGACCAGCAGTGATACAGTGAGTTTTAGCATTGCTGTGTGCTGTGGGAGATTCAAATGTGACACAAAGGTTAACTTTCTGCTCCATCTTGCTATTAGCTACTGCCACGAGTACTTGCAATAACTTTGAGTGGGAGATAGGAGTTACATATTGTTATTGTTCCTAGTGGTAGACTAGGTTACCAATATACAGTTGTACAGTTGTTAAAAGTTTTATCTTTTTTTGGTTAACTGTTTTTAGAAAGAAAATCCTTATTTTAGGAAGTGTGTTTGGAGAAAGAAAATCCTTCTTTATGGGGAGTATGGTGTTCACTCAGTAACTAAGAAAATAAAAGATTTTCCTCTTGCGTAGCCTGGATCATTGATTCTAGTGTGAGACTATATGTGGCTTGCAGCTTTATATAGCTATTAGTTACTTCCAGGAGAACCTGGAGCAACTTTGAGTGGCAGAGTATGTTTAGTTCAGTGTGTGATGCGCATGCACTCTGCAGTGTGTAAGATCAAGCATAATAATATCACAGTTATAAATCCACCAAGTACCAACCCACTTTGCAAAACAAATACCTCTTTTTGTTGAATAAAGTGGTTACTTTACACAATACACACTCATTCATATACTTCATTTACTGTAATAAAAATAAAAAATAAAAACTACCATCATCAATGTCATTATTGCCAAGTTGAAATTGATGGAAGAAAATGGAAGACATTTTTGCATACCAATACAGTCATAAGCACTATTCTGCTGTTCTGGCTGCCCAAATGACTTCCACAAATTTAAATTCAGGCAAGCCAAAAGAGCAGAATTAACTAAATTCTGCTGAACCCCTTCCCTCCCCTCTCCAAAAAAAAATTATTCTGTTGAAGTGTTAAAGTGGTTCAGAAGAACCAAACCTGCACACGTCTGTTACTTGCCACTGAAGACATTTTTGCACTAGACATTGATCCAAAGCTTTTACAAACCAACTTTAACCTCTATCTGAGATGTGAGGACAGTTGAGTAAGTCTCTTGTCTTGACATGAATGCAACAGTGACACACATACTCAAAGTTCAGTAAAAAAAAAAAAATAATAATATATCTTTCAGAAGCCAGTTGAACTGCTGTAAAAAATGTATATTCACATATTTATTTTTATTTATTTATTTTTTCAAATTAAGCATATCTTAAAGCATGTAATATTCTTATTTACAATTATATTCCATCTTAATTCAAATAAAAATTTTTTTTTAACATGATCCAGATTTTAGGGCATGGGTCAAACTTCATTTTATTAATTAAAAAAAAACAATTATGAGCTTTATTTTCATAATTAAATAATATTAAATATAATAAGTAGGAAGGCTTGCTGTCAGGAGCACGATTTAAGCACTATTTTTTTCACTTACATACACTATCCTAAAACTATTCCATGAATCTATTACAAAAAAATACCGGCATATTTTTACACCAAATCAGACATCAATAAAATAAACATTCTTGAGTAGGAGTGCTCTCCAGAGATTCCTGTCTATACTTCGATAACATTATGTCAGCAAGACCTTTTCATTTCCTTGAAATGTAATCCTATATTTGAAAACAAACATTTTCAAATTAGGTTACATTTGCTTTCATGGGAGATATCTGTAGACACAAGAATCATTAGTTAGAATGACTAAATCCTGTATTTGGCAAGAAGAAGTTAAAGGTTCTATTCTATATAAACAGGTTTATGTATAAATAATTTGCCACTTACCTATCTGTGGAATAAAAAAAAGCTACTGTATGTGTCATTGTGTTAAAGAAAATGTCTATTCTTAAAATACCTACTGTCTTGTCCATCATGAAGAAATTATGTAGATTATATAACCCAATCACCTTTTATTATTCTAATAAAAATATTTTTTTCTAAAAAGTCTTCTCACCTAACCACCCATATCTGCTGTAAATATAAATTGAGATGCAGAGATTTAACAGATAGAAATTGTGCGTCCAACAAGGAAAGGGTGAATCCGCAGTATTCTAGGGTGTGTGTAAATTATTTAGACATATGGACCCACCTTGCATATAAAACATTTGGGGCTTTATGTAACACTACTATAGGAGTGCTATCAACCACAGGATATTATGTTGTTTTCCATAGTAATTAGTGCCTAATTAGCACGCTGTTCAAACTGCTTTACTATAACTTGATCTAATAATATATCTAAAGTTAATATCTACCATGATTACGTACTGCCAGTTCCCTTACATCACAAGTACTTCCTAATGCAGAACTTTGTGCTGACAGTGCTATATTATACCTAGCATTTGTAGGGTATGTGGATATGGGGAATTCTTCTGAGCCCTCTTTGCTGCCCCAAGACCAGTTTCCTCAATGAGCTCCAGGCCATTATATATACAAAACTGATCAATAAACTGCAATCTTTAAGTTTGGATTCCAATTACCGTATATACTCGAGTATAAGTTGACCCGAATATAAGCCAAGGCCACTAATTTTACCACAAAAAACTGGGAAAACTTATTGACTTGAGTATAAGCCTAGGGTGGGAAATGCAGCAGCTACTGGTAAATTTCTAAATAAAATTAGATCCCAATAAAATTACATTAATTGAATATTTATTTACAGTGTGTGTATATAATGAATGCAGTGTGTGTGTTTGTGTGTAGTGTGTATATATAATGAATGCAGTGTGTGTGTATGTAATGCAGTGTGTGTTTGTGTGAATGCAGTGTGTGTGTATGTAAGGCAGTGTGTGTTTGTGTGAGTGCAGCGTGTGTCTATAATGTAGTGTGTGTTTGTGTGAATGCAGTGTGTGTGTGAATGCAGTGTGTGTGTGTTTGTGTAGTGAGTGTAAACTGGGTGAGGGGAGGGCATTTTTATTATTTTAATTTTTTAATTTTAATATTATTATTATTTTATTATTATTATTATATTTTTATATTATTATTTTATTTTATTTTAATATTATTATTATATTTGAATATTATTGTTATTTGAATAATATTATTATTATTTGAATATTATTATTATTTTATTTTAATATTTGTATTTTTTTTTTTTTTTTGTCCCCCCTCCCTGCTTGTTGCCTGGCCAGGGAGGGGGGCTATGTTAATCCCTGTTGGTCCAGTGGATGGGCTGTGCAGTGGGGGGCTGGCAGAGAACTGTAACTTACCTTTCCTGCAGCTCCTGTCAGCTCCCTTCTCCTTCGTGCAGCTCCCCTGTCAGCTCAGTTCTGCTTACAGTGTAAGTCTCGCAGTCTGCGTGTCGCGCAGAACGTTGCCACGGAAACACTTGGCAAAGCTCTGACGGCTGTGGGTGTCGCGAGACTTATACTGTAAGCAGAACGGAGCTGAGAAGGGAGCTGACAGGAGCTGCAGGAAAGGTAAGTTACAGCTCTCTGCCAGCCCCCAACAGGACTGCCGGGCTTGTAATGAGCCCGGCGGTCCTGGTCTGTATTATGGCAATGTATGTTGCCATAATACAGACATTGACTCGAGTGTAAGCCGAGTGGGGGTTTTTCAGCACAAAAATGTGCCGAAAAACTCGGCTTATACTCGAGTATATACGGTATGATGAATAGGTTAGTCAGTGGCTGAGTGACAGGTAACAGAGGGTTGTAGTCAATTGAGTATATTCGAAACATGGGGTACCTGAGGGATTTGTACTTGGACCCATTCTCTTTAATATATTTATTAGTGATATTGCAAAATGTCTTGATGGTAAGGAATGCCTTTTTGCTGATGATACTAAGATATGTTACAGGGTTGATGTTCCAGGAGGGATAGGCCAAATGGCAAATGATTTGGGTAAACTAGAAAAATGATCAGAGTTGTGGCAGCTGACATTTAATGTGGATAAGTGCAAGATAATGCATATTGGACGTAAAAACCCAAGAGCACAGAATATTTGATATAGTCCTAACCTCAACATCCGAGGAAAGGGGGCCCGTCGGCTTGCTCGATATGCCGTCGGGTGTGATGCCCCTCCTGCGCCCATCACAGACACCGGTCTGCAGCTCTGCAGTGAGAAGAGCTGCAGACTATGTGTCTTGCAAGCTCTGATCAATCAGCTCTGACTGTGTCTCGCGAGATACATGGTCTGCAGCTCTGCATAGCTGCAGACCGGATATTATGCCCACCGGACCATCAGGGAGCCACCGGACCACCAGGGAGCCAAGGTATTTAGTCATCACCCCCCTCTTCCATCACCCTCCCCTACATCTCATCACCCCCTCCCTCTCACATCAATCCCCTCACACATCACCCCCCCACACATCACCTCCACTCCGACACACCATCACCCCCCTCACACCATCACCATCACCCCCACTCACACCATCACCCCCTCTCACATCACACCCCCTCATCTCATCATTGCCCCCTCCCTCACATCATCAACCCACTCCCTCACATCATCACTCCCCTCCCTCACACATCACCCCCTCCTCTCACCATAACCCCCTCAGACCATTACCCTCTCACATCAACCCCTCACATCATCACCCCCCTTCTTCACACCATCACCCTCATCACCCCTCTCTCCCTCACACATCACTCCTTCTCCCTCACACATCACCCCTTCCTCTCACATCACCCCTCCCTCCATCACCCCCTCTCCTCACACATCACCCCCTTCCTCTCACATCAATCCCCTTTCCCCTCACACATCACCCACACCATCACCACCCTCTCCCTCACATCATCACCCCTCTCCCTCACACATCACCCCCTTCCTCTCACATCACCCCCTTTCCCTCACACATCAACCCCCACACCATCACCACCCTCTCCCTCACACCATCACCATCACCTCTCCCTCACACCATTATCCACTATACAAGCACACACACTGCATCCACTACACAAACACACTGCATTCACTATATAAACACACACTGCATTCACTGTACAAACACACTACAAACACTATACAAACACACACAGACACACACTTATACATGTGTGTCTGTGTATCTGTATGTCTGTGTATCTGTTTGTGTGTTAGTATATGTGTATCTGTATGTGTCAGTGTGTGTATGTGTGTCTGTCTGTGTATCTGTTCATATGTCTGTGTTTGTATTAGTGTGTCTGTATGTGTGTGTCTCTATCAATATGTGTGTCTGTGCCTGGGTGTCTCTCTCTCTGTGTCTGTATGTGGGGAAATCCCCACTTATAAGGTATGATGGAAAACGGCCTCAGCAATGGGCGTGTCCGGGAACCCAGGAAAAGGTAGAAAGGCAAACAATAGTGCTCTAAATGTATAATAAAACTTGTTACAATTTTGTAAAAAATAATTCTCACACGTGTAGAGCAGACTCATTGCTCTTTGATTATAGCGTTGTTGGTATGATCCCCACTTGGGATTTCTTGGAGTATAATTATATTATCCTGGCACTACTTTGAATAACCTATTTTTTGTGCTTTATGTTTCTTTTTCCTTTTATTTATTTTTTATACATTTTTCTTCCCTTCCCTCCCAATATGGCCGCCGCCATTATTCTCTTTTCTCCTACCAAGATGGTCGCTATGGAAAATTTGATCTGATATTTATATCGTTGAAGGGCTGGTAGAGCGGCTGCCTCTCCCCTGCTCTGCATGTTGTAGGCCCCAAGCCTCAGCTCAGGCAATCCAGCGGGCATTTTGGGCGTGCGAGGTATCCCCCAATTCACCAGCAACTGCGAAGCAAGAGGCTGTAAGTTGGGGTTTGAGATGAAGTGATTTGCCCGTGATAACAAATGATAATCGGGCTCAGGCTCGGGAGCTCCAGATAGTGTGTCTGCTCAACTCCACAGTCAGGCTCCTCCCCCTGATTCCTTAATAACAGTATTTACAATAGCTTTTATTCCATATTTGTACTACAGGGAGTGCAGAATTATTAGGCAAGTTGTATTTTTGAGGATTAATTTTATTATTGAACAACAACCATGTTCTCAATGAACCCAAAAAACTCATTAATATCAAAGCTGAATATTTTTGGAAGTAGTTTTTAGTTTGTTTTTAGTTTTAGCTATGTTAGGGGGATATCTGTGTGTGCAGGTGACTATTACTGTGCATAATTATTAGGCAACTTAACAAAAAACAAATATATACCCATTTCAATTATTTATTATTACCAGTGAAACCAATATAACATCTCAACATTCACAAATATACATTTCTGACATTCAAAAACAAAACAAAAACAAATCAGTGACCAATATAGCCACCTTTCTTTGCAAGGACACTCAAAAGCCTGCCATCCATGGATTCTGTCAGTGTTTTGATCTGTTCACCATCAACATTGCGTGCAGCAGCAACCACAGCCTCCCAGACACTGTTCAGAGAGGTGTACTGTTTTCCCTCCTTGTAAATCTCACATTTGATGATGGACCACAGGTTCTCAATGGGGTTCAGATCAGGTGAACAAGGAGGCCATGTCATTAGATTTTCTTCTTTTATACCCTTTCTTGCCAGCCACGCTGTGGAGTACTTGGACGCGTGTGATGGAGCATTGTCCTGCATGAAAATCATGTTTTTCTTGAAGGATGCAGACTTCTTCCTGTACCACTGCTTGAAGAAGGTGTCTTCCAGGAACTGGCAGTAGGACTGGGAGTTGAGCTTGACTCCATCCTCAACCCGAAAAGGCCCCACAAGCTCATCTTTGATGATACCAGCCCAAACCAGTACTCCACCTCCACCTTGCTGGCGTCTGAGTCGGACTGGAGCTCTCTGCCCTTTACCAATCCAGCCACGGGCCCATCCATCTGGCCCATCAAGACTCACTCTCATTTCATCAGTCCATAAAACCTTAGAAAAATCAGTCTTGAGATATTTCTTGGCCCAGTCTTGACGTTTCAGCTTGTGTGTCTTGTTCAGTGGTGGTCGTCTTTCAGCCTTTCTTACCTTGGCCATGTCTCTGAGTATTGCACACCTTGTGCTTTTGGGCACTCCAGTGATGTTGCAGCTCTGAAATATGGCCAAACTGGTGGCAAGTGGCATCGTGGCAGCTGCACGCTTGACTTTTCTCAGTTCATGGGCAGTTATTTTGCGCCTTGGTTTTTCCACACGCTTCTTGCGACCCTGTTGACTATTTTGAATGAAACGCTTGATTGTTCGATGATCACGCTTCAGAAGCTTTGCAATTTTAAGAGTGCTGCATCCCTCTGCAAGATATCTCACTATTTTTGACTTTTCTGAGCCTGTCAAGTCCTTCTTTTGACCCATTTTGCCAAAGGAAAGGAAGTTGCCTAATAATTATGCACACCTGATTTAGGGTGTTGATGTCATTAGACCACACCCCTTCTCATTACAGAGATGCACATCACCTAATATGCTTAATTGGTAGTAGGCTTTCGAGCCTATACAGCTTGGAGTAAGACAACATGCATAAAGAGGATGATGTGGTCAAAATACTAATTTGCCTAATAATTCTGCACTCCCTGTTGTCAGGAAACTGACAGGGATCCAATACGCAGAGTGCGCACAGAAGGAGGTACGTATACCGGACCTTAGAATGGCCGGACTAACGTAAGGACAAAGCAAGAATAGTCAAAAGGTAAGCCGAGGTCAAGGGAGCCGGAGGACAGGTAAGCGAGATACAAGCCGAGTCAAAGGAGAGGAGAGGACAACAGGACAAAAGACAAGCAAGGGTCAAAACCGGAAACACAAGATAAAGAACGCGCTGAGTGACTAGCAAGCTAGAACCACGACAGGGCAATGAGCAGTAGTAAAGGTTTCCTTTAAATACCCTGTTACCTAAATAGAGACCACGCCCCCAAAAGGTCCGGAATAGCGGTTCCCGGCACTTTATGCAAATGCCGACGTCATGACGTCGACGCTAGCCGTCGCGTCATAAAAGGGGGAGGAGCTAGCGCGGCCGGCGCGAAAACGGCCGAAATATGCCGAAATGCTAGGGGAAGGGAGCCCCTAAGCAGAGAGGATGTCCTCCCTGGATACATCACCAACAGGTACCCTGACAGTACCCCCCCTTCTAGAAACGCCCACCGGGCGGATGGGACCTGGCTTAGAAGGAAAACGAACGTGGAAGGCCCGTAGAAGACGAGGAGCATGCACGTCTATACCAGGAACCCAAGACCTCTCTTCTGGACCATAACCTTTCCAGTCTATGAGGTATTGCAGCTTCCCCCTAGAAATACGAGAATCAAGGATGGACTTGATGATATATTCCTCCTGACCATCCACACGGACCGAGGATGGAGGAGTAGAGCGGGAGGAAAATCTGTTACAAACAAGAGGTTTCAATAACGACACATGAAAAGAGTTAGGGATGCGTAGAGTAGGAGGTAGATCCAGCAAATAAGAAACCGGGTTGATCCTCCTCAGTACCCTGTAAGGACCAATGTAACGAGGAGCAAACTTCAAGGAAGGAACTTTCAGGCGAATGTGTCTGGTACACAACCAGACCCTATCCCCCGGAGAAAAAATAGGAGCAGGACGTCTACGCCTATCAGCATGTGACTTAAACACCGCGGAACTACGTTCAAGAATTTGTCGAGTCTGATCCCACAACTTTCTCAGGTTGGCTATATGAATATCAACCGACGGTATACCCTGGGAAGGAGACACCGACGGAAGAACAGTAGGGTTAAAGCCATAGTTCAAGAAAAAGGGGCTATTATGAGTGGAACCACAAACAAGGTTGTTGTGAGCAAACTCCGCCCAAGGAATCAGACCGACCCAGTCATCCTGGTGTTCAGAAACAAAACAACGTAGATATTGCTCAATTTTTTGGTTAGTGCGTTCGGCTGCTCCGTTAGATTGAGGATGATAGGCCGAAGAAAAATTCAGTTTGATGCCCAACTGTGAACAGAAGGATCTCCAAAAACGGGAAATAAATTGGGAACCCCTGTCTGACACAATCTCATTGGGAATACCATGTAAACGGAAAATTTCTCTAGCAAATATCACGGCCAGTTCGGGGGAGGACGGAAGTTTAGGCAAGGGAACGAAATGAGCCATTTTAGTAAACCTGTCAAGGACCGTGAGTATAACTGTATGCCTATTGGAAGCTGGTAGATCAACAATAAAATCCATAGCCAAGCAAGCCCAAGGTTTGTTGGGAACGACTAAGGGCTGCAATAAACCACAAGGGAGATCCCGCGGAAGTTTATTCCTGACACAAACATTGCAAGCCTTGACAAAGTCTTCCACATCCCTACGTAAACCGGGCCACCAGAAGTCTTTTGAGATCAGGCAGTAAGTTTTGTGGATGCCGGGGTGACCAGCGATCTTGCTATCGTGGAAACAGCGAATAATGTCCACTTGGAATTTGGGAGACACGAACAAGCGGCCCACAGGAGTACGTTCGGGAGCAAGAGATTGTTCGTTCTGAATATCAGCGAGCAATGGAGAGTGTATTTTGACATTGGTGTTGGGATAATATTGACTTCAGGAATAATAGGGAACAAAGTATCCTCTGTAGAGGTGGTAGGTTCGTGCTGACGTGACAAAGCGTCTGCCTTAGTGTTCTTAGAACCAGGCCTGTAAGTAAGCACATAATTAAAGTGTGTAAGGAACATAGACCAACGTGCCTGCCTGGCAGATAATCTTTTGGCCTCCCCCATATACGATAAATTTTTGTGGTCAGTCAAGATAGTAACTGGGAGGACGGTGCCCTCTAACAAATGTCTCCATTCCTTTAATGCCATAATGATAGCTAAAAGTTCTCTATCACCAATGTCATATCTCCTTTCAGTGTGTGACAGTTTCTTGGAAAAAAAACCGCAAGGGTGCAGCGGCTTATCTAAACTTTGTCTTTGGGATAACACTGCGCCTATCCCTGTTTCAGACGCATCAACTTCAAGTAAAAAGGGTAGAGAGGTATCAGGATGAACTAATACAGGTGCTGAGGCAAAAGACTGTTTGAGCGTTTCGAAAGCAGATAAAGCCTCAGTAGACCAGGTTTTGGTATCGGCTCCTTGTTTGGTCATATTAGTGATAGGAGCGATAACAGAGGAGTACCCTTTAATAAAACGTCTGTAATAATTAGAAAATCCAAGAAATCTTTGTATGGCTTTGAGTCCCTTAGGTAAAGGCCAATCTAAAATCGATTTTAGTTTGGTCGGGTCCATCATAAACCCGTCTTTGGAAATTACGTAACCTAAGAAAGTTACCTGAGACTGGTCAAAGCTACATTTTTCCAATTTACAATACAATCCATGTTGTAAAAGTTTCTGTAATACCTTTCTGACTTGTCTATGATGTGAATTAATGTCTCTAGAATGGATTAGTATATCATCCAAATATACAATTACACATTCATGTTGGAATTCTCTAAGAACTTCATTGATCAAGTCTTGGAAGACGGCCGGGGCGTTACAAAGCCCAAACGGCATTACGGTATACTCATAATGCCCGTACGGGTATTAAATGCTGTCATCCATTCATCTCCTTGTTTAATTCGCACTAAGTTATATGCTCCCCTTAAGTCAAGTTTAGTAAAAATACTCGACCCTTTAGTCTGTCAAAGAGTTCAGTAATCAAAGGAATAGGGTAAGCATTTCTGATAGTAATTTTGTTCAATCCCCGATAGTCTATACAAGGACGTAAGGTACCGTCTTTCTTTTCTACAAAAAAGAAACCCGCCCCCGCCGGAGAAGAAGACTTTCTAATAAATCCCTTGTCTAAATTCTCCTTGATATATTCCTCTAAAACTAAGTTTTCCTTGGTGGATAGAGGGTATACCGTACCCCTGGGAGGCATAGTACCAGGGAAAAGTTTAATAGAACAGTCATAAGACCGGTGGGGAGGTAAAGTATCCGCCTTACCCTTGTCAAATACAGATTTGAGGTCTAGATATTGTAATGGTATCTGAACGTCTGTGGATTGAGAAGTGTTAGCATAAGAGTTCACGGGGCAAACAGAAGTAACTCTCTGCAGACATTCTTTCCTACAACCCATACCCCAAGAAACGATTTCTCCACCCTCCCAGTCAATCTGAGGGTTGTGTCTCTTGAGCCAAGAATATCCTAGAACCACTGGGACTGCCGGGGAGGAAATTAACAGAAGGGAAATCAACTCTTCGTGGAAAATACCAACAGTAAGCTTAACGGGTTCGGTCTCATGGAATATTACTGGTTCAGATAAAGGTCTACCATCTATGGCCTCAACGGCCAAGGGTGTATCTCTCAATTGGAATGGGATACAATGCATATTAGCGAAAGTTTGGTCTATAAAGCTTTCTGCTGCTCCAGAATCTAATAATGCCATCGTAGTAATAAACCCCTTTTCCCAAGCTAGAGAGACAGGAATCAGAAGCCTATGGTCTTTTTTATTATGCATAGAGGACAGTAATGAAACACCCAAGGCCCGTCCTCTAAGGGAACTTAGGTGCGAGCGTTTCCCGGACGATTAGGGCAACTGAGACGTAGGTGACCTCTCAGCCCGCAGTATAAACAGAGACCCTCCCTTCTTCTGTACTGTCTCTCAGCCTCAGATAAGCGAGTATTACCTATTTGCATAGGTTCTGGTGGAGTAGGATTATAGGAGTCAGGGTTCTGAAATGAGGGAGCGAGTCTTACAGGAAGTCTAGTAACTCTTTCCCGAGTGTTCTGCCTCTGTCTCATGCGTTCATCTATTCTGGAAATGAAGGATACTAAATCCTCTAAATTTTCCGGAAGTTCTCTTGTGGCAATTTCATCTAGAATTTCATCAGACAACCCATTCAAGAAAACATCCATAAAAGCTTGTTCGTTCCATTTCACTTCTGCTGCCAATGATCTAAACTCTAGAGCATATTCTACAAGGGTCCTATCTTGTTGTTTAAGGCGTAACAGGGATCTGGCCGCATTAATCTTCCTCCCTGGGGGGTCAAAGGTTCTTCTAAAAGCCGTGACAAACGCAGTGTAGTTGTAGACTAAAGGATTGTCATTCTCCCAAAGGGGATTGGCCCATCTAAGTGCTTTATCTATTAGCAGGGTTATAATAAAGCCTACCTTAGCCCTGTCAGTGGGGTAAGCCCGGGGTTGTAGTTCGAAATGTATACTTATCTGGTTTAAAAAACCACGACAAGCATCAGGCGAACCCCCATATCGTAATGGTGACGTGACATGGGAAGATGCGCCTACAGTGGCTACTTCCAAACCAGTACTTAGCGAGTGGCTAGCAGTGGAACGTATTTCTTCAGACTGGGTACTGGAGCGTGTCAACAAAGTTTGTAACGCTAAAGCCATTTGGTCCATTCTATGGTCCATGGCCTCAAATCTGGGGTCAGGAGGACTAGCACCTGCAGGATCCATCATGGCCCTGTCGTAATGTCAGGAAACTGACAGGGATCCAATACGCAGAGTGCGCACAGAAGGAGGTACGTATACCGGACCTTAGAATGGCCGGACTAACGTAAGGACAAAGCAAGAATAGTCAAAAGGTAAGCCGAGGTCAAGGGAGCCGGAGGACAGGTAAGCGAGATACAAGCCGAGTCAAAGGAGAGGAGAGGACAACAGGACAAAAGACAAGCAAGGGTCAAAACCGGAAACACTAGATAAAGAACGCGCTGAGTGACTAGCAAGCTAGAACCACGACAGGGCAATGAGCAGTAGTAAAGGTTTCCTTTAAATACCCTGTTACCTAAATAGAGACCACGCCCCCAAAAGGTCCGGAATAGCGGTTCCCGGCACTTTATGCAAATGCCGACGTCATGACGTCGACGCTAGCCGTCGCGTCATAAAAGGGGGAGGAGCTAGCGCGGCCGGCGCGAAAACGGCCGAAATATGCCGAAATGCTAGGGGAAGGGAGCCCCTAAGCAGAGAGGATGTCCTCCCTGGATACATCACCAACAGGTACCCTGACACCTGTATACTAAGGATTGTTGTACTGTGATTGGCTGGATAGTTATCTGTGCCATTTTGGTGCCAATTTTAAAGTGCTTTTTACCTATATATACTCCATGAGCCAGGATGCAAATTCTTTAACCCCCTTAGTGACCAAGGACGTACAGGGTCCGTCAGCCAAAAAATGGTCATTAACGACTGCTGTTGTACTCTGTATATCCGTGGCCAAAATGAGCACTGGAAGCGATCATGATACAAGAACAACAGGAACTGAAAATCCATTCCTAAAGTACAATGTGAGATAAAAATAACACAAAAAAATGACTACTCAAACGTTTGACAAAGAATTAGTGCATGGAAAGTGTTAAAATGCCACCATTTGAAATACCCTAGAGTGTCTACGTTTCAAAAATACATGGTTGGATGGGGGTAAATTACATTGGACGGCTTCAAAAATGTCCCAAATAGGACATGGGTGCATGATGACCAGCTGCGAAAATTCCAAGTTGGAAAACTGGAATGTGCACCCTTCAAATAAGGAACCCGACACACCTATACATGGGGGGCTTCACTGTACTCAGGAGATGTTGCTGAACACATATTAGGGTGTTCTTTGGCAGTAACCCTTAAAGTTCTCCATACATGTGTTCTTAAATTGCTATGTGTGTCATAAAAATCACCAATTATTATTATTTTTTTTTAATTTGCCAGAGTGGTGGAAAATGGCTGCATGAAAAGAGTCAAAACACCCCAAGCTTAATACCTTAGGTTGTCTTCTTTTAAAAAAATTATACAGGTGATTACAATGTAATTACAGTGTTACAATGTAATTTGTGTTAATTTTGAAAAAAAAAAATGGTTTGGAAATAGGAAAGTGCTACTTGTACTTATTGCCCTATAACTTTCCAAAAAAAGCTAAGAACATGTTAAGATTGGACATTTCTAAACTGAGGGCAAAATTTTGAAACTATTTAGCATGGTTGTTTTTTGGTGGCTGTAGATGCATAACAGATTTTGAAGGTCAAAGTTGGAAAAGTGTTTTTTTTTACATTTTTTTTCATCATATTTTATAATTTTTTATAGTAAATTATGTGATATGATGAAAATAATGATATCTTTTGAAAGACCATTTAATGGTGAGAAACGCAGGATATAATATGTGTGGGTACAGCAAATGAGTAAGAGGAAAATTACAGCTAAACACAAACACCGCAAAAATGTAAAAACAGCCCTGGTCCCAAATGGTAAGAAAATTAAAAAGTGGTCTGGTCGATAAGGGGTTAATCCATTTGAAAAAGCCAACTGGTGAAACGCATTTTGATATTGTTACTTTTGTGTTTTTTAACTAATAAAGGTCTGTTGGTCACTGCACTCGTTTACTGTGACAATTAACTTTTATTTTGACATTTTATACTTCCTGGCATTTTATCATCTTACTCTAAGAAATCCTAGGTGGAGATTGTGACGAACTACCCTTCGCCACTGGCTTTTGGAGGGGCCTGATTGCCAGCCTCCTGCCCTGTGATTATGGCCCTTATAATTTATTGGGTCTCAAGGCACTTGGGACTGAACCCTCTGTGCCTGGATTACATCTTTGCCTGCATTGCTTGGCTTTTACATTCTCCATGGCATATTCGTGGATTGGTTTGGTGAATTAAACGTCTATAACAGCCAGGATAACGTTGTTCAAACAAATGAACAGACTGATGAACGGCCGACCACCCTGCATGTGGAGTGTGCGGCTTGTTAACTACCCAGATGCTGTGGTTAACCGCAGTTTAATTGGCGAACGGCTGGGTGGTCGTTGTTCGTATGAACGAACACGTGGCGGCGGCCATCTTTAACTGCTGAACGCCCAGCGGTGTTTGTCGTCGACCGCGTGGAACTGTTTCAGCTACTATTTCCCACGAACACCGCTTGGACATCCAGACTTTTCATCCGTTCATCTATAGCCATATGAACGCTGCGTCGTTCGGTAGTTTCACAGGCTCACTGCTCGATATACAGCGTATGGGTGGGGACTGTACCACCAATACGCTGTACATCGAGCAGTGAGCCTGCTCAACACACTGTGAGTACATTTCATACTTTATACTCTTTTACTATAGTAGATACAGTGAGCACTATATATTTTATCCTTTTTACTTTCGGTTGGGATTACACCACCGCTGGACTACTGGATTACGGGCTACACTCCATATATCCTTGAGTGGGGATTATTCCACTTCACGCATTTCATACCAGAGTTGGATTTTAGCTCTGGATATTGTGAGTAGTACCTTACTATATTTTTAAATATCCAAGTATATCTACCTACTGCACCATTGGATTTTTTTCTCTCTGCTTTCTTCTTTTACATATGTCCTACTGATATTACCAACCTGCACCCGTGATGAATCACTGCTGCTCTACAAGAATTTCCCCTACCACCGTGGACTGTACTTCATTGGACTAGCTTCAATGGTATAGGAATGTGAAGGGGGGCAGATGGTTTGCAACATGGATTGATCCTTTGATTAATAGAGGGCTCTGCAGGGTGTGAGATTCGACACTTGAGATGCCTGGATGTCTAGTCTAAATGTAAACTACCTGACTTCAGCCATATGGCCTCTACCTCTTAATTGATTAGTTAATCTCCTTGATATGTGAATGATCACTAGCCTTGTGTTCCAGTATCATATCCAAAAGAAACATACATAGTTTCTTACTTACCCACAGAATATAAATTAAGCCTCATTTTTATTATATTTAGAATGGGACAAGCACAATCTTTTAATCAAGCCTAAATATGATTTGCATAACTTACCCATATGGGAAAGGATTGTGCTGTCCGCTATATTGGGTCACAAGTAAGGAGTGTGATATCTATGGAATGGAAAAATAGTAACAAATTCATAGATTCAATTCTTATTTCTGTGGCAAGTACATAAGAGGAGATAGAACTAAATATTTCCATGTGGATTGATGCTGGTCTGGAGCACAAGGAGGTGGTCACCTATTGTTCCATAGGTCTGCCTTATCTCCACCTCTAGGCCAGGCTTGGTAATCCACAGGGTATAAATCTAATGATTTTGAAATGTGTTTGCACTTGCTTGGGGGCCAGAATCTAATTCTGAGTGAGTCACCATATTTTTTACCAGAGACCGCCTGGGCAGAAGTTTAAGTTTTGACTTTGTCTGGTAAAGAATCACGTTACCAGAAGACACTAATTAGTGTTTTTCAATTACATCCATATTGTGGTAAGTTGTATTTGGTGGGTTTTTATTATTAAGCTACCTGGGGGACCCCATTTATAAATTGTCTCGGTGGTGGCAGCAGCGTTAAAATAGTAATATTTATATTATTATGGTAAAGTGTGGGTGCTGTTAAGTGGGATTTTGTCATTATTTCTGGTCTAGTGCAGACAAATAGTGAACTTTAACTCTTTCACCACCACAACTAAGTCACGCACACTCTTGAAGTAGGGTGCGTTCGTGACACCATATGCACTTTTTTGTGCCTTTATATTGCCTCATTCATAACTTTTAGAAATAAAAAGAATTCTGGAAACCTGTTTACAATAACTGTGATATTCCATCAATTTCAACATATTCATATAGCCAATTTGCATCACTAGACAAAAGATAACTATATTTACCACATATAATGTAGGTGAACAAATACAAATGTATTTTACTTCTTATCTTATGCATTTAAGAAACATTTTATGTGTAAATTTGAAAGGTCAACAAGGTTTTGATGTTTGCAGCATAGCCGTTACTTCTTAGAATCCCTGGGCTAACATTAACATAATTATTCTTTAAAGGAACACTATAGCGTTATGAATACTAAAATAGTGTCCAAGTCACTATTTAGGTGACTGCCACCCCTGGGGTTATACAGGTATTTTACTTAACTTCTACCCCATGGGCTCTCCTCCTTGGTTGAGATTATCAATGTTGATGATCTCAGCCAATCCAATGCTTTCCCATAGGAAAATACAGGAAGGCTAGTGAGCATGCATGGCAAAATGCTGCACTATGCTAATCAAGTGGTCTCTATGAAATAGAAATAGCCTAGTTTCACTCTGCTATTTCTGCAGAAGCACATCTAAAGACTGTCAGTATGACAGCCACTAGAGGCATTTAAACACTGCAATGTAAAAATTGTCATTCCCGCAGAATGGTTAAGTTTTATATTGCAAGGTTTAAATGAGAGGAACATGGTGCCCAGATCACTTCATTTAGATGAGGTGGTATGGGTATCTGAAGTGTCCCTTTGTAGTGTAGATTGTTGGGAATTCAAAATGAATTCAAAGTTATTTTCATATTTTAGGCCAAAATATCGGAATTGAGAATAAAATCGACTTTTGAATGTTTGCAATTTAGCTATTTTAACTTTACTTTGAATTCCTGAAAGTTAACACTTGTGAATAACTTGTTATGGTATAATTATAAAACCAATTAATGTAAATTTCCATGACATACCTTAACAGCAGAAAGGATGTTGCAGTTTATCAGATTCTGGAGAAAAATATATAATTAACAGACTAGATTAATGTGACAACATATTACTCTTTCACTACCTTTAATTTGGCAATATATTGATATGTACAAAGAAAAATACTGGGCACACTCAATGTGCAGTAGTATGAGGTCAGGATACCTTCTAAGACCCAAAAGGTAAAAGTCAGGGCAAGGTAATTGCTAGCAGACGGTGATGTTCTATAATGTTATGGAAATAAACCATGAGATTTAATTTTTTGTTTTTTAAAGGAACACTCTAACCACCATGATCACTTTATCGCACTGTAGTGAATTGTGTCAGAGTCGCCCTGGAAACCCCCAATATACCTGGAGTCTACTGAACATCACTCCTTGCCTCTAATACATCTTCAAAAGTGCCAGTAGCTCTCTGTTTGATCTAAGCTCAAGGCATAGCTCATTGGCTCCAAGCAATCATTCTTAGCCAATGAGCTAGCTCTGCAGTTCGAGTGTTCTTTTAAAACTCACAGGCACTCTTTTAAAATATTGTTTTTGTCCACTACTTGCTCTTCTTCTTCAACACTTTTTTTTTTAAGGTGGAGAGTTTGAAATCTGATTGATTGATTCTGTGGACAGGTGTCTTTTATACAGGTAACGATCTGAGATTAGGAGCACTCCCTTTAAGAGAGTGCTCCCAAACTCAGCTCGTTACCTGTATAAAAGACACCTGGGAGCCAGAAATCTTGCTGATTGACAGAGGATCAAATACTTATTTCACTCATTGACATGGAAATCAATTTGAGAACTCTTTTAAAGGACCACTATAGTGCCAGGAAAACATACTCGTTTTCCTGGCACTATAGTGCCCTGAGGGTGCCCCCACCCTCAGGGACCCCCTCCCGCCCGGCTCTGGAAGGGTGAAAGGGGGTAAAACTTACCTTTTTCCAGCGCTGGGCGGAGAGCTCTCCTCCTCCTCTCCGCCTCCGATCCACCCCGCCGGCTGAATGCGCACGCGCGGCAAGAGCTGCGCGCGCATTCAACCCGTCGCATAGGAAAGCATTTACAATGCTTTCCTATGGACGCTTGCGTGCTCTCACTGTGAAAATCACAGTGAGAAGCACGCAAGCGCCTCTAGCGGCTGTCAGTGAGACAGCCACTAGAGGCTTTGGGGGAAGGCTTAACCCATTCACAAACATAGCAGTTTCTCTGAAACTGCTATGTTTATGAAAAAATGGGTTAACCCTAGAAGGACCTGGCACCCAGACCACTTCATTAAGCTGAAGTGCTCTGGGTGCCTAGAGTGGTCCTTTAACGTGCGTTTTTCTGGATTTTTTATTTTGTTATTCTGTCTCTCACTGTTAAAATACACCTACCATTAAAATTATAGACTGATCATTTTTTTGTCAGTGGACAAACGTTCAAAAACATTGAGGGATCAAATATTTTTTCCCCAACTGTATATAGCTATTTCCGATTAGAACAAATAGAAATTGTCTAAAAGTCATATAGCTGTGAATCAAAAAGTAATGTACTGTATTTAAATCTAGTTGGAGGTATCATATTTTCCTTTTGAACTCTTTTATCTCCAAAATGTTCTTTGGGGTTTTTTAAATGTGTGCAATAACACGTAAAATATGACATTTCTACTAATATTATGTCATTAATACTAACATCATAGTAATACAGATGTGATGTACAGTACCTTATCATTTTCTGGTCCATTGAGAAAGCGACACGGTTCTGGGTTGTGAAGCATTCCAACATTGTTAACTAAGAGAAAAAAATATAACAAGCAAATATTAAAAATGTGATTAAATTGATTTAACCCCTTAAGGACTGGACTGTTTTTGCGATGTTGTACATTTGCGACCAGGAATATTTTTACACTTTTGTGGTGTTTGTGTTTGGCTGTAATTTTACGCTTTCTCATTTACTGTTCCCATACAAATTATATATTGTTTTTTTCAGGACAAAAGGGGCTTTCTTTACATACCATTATTTATATAATCTCATGTATTTTAATTTAAAAAAAATTAAAAAATATGATGAAAAATTGAAAAAAATACATGTTTTTTGACTTTTACTTGAAAAATCTTTTACTCATCTACAAAAGCGAATGAAAAAAACTGCTAAATAGATTCAAAATTTTGTCCTGAGTTTAAAAATACCTAGTGTTTACGTGCTTTTTTGCTTTTTTTTTTGCATGTTATAGGGCTATAGGTACAAGTAGGATATTGCGGTTTCAAAACATACATTTTTAAAATTTATCAATAGTGACATTGTAACACTATTATCTGTCATAAATCTCTGAATAACACCCCACATGTACATATTTTTTTTAAAGTAGACAACCCAGGGTATTCAATATGGGTTATGTCCAGTCTTTTTTAGTAGCCACTTAGTCGAAAACACTGGCCAATGTAAGCATTCATATTTGTTTGTGTGTGAAAAAAGTTAAAAAACTAAATTGAACGCTAATTTTGGCCAGTGTTTGTGACCAAGTGGCTACTAAAAAAGACTGGACATACCCCATTTGCAATACCTTGGGTTGTCTTCTTTTGCAAATGGTATGCCATCATGGGGGTAATTCTCATTCCTGGGCTACCATACGCTCTCAAAGGCAACGTAACCAACCTGGCCATTTTCAATGTAAAATATTTGACCCATATATTTGACCTTGTAACTTTCAAAAATGCTATAAAACCTGTACATGGGGGGTACTGTTTTACTCGGGAGACATCGCTGAACACATATATTAGTGTTTAAAAACTGGAAAACGTATCACAACAATTATATCATCAGTAAAAGTGCTGTTTGTGTGTGAAAAATGCAAAAAAAGTCATTTTCACTGACAATATCATCGCTGTGATATGCTTTACTGTTTTGAATCACTAATATTTGTGTTCAGCGAAGTCTCCCGAGTAAAACAGTACCCCCCATGTACAGGTTTTAGGGTGTCGTAGAACGTTACAGGGTAAAATACAGTGCTAACAAATTAAATTCTCTGGAATTTCGGCCTGGGTTGGCAGGCAGGTCCCTCAAATTGCAATCAATAAAATTACTGAATTATGTAAAAATATTACATAAATATGCACGTAGAATTTAAATATATATGCATATTTATATATTTGAAGTCTACGTGTATATTTATATAATTATTTATGTAATTTTGTATATGGACATATGTATATTTCGTATTATTTTTATTTATTTATATATACATAGATATATATACAAATTCATTCTAAGTGTATTTTGATATAAATATATATATATTAATTTTAAAATACAGTTAGAATAAAATTTCATATAGCTATATAATTTTTTTAATTTTTTTTATTATTATTTAAAAAAAATTTTATTTAATTTAAATTACTTATTATTTATATTTTATAATAATATATATATACAATCTATATAGTTATTATATATATTATATATATACGTGTGTAATTTAATTATAAGTGTATTTTATATTAATATAAGTACATATTAATATAAAAATACACTTAGTATGACATTATATATATATGATATATAGACATATATTATATAAATATAATATATGTCTATATATCATATATACACATATATAATTATTTATTTATTTTTTATTAACATTAACTTTATTTATTTTTTTGATTTTACACTAGCAGGGAGACTGCCTGTCAGCACAGGCAGTCCCCCTGCAGGCAGCACTATGGACACCCATTGTGACCATGTGATCGCTATGTTAAGCGATCACATGGCCCCAGGGGTCCTAAATCAGTGTGGGGAGACTCTCTGGGCTGCAGGCAGTCTCCCCACACCGGGAGCAACACTGATCGCCGCCGGGGGAACGACGGCGATCAGGTAAGTAACGGAAACCGTTAGGACGGTTCAGGACCGTCATCGGTCCGCAATGGGAAAATCCCGATGACGGTCCTGAACCGTCCTCGGTCGGGAAGGGGTTAAACCTTAATCTTACTCAATTGTGTTGTTCTATAATAATACATTTCATATGTAAATATATGTGGGAATCTGGGCCAACTTCCTTGGTTTTGCACCCCTTCCCAATTAAGTAGGTTAATCTCATGAGAGCAGGCATTAGGCTGCTAGAGTGGGACCTGACAAAAAATGGGTACTTGCCATTGTGCCAGGCTTTTGCAATGTGTGATCATTTTCTATAACTAAATCCCCATTGTTTTTTGTTTTTGTTTTTTTTAAACAATCGAATTCTGTGGTCTTTGAAGCTCCTGTTTAGTGAATGAGTGTGCTAGGTGTCATGGTTTGCACCGTGCCATCCAGACAGCCAGACGTGGCCACCCAACAGGTGCCAGACAGGGGATTTGAACAGTGCCCTAATCCTGCTGTCTTACCTCTGAGCCATAATTCACCTCATGTATCAGTCTGAAGTCCGATCTTTCCTTATCTCCAGCACTAGGGGGCTGGACTTTACCTGTGGCTGCTCCTGTCGATCTCAATCCACCTTAAGCAGATGCCTAATTAGCCAGGTATAAGACACTGCCTCTCCATGAGAGCAGTGTCAGTTCATTGTCTCTGGTTTTTCTGTTTGGTTTCTGTTATTGTGTATCTTGATCATCTGTTCTCCAGACTGCTTCCAGCTTCCGACTTTGGCTTATTTATTTGTTTACTCTGACCTCTGACATTCTCTGACTACAGATATTCCTTGACTATTCTTCAGCTTATCCTTGCCTGTACTGCGACTTGGAGCACTATTCCTCCACAGCCACCGTGCACAGATTCGCAGTCCAGGTGGCTTCTTACCTGGTCACCTTGGACTGTCTATCTACAAGGGTGAGCATACATCTCTGTGCTACAGACTCCAACCAAGTTAAGCCGTGACACTAGGTTAGCTACATAGTTACAAAGGCTAAAAAAACGGACGTGACCATCAAGTTCAGCCTTCCTCACATTTGGTTTTTGCTGTTGATCCAAAAGAAGGCAAATAAACAGTTTGAAGCACTTCCAATTTTGCAACAAACTAGGAAAAATCCCTTTTGTTCCTAGAATGGCAGTTAGATTTATCCTTAGATCAAGAAGCTATTAATTACCCTTCAATTGAAAAATTATATAATTTAATATTATGTTTTTGCAAGTATGCATCTAGTTGCTGTTATACATCTGTACGGACTCTGATAAAACCACTTCTTCAGGCAGAGAATTCCATGTCTTTATTTTTCTTACGGTAAAAAAACCCTTTCCTTTGCCTTAGACTAAATCTTCTTTCTTCCAGTCTAAACACATGACCTCATGTCCTGTTTTGAATAGATTTCCACACAATGGTTTGTATTGGACCTGGATATATTTGTATAATGTTATCATATCCCCTCATTCTATATGTTGTATCCATTGGTCCTAGCAGAACCTTTATAATGTATGCAGCCTTCCTGGATCCATTACGTGGACTTGAACACACCTCCATCCCCACAGATAAACTATGGGTGAGGGCAGTTAAAATGATGATGACTAGGCAGGGACCCATGGGTGGTGGATGGGGTCTACTAATATAAGCCTCACTGTAAGCCTCAATTTAATATTTATTTTAGTAAACATGTAAAATTAATTAATATTTTGAAACATATGTTAATATTTTGATATTTTTTTAAAAATTTGAAATCTTAGTCAGATGCCTCCGGTTTTCTTGTAAACCAACCAATCAGAGCGTCCTGACTGACAAGTCATGAAACCTTTTTTGGAATACTCACAGGCAAGTCTCATAAGAGGAATTAAAACCTCCCTCATACTAATATGGGGTTTATATTAACCACTGGTCAGCCACCATATCTGATTCACTAAACAGCTTATCCATTATTCAGTACCTCAGGGATGCATGCATCTGATTGGCCTCACATTTAGTCTGCAACTTGACAACAACCCCAAACTTAGAGCCAAAGTCATTATAAACTATCTTCAGAGTAAAGAACAAGAAGTGATGGTATGGCCTACATGGACCCCTGATGTCAACATCATCCAATCTGTCCGAGATTATATGAAGAGACTGAGATTGTCTAAATCCACAAGAGAACTTTGGTTAGCTCATTACAGATGTTTGGAATAACCTAACTGTCGAGTTCCTTACAGAACTGTTTGCAAGTGTACCTATAATAAACTAATGCTGTTTTGAAGGAAAAGGGTGTTTACACCAAATACTGATTTGATTTAGATTTTCCTTCTGTTCCCTTTAGATACTTGATCAAAATAAACTATTAGTATTTCTGTTTCTGAAAGCATTCTTACTTTACAGTATATTTTAACACCTGCCTAAAACGTTTGCACAGTATATACATTCTTCATCTGGTGGAACTTCAAATAACTTTACTACTTTCATCATCTAGTACAATTTCTGAACAGTAATGACAATATGGCATTTCCATAATAAAATGCAAGAAAACTCTTACCCAGAATTCCAATCTCCAGACCATTTAAGCTTTCTTCTATGTATTCATAAATACTGCCTTTTGTGAAGTCAACTTGTATGATCTTGACATTTCTCCCCGTTGAATGTTCTGTTCAGAATACCAACAAACAATGATGAATCAAGTGCTCATATAGGCTTTATAGACTTTGCACAATAGGTGTGGTCCTCAACAAATATTCCAAGTATGCCTATGTGCAGACTATAATGTTTCATACATATTTTTAAGCCTCCCAAAACACTAAAAGTTAAAAAGTACAAAATTAAAATGCTTTTTGATTCCTTACATTGTGCATCATATTTGCCACTTTAAACATGACTTTTGAGCCATCGTGTAACCAGCCAGTGTGGTAGATCCATGTCTAGATATATCTTAATACACATCAGGAGTTTTATTGTGCAATGCTCTTAAAGGATCACATATATTTCCAATGTTAGAGGTACTCCTCTAATGATAAAATAAAGCAATTTACTTACCTTCAATCCCACGCTGTGTCGGCCTAATTGTGGTGACTGCTGCTCCACCTCTCACTGAGATCTCTATTACTAATGTTTTCAGGTATTCCAATGCTTCTCCACAGTGAATTATTACGGACTTAATGTGCATGCACAGCAATTACTGTGCTAACCAGCATTTCCTCATAGAGATGAAATATCTCAGTGCATCTTTTTAGGAAGCATTCAGCATATTCATGCAGAGCGTGAAGATGCCAAACGTGAAACATGCAAAGATTTCAGAACCGTAATGGGAAGCACTTGTAGAGGATGTCTGAGTGAAAGCCACTAGAGGTGTCCTTCAGGAGAAATGTAAACATTGCCTTTTTTACTATTTCATTGAAAAAATATTGTTTTGACCTGACCCTAGGAAAAAAAATGATCACTTACCAATTTCCATTGCAACTGTCTTCATTTTCTCAACCGTTCGGCTGATCATTACAATATTCATCCCACGTTTAGCAAGCTAGGAAAAAAAATAGAAACATTGTGGAAAAAAACATACAGTTTATAGTCCAGAAGTATAGCTAAAGAAAAATAAAGTTTAAACCATTTGTTAAGAAATTGGAAATACTTAAAGGGACTCTCCAGTGCCAGGAAAACAAAACCATTTTCCTGGCACTGCAGGGTCCTGCCGTGCCTCCCACCCCCATCCCATGTAGCTGAAGGGGTTCAAACCACTTCAGTGACTTTCCTGAATCCAGCGCCGATGTCCCGCCGGCTGGGGAGACCTAATGCGCATGCGCAGCATTGGCCAAACGCGCGCAATAGATCTCCCTTTAGGAAAAGCATAGCGTGAGGACATCCAGCGTTGTTTAAAACACTTTTCAGGTTTTAAGAACCCAGGAAGTCCCTCTAGTGGCTGTCTGGTAGACCAGTGTTTCCCAACCCAGTCCTCAAGGCACACCTACCAGTCCAGGATTTAGGGATTACCCAGTTGTGTCTAAGGTGTTTTTACAAAGAAGATAAAAAACACCTTAGACACTGTTACAAAAGACTGGAAATCACTATGTTGCTGTTTTAACTCACCGATTGATACTGTTTGCCACTGCATAAGTTAAGCAGAAAACCACACGAATGGATTACGCGAACCCTTATGAAGGCTCCATTCGTGGTACGAACGGGGGACCCCCCAGAAACTGGCGTGTGCCGCTACTTAACCCCGTCACCCCGCAAACTACCGAACGGTCGACCACCCGGCCCTCGGAGTGTGGCAGCCATTAACCACCCAGGTGTCTGCGGTTTGCGGTTAACCACAACGTAATTGGTAGGCCTGGGGGCATCGACGTTTGCACCCAAAGTACCGAAGGGAAAATACTGAACTATCAACCGAACGACGACCCCCTACAGCGGGTCGCGTGGCGCTCGTTAACTTGTGGTTTCTGCGGTTAACCGCAGGTCAAGTACCCTGCTCCCAGGTGGTCCTCATTCCCTTACCGAACGAGCCCACTACCAGACAGACAGCGGGACTTCGCATGAACTGATACCGAGTTTAGTTCCACGAGTTAGACACGAAGTCCCGCTGCTCGCTAAACCAGCAGAAAACATGGCCGCCAACAAAGACTAACAATCTCAAAATGCCGAACGGACTTTATACGGCAGAAACAGTACATTCTGTTCGTGGGATTAGAGCGCCATTCGCCTGTTTTATATACACGAACGCGAGCCTTCAGATGAAGGGTAGAATGAGTGGTGTTACTGTAATAATGTACAAGTTATGGATTTTCATGTAGTTTGCTGGGACATAATAACACGTGGTCTTTTGTGCGCTTGGAGATAATTAGATTGTAAAACCGTTGGCCTCATTATCTCCAAGCTGGGCGGGTACTAATTCAAATGATACAGTGTACTGTGATTGGTTACCTGTTTGTACTGTACCTGTATTCCATCAGGTCCACAGGGGGCTGTCCTTGGACCTGGGGAATCACATAAATTGCCATGCTATGTGCCAGTAAAGCCAGTTCATTTTGACCCTCAACTTGCAGCCTCGACTCATGTTGTAGGGATCCGGGATATTGATGCTTATATCGTGCTTGGGGATATTCTACATTTGCAGCTTACTACCGAAAGACCTCCGTTCGACTCTCTGCAGCGGGAACCAGGACATCCAAGCAATCAACCCTCCTGCTAGACCGGGGGTAATCGTAACAATTGGTGGCAGCGGTGGGATCATCCTGGAATTCCTGAAAGAGATATATAGGATAAGCTGAAGCGTACCACGTTAAAGGATTTACTCGAGAGCCGTGGAGGGAACGCAAGTAACCGGCCGAGGAGAGAATTGATTGCCGACCTGAACGAGTTGGATCAAAGCTTCACCATGGCAGAACCGACGGCAGCATGCAGCGATGAGAAGACCAGGCTTGTCCGAGAAAGGCTGCCTCTGTACGGACCGAACCCATCCGTGGAGCTGATACAGCAACTAATGGCAGAAGCCGAGGCGGACGTACAGCGGACTAGAGCCCACGAGCTGAGCATGAAGACCGCTGATAGCCACAACGGCCCCCTAGAAACTACCGAACAGCCAAAGATTCCGTTCGCGGCATTCAAGCCGTTCGCGGAGAATGAGATGGGGATAGACGAATTTTTGGCCGATTTTGAAAGACAATGTGCCCTGCATCAGATCCCCGTCGCCGCGTGGCCGCGTATCCTGGCAGGAAAATTAACCGGGCGGGCCATGGAAGCCTTCCGAACCCTCAGCGCAGAAGAGGTAGCCCAATACACCACAGTAAAAGAGACACTGCTGAAACGGTACGCTGTGACCCCAGACACCTACCGAAGGCAGTTCCGCAGCACGAAGAAAAAAGCGAATGACACACATGCCGAATGGGCACACCGTATGCGGAGAGCTGCTACCCATTGGATTACCGGGTGTCGGGCCGTCACGGCCGCGGAAATATTGGAACTTTTCTTATTAGAACATTTTTATGAGGGTCTGGAACAAAAAGACCGGGAGTGGTTGAAAGACCGGCGTCCCGCTAACCTACACGAAGCAGCCCGGTTGGCAGACGAACACCGGGATGCGCAAGTACAGGAGTTCAACAATGCCCGAACGGTAACTCGCCCCGAAGCAAGAGAGGGATACCGATCAACTCCACGAACGGAGTTTCGCAACCCTGTACCCGCAGGTCCTACACGGTACCCGGGACCACCCAGCCACTACCCTCAGGAACGCTCCCGACCCACATGTTATAAGTGCAAGCAACCGGGGCACCTGATAGCGAGTTGCCCCCTCAACAACAATTACCCCGCACGGAACTATAATTCCGCTCCAACGGGAAACAATCGTCCAGCTCGAGCGTTTTGCCTGGAACAAGACAGTCCTTTAGAAGAATAGCTGCGACCCCTACATGAAGCTAATCCTGTGTATGCCGCCAGTGACAATAGACAACACCACCGGCAAGAGGTACTGCTAGAGGGTCGTCCCACACAGGGGTTAAGAGATACCGGGGCCACGATCACCTTGGTACAAAGCCGGTTAGTCCCCGACTACAAACGCTCTCCTGACACAGTGGCTGTCCGGGTGGCTGGAGAGGACATATACAAACTACCCACAGCAAAGGTACACTTGGATTGGGGTGCGGGAAAAGGACTTGTGAGGGTGGGAATTATGGATAATTTGCCAGCCGAAGTTTTGCTGGGAAACGACCTGGGACCTATGACTTCCGCTTATGCCCCTTCCTACAACGCTGAGGCACATCCTGTGACGACCCGGTCACAAGCTGGACGAGTACGAGACCCTTCACCAGTGCGGGAGGCTCAGGTGACCCCCCCTCCTACCCCTTTGCCCTGGGACACCCCTGCAGCCTTTGAGGCTGAGACCAAAACTGACCCGACGCTCCAAAAATATAGGGAAAGGGCTGATACAGGGACTGGGGGATCAGACCAGGAGACTTTTGCGTGGGAACAGGGCCGACTGTACCGACACACCGAGAAAAAGGGCCACCGGAGGAGACAGTTAGTAATACCCCACAAGTATAGGCGAGATATCCTCCGGGTGGGTCATGATATTCCCTTAGCCGGGCACTTGGCAGTAACCCGTACCCTGCACCGTATTACCCATACCTTGTTCTGGCCAGGAGTACATGCAGATGTGAGGTCCTATTGTAATACGTGTGAGGTGTGCCAACGGGTAGGCAAACGAGGAGACCACCCCAAGGCACACCTCGTTAACATGCCCATTATTGACGAGCCGTTTAGCCGGGTAGCCATTGACTTAGTTGGGCCCCTGGCCACCCCTAGTCCCTCGGGCAAGAGATACATTCTTACCATAGTGGACTATGCTACCCGCTACCCAGAAGCTGTGGCTTTATCCAATATCCAGGCAGACACGGTGGCTAATGCATTAGTGCAGGTGTTTTCTCGGGTAGGATTCCCTAGGGAGATCCTATCCGACAGGGGATCACAGTTCACGGCAGAACTGACCCAGCAGCTATGGCACGTTTGCAAAATAAAATCCCTTCTTAGCTCCCCGTACCACCCCCAGACCAATGGGCTATGTGAGCAGTTCAACGGAACCCTCAAGCAGATGTTGAAAACCTTTACCCAGGAGTATAGGGACTGGGAACGTTTCCTGCCGCACCTCCTGTTCGCTTACCGGGAAGTGCCCCAGGAAACCACCGGGTTCTCTCCCTTTGAGCTGTTATACGGTCGCAAGGTACGGGGTCCCCTGAACCTGATCCGTGAGCACTGGGAGGGAGAGACAGAGAACGCCGGGGTCCCCATCGTGCCTTACGTACTAGAGCTCAGGGACCGAATGGAGCAATTGGCTAAGTCAGTCCAGGCCAACCTCCAGGCGGCCCAGGGGCGACAGAAAGTCTGGTACGACCGGGGGGCACGGCGGAGAACCTTCTGTCTCGGACAGAAAGTCATGGTACTAAAACCAGTTAAGGCAGACAAGCTACAAGCAGCCTGGCAGGGTCCCTACCAGATAGTAGAGAAGAGAGGAGACACCACTTATGTAATTGCCAGCTTTCACGATGAAAACTTAAGGAAGATATTTCACGTGAACATGTTGAAGGAATACTTGCAGAGACCCGAGGAAGTGGTAGCCATATGTAGCCCTGCACACGAGGATGCAGAGAGTCTCCCTATACCCGACCTATTAACCCCTAACTCCCCAGTTGAAATAGTGAGCCAAGTGCAGATCGGGGACAGACTTAGCCCAGTTGAGAGGGAGCAGCTACACAAACTGCTCCGAGAGAAACAAGCCATGTTCTCCCAAGAGCCAGGGTACACTGAGCTGACCACTCACCAAGTAGATACCCCCGGCCAAAACCCTTTGAGACAGGCGCCCTACCGAATTCTGGAGGCAGTAAGGACAGGCATGAAAAAGGAAATAGATGAGATGCTGCGACTAGGGGTCATTGAAGCTTCCGATAGTCCCTGGGCATCCCCGGTGGTGCTGGTCCCCAAAAAGGACGGCACCACCAGATTCTGTGTAGACTACCGGAAACTCAATGACAAAACTGTCACCGATGCCTACCCCATGCCCAGAGTGGATGAGCTGCTAGATCGCATAGCCAGGGGGAACTACCTAACTACCATTGACCTCTGTAAGGGTTACTGGCAAATCCCCCTGGCCAGGGAGGCTGTCCCCAAGTCGGCCTTCGTCACCCCGTTCGGTCTGTACCACTTTAAGGTCATGCCGTTCGGGATGAAGAATGCCCCCGCTACCTTCCAGCGCTTGGTGGACAGACTCCTTGATGGCTTCCAGGAGTTTGCCTGCGCATATCTGGACGACATAGCGATCCACAGTGAATCCTGGGAAGAACACCTGGCTCATGTGGGAATAGTCCTAGACCAGATTCGAGCCGCCGGCCTGACGCTAAAGCCCGAAAAATGTCACTTTGGGATGGCTGAGGTTCAGTACCTGGGTCACCGGGTAGGCTGTGGGAAGCAACGACCGGAGCCAGCTAAAATAGAAGCGGTCACCAACTGGCCCACTCCCCACACTAAGACCCAAGTACTAGCCTTTCTGGGTACCGCTGGGTACTACAGAAAATTTGTACCGGAGTATAGCGCCAAACCCCTGACCGACCTGACAAAGAAAAACCTTCCCCGACAGGTCCTGTGGTCTCCCCACTGTGAAACGGCTTTCCAAGCCCTCAAAACTGCGTTGATTAATGCTCCTGTCTTGGCTGCCCCAGCCCCTAATCGACGTTTTATTGTCCATACAGACGCTTCCATGTTCGGGCTGGGAGCTGTCCTCAGCCAAGTAGGAGAAGATGGGAAAGAACACCCGATTGCCTACATCAGTCGAAAACTCCTACCACGCGAAGTCAGCTATGCAGCGGTAGAAAAGGAGTGTTTGGCTCTGGTGTGGGCACTAAAGAAGTTAACCCCCTATTTGTATGGACAAGAGTTCACTCTAGTTACAGACCATAACCCGCTGGTGTGGCTCAACCGGGTCGCTGGGGACAATGGCAGATTGTTACGCTGGAGCTTATCCCTGCAACCCTTTAATTTCACAATCACCTACCGACCTGGGAAGCAGAACGGCAACGCAGATGGATTATCCCGGCAAACAGATCTCAGCCCAGCATAACCCCACGAGTCTGGACAGCCTTAGTCTGCCCCGAAAAGGGGTCAGACAGTGTCTGCCAGAGTGTTCCACAAAGAGGGAGCATTGTTACAAAAGACTGGAAATCACTATGTTGCTGTTTTAACTCACCGATTGATACTGTTTGCCACTGCATAAGTTAAGCAGAAAACCACACGAATGGATTACGCGAACCCTTATGAAGGCTCCATTCGTGGTACGAACGGGGGACCCCCCAGAAACTGGCGTGTGCCGCCACTTAACCCCGTCACCCCGCAAACTACCGAACGGTCGACCACCCGGCCCTCGGAGTGTGGCAGCCATTAACCACCCAGGTGTCTGCGGTTTGCGGTTAACCACAACGTAATTGGTAGGCCTGGGGGCATCGACGTTCGCACCCAAAGTACCGAAGGGAAAATACAGAACTATCAACCGAACGACGACCCCCTACAGCGGGTCACGTGGCGCTCGTTAACTTGTGGTTTCTGCGGTTAACCGCAGGTCAAGTACCCTGCTCCCAGGTGGTCCTCATTCCCTTACCGAACGAGCCCACTACCAGACAGACAGCGGGACTTCGCATGAACTGATACCGAGTTTAGTTCCACGAGTTAGACACGAAGTCCCGCTGCTCGCTAAACCAGCAGAAAACATGGCCGCCAACAAAGACTAACAATCTCAAAATGCCGAACGGACTTTATACGGCAGAAACAGTACATTCTGTTCGTGGGATTAGAGCGCCATTCGCCTGTTTTATATACACGAACGCGAGCCTTCAGATGAAGGGTAGAATGAGTGGTGTTACTGTAATAATGTACAAGTTATGGATTTTCATGTAGTTTGCTGGGACATAATAACACGTGGTCTTTTGTGCGCTTGGAGATAATTAGATTGTAAAACCGTTGGCCTCATTATCTCCAAGCTGGGCGGGTACTAATTCAAATGATACAGTGTACTGTGATTGGTTACCTGTTTGTACTGTACCTGTATTCCATCAGGTCCACAGGGGGCTGTCCTTGGACCTGGGGAATCACATAAATTGCCATGCTATGTGCCAGTAAAGCCAGTTCGTTTTTGACCCTCAACTTGCAGCCTCGACTCATGTTGTAGGGATCCGGGATATTGATGCTTATATCGTGCTTGGCGATATTCTACATTTGCAGCTTACTACCGAAAGACCTCCGTTCGACTCTCTGCAGCGGGAACCAGGACATCCAAGCGATCAACCCTCCTGCTAGACCGGGGGCAATCGTAACAGACACAACTGGGTAATCCCTAAATCCTGGACTGGTAGGTGTGCCTTGAGGACTGGGTTGGGAAACACTGTGGTAGACAGCCACTAGAGGAGGACTTAACCCTGCAAGGTAATTATTGCAGTTTATAAAAACTGCAATAATTACACTTGCAGGGTTAAGGGTGATGAGAATTGGTACCAAGACCACTCCAATGGGCAGAAGTGGTCTGGGTGCCTGGAGTGTCCCTTTAATACAGCTAGGATTTGTGTACCAAAGAAAGCGCATTCCTATTTCAAAACCAAGTTACACATTTTTATATATCGGGGATGTACTTATGGGGATTTTGACACTAGTACTCTAACCTTTTTATTACTAGTCTTTGCAAAAATTCCAATAAATATATTTTGAACATTTATAGATGCAACATTGCATTTTTGCAATATGATTTACAATATTCTTGCATTTTGTTAGATACATATATGTCTACCTTTAAAGGATCACTATAGTGTCAGGAAAACAAAGCGGTTTTCCTGACACTATAGTGCCCTGAGGGTGCCCCCACCCTCAGGGTCCCCCTCCCGTGGTGCTGAAGGGGTTAAAAAACCCTTCAGCAGCTTACCTTTATCCAGCGACCTCTCCTCCCACGCCGACGTTAGCTCCCTAGTGGAGCGGAATGCGCATGCGTGGCATTTCTCAATGCTTTCCTATGGACGCTCTGCGCGATGGATGTGAAATTCGCATCCAGCGTCGCAGATGCGCCTCTAGTGGCTTTCTGGAAGACAGCCACTAGAGGTTGGATTAACCCTGCAATGTAAACATAGCAGTTTCTCTGAAACTGCTATGTTTGCATCTGAAGGGTTTAAACCTGTGGGACCTGGCACCCAGACCACTTCATTGAGCTGAAGTGGTCTGGGTGACTATAGTGTCCCTTTAATCTTTTTTGGTTAAATTACAGATACAAATTTGGGACCTTAGAATTTTAGTTTCAAAAATTTATAATTTTGACACTTGTTTTTATATTTGGCATCTGTTAAAAGCATGCACTGGGTTTACATTTGGTTGCCATGTCATTGTTAATATCTGACTCCTGTGTTTTTTATATTGGTGGCATGCGGATATTACTGATTTTCTGAATGCTTCCGAAAAAATTATAGTTGGTAGGACCAACAGAACAAAAGTGTTTATTGAATGACCCTACATATGTAGAAAACATTTTTATGGAATGGCTGCGAGGGAGAGAAATTACATTTAACATGTAATCCCCCCAAAATAATTAATTTATTTTGTATTTAATTTTTTTTATGTTATAGGTAATAACTTCCAGGTAACAGTTTACAGTTTATCCATGTGTTTTGCAGTGAGCACAAGGGTGTTAATTAATATATTTATACATTATAGAGCAAGATATACTATGCCACTAATGTATGCATATTAACATTTTCTATATCTTTTTACACTTTTTTTTTGAGAAGAGGTATACTGGAATTCACTTTTATATAGCAATTCTTCTATTGAAGCTAGGTCTAATGTACTTGGGTGTAATGGGAATACACTGGGTTAATTGAGTATGGGAGTTTTGGGTCTAAAGTTTTTTTTAAATATTTTTTATTTTATTAGGTTATTAAATAGTTTTGATTCTAAAAAAGCAAGGAATGTAAGGTCTGGTTTTATACTCAGTATTTAAGGTTGTTAATATAATTTTACACTACAAATTGTTTGGTATATTCATTTCATATTTTAGTCAAGTTCACTGAGTGAATTCCTATAACAAGCATGTAGGGGAGATAGTCTTAATGTATTTGCATACATTTTTGTCTTACCTCAATTGAATATGCTTTACCAATACCATCTCCAGCCCCAGTCACAACTGAAAAGGAAAAATAAGTTATTTGAATATGTGTTTTGCCTTTAAAATAAATTATTACAAATACAACTTTTATTGCTGATTCCTTGAATTTGGTACATAATTGGATCAGCACATACCAAATTCAAATGAAGCACTTAGATCCAAACTGTAATATTCCAGAAAATATCTAATATTTATGGGAAAATATTATACACAAAATTACAGAATAGTGTCAATTTAAAAGGGAACTTAACAGTTCAGAATTTAACTGGCCGTGTTTAATATGTAATTATTGTCCTTAGCACATTCAAAAAGCAGCAACTGATAATGAGGGACATTGAATATTATTATATTAGTGTACTGGATCTTTGTCTTCCAAAACTATAATGCTAATTAAGCTATATGCATCTAATCTTCTTAATCAGTTGTTTTTGGATGCATTTAATATCAATATTCACAGGTCTGGCCTTGTTAATTAATGTAAATTATTGGCATATGCTAATAATGTATTACTCTTTATCTCAGATCATTTTTGATTCTAAACTACTCTAAATGTCTTTAAAATAAAATGGATTTAGACAAATGAGAGAAATCCAATATTTCATGGTAAGAAGGATCCATTCAATAAAATAAATTTTCTTCCTCATCTTTAATTTTTTTTTTTTTCAGACATCACATCTTTATTTGAATTTATCCAGTTTTAGTCATTTAAAATGATTATAAATAGTTTTATTTGGTGCAAAAATGCAGAGTAGCTGAGTGCACTTTGTGCATATTTAACAGTTGGGTAACCACAATCTTCCACATATTTTGATGTATTATTTTGGAATGTGATCACTAATTGGTGCAATCTACATGCGGAGGGTAGGACAAACAGGAAAGTGCACATAATAACTGAGGAACAAGTGTTAAGCGCTTCACTGCTCCACACTCAAAAGTAGAAGAGGTGGGTCAACAATGTTATTGTAACACAGACAAAGAACAAATTGAGGGCACAACATACATACTGTTAATTTAAGACATTTACATTACGAATAACTCAAGAACCTTTTCAACTTTTTTGCAAGCTTAGTAATATCTGCTATTCTGTTGGTTGGACAGTAATCCATCTTCATTGATCACTGATTTGATGTGATATTTGATATCAATATATTTAAATCTTTGACAATGTGGATTCATTGAAAGAGCTATTGTGCCCTGATTGTCCCTGAAGACTTGTACTGACTCATATTGACATTCATTGTCCATTCACCTGTGCAATTTCACCGGCTACAAACTTTCTTGTGTAGCAGTTAAAGCCAGCTTCATATAAGGACAGTCACCATAGTGTTTCTAGGACTTTGATGCAATCAGTGGACCCTTCTTTGTTAAAATTCTACAGAATCTTTAATAAGTATATATTTTGGTTCATCGTTACTAGTTATGCTCCCAACCAAGGATCACTTAAATGGTAGCTCAACATGAGTTGAAAGCTTTCCTTTAATGCTCTGCATTTAATCCCTGTATTTCTTAAGCCAATAACATTTAATCCTATTTGAGTCCACTTTAAAGTTCATCCATAAACTAGCCTAAGTGTGATGTATAGGCCCCCAGGACAAATAGAAGAGTTTGATAGTCTACTAGTTGAGGAAATAGCTAAAATGACAATGAACGGGGAAGTTATCATCACGGGTGACTTTTATCTTCCTGACGTAAACTGGAAAACCGAAATAGCTGCTTGTGCTAGGAGCACACATATTCTAAACTCCATACTGGGTTTGTCTCTAAAACAAGTCGTTGAGGAGCCAACTCATAAAGAGGCCATACTAGATTTAGTGTTAACAAATGGAGTTTTGATATCCGCTATTACTGTAGGTGAAAGTTTAGGATCCAGTGATTCAGTGTGGTTTAATATAAGAACAGTGACTGAGTCACCACAAAAAAACTAAAGTTTTAGACTTTAGAAAAACAGACTTTAGAAAAAAATTATAATATGTGTAAAGGAGTCATTATCAGACTGGAGCAATTTAAATGGAGTCCAAGAGAAATGGGATTATTTAAAAATTGCACTGCTGAAGGCAACAGAAAATTGCATTAGGCTTATCAGTTAAAGCAAAAAATTAAGAAACCACTGTGGTATTCCGTAGATGTGGCCAAAATAGTAAAAACCAAAAATTTTGCATTTCTTAATTATAAAAAAAACCAGAGTGAGGAAGACAGAATGATATATAAGATAATGTATCTTGGATGTAAAAACCCAAGGGCAGAGTACAGAATATTTGATAGTCCTAACCTCAACATCTGAGGAAAGGGGTTTAGAGGTAATTATTTCAGATGACTTAAAGGTAGACAGACAATGTAATGGAGCAGCAGGAAATGCTAGCAGAATGCTTGGTTCTATAGGGAGAGGTAGTAGAAAGAGAGAAGTGCTCATGCCATTGTACAGAACACTGGTGAGACCTCACTTGGGGTATTGTACACAGTACTGGAGACCATATCTCCAGAAGGGTTTTGATACTTTAGAGAGAGTTCAGAGAAGGGTAACTAAACTGGCATGATAAAACTTACAAGGAAAGGTTAAAGGATCTTAACATGTATAGCTTGGAGAAAAGACGAGACAGGGGGAAATATGACAGAAACCTTTAAATATATAAAGGGAATCAACACATTAAAGGAGGAGACTATATTTATCCCCTTAAGGACTGGACTGTTTTTGCGATGTTGTACATTTGCGACCAGGAATATTTTTACACTTTTGTGGTGTTTGTGTTTGGCTGTAATTTTCCGCTTTCTCATTTACTGTTCCCATACAAATTATATATTGTTTTTTCAGGACAAAATGGGCTTTCTTTACATACCATTATTTATATAATCTCATGTATTTTAATTTAAAAAAAAATACAAAAATCTGATGAAAAATTGAAAAAAATACATGTTTTTTGACTTTTACTTGAAAAATCTTTTACTCATCTACAAAAGCGAATGAAAAAAACTGCTAAATAGATTCAAAATTTTGTCCTGAGTTTAAAAATACCTAGTGTTTACGTGCTTTTTTGCTTTTTTTTGCATGTTATAGGGCTATAGGTACAAGTAGGATATTGCGGTTTAAAAACATACATTTTTAAAATTTATCAATAGTGACATTGTAACACTATTATCTGTCATAAATCTCTGAATAACACCCCACATGTACATATTTTTTTTAAAGTAGACAACCCAGGGTATTCAATATGGGGTATGTCCAGTCTTTTTTTAGTAGCCACTTAGTCGAAAACACTGGCCAAAGTAAGCATTCATATTTGTTTGTGTGTGAAAAAAGTAAAAAAACTAAATTGAACGCTAATTTTGGCCAGTGTTTGTGACCAAGTGGTTACTAAAAAAGACTGGACATACCCCATTTGCAATACCTTGGGTTGTCTTCTTTTGCAAATGGTATGCCATCATGGGGGTATTTCTCATTCCTGGGCTACCATACGCTCTCAAAGGCAACGTAACCAACCTGGCCATTTTCAATGTAAAAATATTTGACCCATATATTTGACCTTGTAACTTTCAAAAATGCTATAAAACCTGTACATGGGGGGTACTGTTTTACTCGGGAGACATCGCTGAACACAAATATTAGTGTTTAAAAACTGGAAAACGTATCACAACAATTATATCATCAGTAAAAGTGCTGTTTGTGTGTGAAAAATGCAAAAAAAAGTAACTTTCACTGACAATATCATCGCTGTGATATGTTTTAATGTTGTGAATCACTAATATTTGTGTTCAGCGAAGTCTCCCGAGTAAAACAGTACCCCCCATGTACAGGTTTTAGGGTGTCGTAGAACGTTACAGGGTAAAATACAGTGCTAACAAATTAAATTCTCTGGAATTTCGGCCTGGGTTGGCAGGCAGGTCCCTCAAATTGCAATCAATAAAATTACTGAATTATGTAAAAATATTACATAAATACGCACGTAGAATTTAAATATATATGCATATTTATATATTTGAAGTCTACGTGTATATTTATATAATTATTTATGTAATTTTGTATATGGACATATGTATATTTCTTATTATTTTTATTTACTTTTATATACATAGATATATATACAAATTCATTCTAAGTGTATTTTGATATAAATATATATATATTAATTTTAAAATACAGTTAGAATAAAATTTCATATAGCTATATAATTTTTTTTAAATTTTTTATTATTATTTTTAAAAAAATTATTTAATTTAAATTACTTAGTTATATTTTATAATAATATATATATACATATATATAGTTATTATATATATTATATATATACGTGTGTAATTTAATTATAAGTGTATTTTTATATTAATATAAGTACATATTAATATAAAAATACACTTAGTATGGCATTATATATATGATATATAGACATATATTATATAGATATAATATATGTCTATATATCATATTTATACATATATAATTATTATTATTTTTTTTATTACCATTAACTTTATTTTTTTTCCTGATTTTACAGTTGCAGGGAGACTGCCTGTCAGCACAGACAGTCCCCTTGCAGGCAGACACTAGGACACCTATTGTGACCATGTGATCGCTGTGTTAAGCGATCACATGGCCACAGGGGTCCTAATCTGCCGTGGGGAGACTGTCTGGGCTGCAGGCAGTCTCCCTACAACCGGAGGAACACTGATCGCCGCCGGGGGAACGACGGCGATCAGGTAAGTACCCCCAGACCGTTTGGACGGTTCAGGACCGTCATCGGTCGGCAAGGCAAAAATGCCGATGACGGTCCTGAACCGTCCTCGGTCCTTAAGGGGTTAAAAGAAAACGTACCACAACAAGAGGACATAGTCTTACATTAGAGGGGCAAAGGTTTAAAAATCTCAGATATACGATAAGGCCAGGGACTAATGGAAGTATTTAGAAAATTGGGCCGACTGGTTCTTATCTGTTGCCACATATGTTTCTATGTAATGGAGGAGTGGAGCGGCAACAGGCAGACCCCAGGTCTCCTATTAACATTAATGGAAATATTACTGTATCCAAATGTAAAAAATAAACACATTTATTGTGTCTCAGTAACGTAATACTTCCTGATATTATTTTAGGACCCGCCATTTGTATATCACATGTCAGCTTGTGGAAAGGTCTGGGTTGTCAACTTGCAATGTGCCAGTCCTGCACATGTGGGAGACCCATGGCTAGAGTGAATACCGGCACATCAGAGAGTTGCCTCTAGTCTGCTCTCTATAACCTCCTCCATTGGACTTACACAGTAGTCTAATTCATCAACTCATAGAGCAGGAAACACTCTTGACCTCATCTTCACCAATCTCTGTACCACCTCTAATCTTTCCAATGTTCAATTTCATCTATCTGACCACCATCTGTTGTCCATTGACATCTGCATACCCCGTACCCAAAGTACACCACCCTCACCACATCAGTCTTGCAGAAACCTCCATTGTCTTGACCTACAGCAATTCTCCATCAACCTCCGAAGACTCCTTTCACCCATCTCAAAACTCCTCCTACCAACTTGACCGCCACAAACTTTGCAACTCGCCTCACTAAGAAGATTACTACAATCAGGGAAGAGATCTCATCTCTCCATCCACTACCAACTTTTCCCCTTACCACACTCCCTCAGCTTGGCTATTCAATTCCAGTTATTGAGGACATAATCCTTGATAAATAGATATATTATTAAAGTTCTTGATATATTATATTTTTAACTATTTGCCCCCTGCCAGTGCTAGGAAACTACAGGCAAACAGATTAAAAAAAAAATATCCTATGGAGGTCTATACAAAGTTGTATAAGGGAGGTTTATTACCTCCCTTGTGACTGCACACACCATGCCCATGGCTGACCACTGCTCTGGAGTTGCTCTTAAAATACATGTGAAATCCTGCACAGGTCACATCTGTGGACATCGGGTGCAGCCCTCATTTCAAAATCAGGAGTTAACAGATCTTGGTTCATTATGTCCCTATTAAAATAAAGAAAGGACAGAATCACAAAAAAAACATGGAAAAACAAATGGTGATGCAAATGAAAATTATTCATGTTAGCCCATTAAGGGTTCCACGCAGACTGAGCTTGCACGAAGGGCCAAGAGATTCCAAGTTCCACCTCCGGCAGAGTCCTCTCATGAGCCTGTCAGAGCATTGCTGTTGATGACCATGGCAAAGCTTCACATGTCATACACGTTGGGCTTGCGAGAGAGGGAGAGGTCCTGCTACCTGGATGCCAAAGTTTAAAGATTGAGACTCCAGGGCTCCCTCTTCACCATACAACATGCTGTGCCACCAGACCACCAAGGAATCTAGTTTCCTCTCTTCCTGGCCAGAGGTAACAGGCAGGAAGGGGGAATGGACTTAATTGTATTTATTTTTATTTATTTTTAAAAAACACACTGCATCCACAATACACACTGCATCTGTCATACATAAACACACACTTCATCCACTTTACACACACACTGCATCCACTTTACACACAAATTCTATGGATGCACTATACACACACTATATCCACTTAATACACACACTACATCCACTATACACACAATCCACTTTACTCATCCTTGTGGGTGGACTTGGGACTGGGCCCTGTTGGAGGACTCATGGGCAAGCCCTGGGAGGCCAGGCCTTGAGCCGTGTAAGGGGTCCCAAAATTTCTAATGGCAGCCCTGGCCACAACACACAGTCGTATACACACACAGAACTACCATTCAGTGTCTCCACCCTCTGCATTCAGACACTGAACTTTTCTTATAGAGTTGCATTGATTCACTCCACCACCTGCTCCCTAGATCCAATTCCCTCGCACCTCTCCGTACTCTGTCTTCTTCTCTTTCTCCACCTCTCACTAAAATTCTCAATCTCTCTCTCTCTCCTCTGGTATATTTCCATTTCCCTTCAAACATGCAACTGTAACCCCAATTCTAAAGAAGCCCAATCTTGACCCTAACTCCCCATCCAACTATCGTCCTATCTCGCTATTGCCTTTTGCATCCAAGATCCTTGAAAAAATTGTGTATGCGAGATTGACAGACTTCCTCGAGTCCAACTCTCTGCTAGACCCGCTTCAGTCTGGTTTCCGCGCTAAGCACTCTGTGGAAACGGCACTGACCAAAGTATCCAATGATCTACTCGCTGCAAAATCTAGTGGTCACTACTCTATCCTAATTCTCCTTGACCTGTCTGCGGCTTTTGACACTGTTGATCATCAACAGCTTCTTCTCATCCTCCGCAATATTGGTCTACAAGATACTGCTCTCTCCTGGTGCTCCTCCTACCTCTCCCAGTGCTCTTTCAGTGTTTCTTTCTCTGGCTCTGCTTCTTCTCCCAAACTCCTCTCTGTTGGTGTCCCCCAAGGTTCAGTCCTTGGTCCCCTACTGTTCTCCATCTATACTGCCTCCCTTGGTAAACTCATTAGCTCCTTTGGCTTCCAATATAATTTCTATGCAGATGACACGCAAATTTACCTGTCCTCTCCTGATCTCTCCCCGTCCCTCTTGACTAGTATCTCTGACTGCCTCTCTGCTGTTTCTAACTGGATGGCTGCCCACTTCCTTAAACTAAATTTGACCAAAACTTAAATTCTGGTCTTTCCTCCCTCAAGTGTTGTTACTCCTGTGTCTGTGTCCCTCCAAGTCAACGGTGCTACCATCAGCTCCACCACGCAGGCTCGCTGCCTAGGTGTTCTCTTTGACTCCAACCTCTCCTTCAAGCCTCATGTTCAATCTATCGCCAAATCCTGTCATTTCCATCTCAAAAACATTGCGCGCATCTGCCCCTACTTAACGCCAGATGCGACTAATGTGTTGGTCCATTCCACTGCCCTTTCTCGCCTTGACTACTGTAATCCGCTTCTCAGTGGTCTTACGTGCTCCCAACTAGCACCGTTACAGTCCATAATGAATGCGGCGGCGAGGCTCATCTTCCTGTCCGCCCACACCTCCCATGCCTCACCCTTCTGTCAGTCCCTACATTGGCTTCCTATAAAATATAGAGCTCAATTTAAAATTCTGGTTCTTGCTTTAAAATCTCTACATAATGCTGCTCCCACCTATCTATCCTCCCTTATACACCAGTATGTCCCGTCTAGGCCCTTACGATCTGCTGAAGACTTACGTCTATCTTCTGTCCGTACTCCCACCTCTGATGCTCACCTTCAAGATTTCTTGAGGGCTGCACCGTGGAACTCGCTTCCCTCCTCCGTTAGATGCTCACCCAGTCTCCACTCCTTCAAAAAATCGTTAAAAACCCACTTCTCCATAAAAGCGTATCAATTAAACTGTTAATAGCTCCTGACTGATTCCTCTACTGCAACTGTCATTAGTCTAATACTATCCTTACCTTTTTGTGTCATTTTACCCCGCTCCCTCTAGCATGTAAGCTCACTGAGCAGGGCCCTCAACCCCTCTGTTCCTGTGTGTCCAACTTGTCTGGTTACAACTACATGTCTGTTCGTCCACCCATTGTAAACCGCTGCAGAATTGTAGATTATACTAGCTTTAGTGTAACTATAATCTTAATTTTATTAATGACAGGAGGCGAATATTTGCTTAAGTCTCTCTTTACTTGAACTCCACAGCAGCACATTAACATAGAGAGATAAACACCAAAGACAAAAACATAAGGTATCTATATAAGGCTCCTCCTAAGCCACCATTTCCTCTTTCATGCTGCGACAACATAACGTACACAATAATGCCAATAAACTAATTAAAGGAAAAATATAACGTAACAATGAATGTCATCTGGAAACAACTTCGGATAACGGATGTGATCTTGATCTTCATCCTGTCCAACAGCCGATTCTAGGAACTGAAGTCGAACCATTAAACTGAAACGAAATAAACAGAGTCGAAAACACTGATTAGTGAACGAAATGTACTGATAAAACATAAATCCCACGATCCAGTTCTGATAGAATAAAAGATATGAAATCCATCATTAATTACTGGCAATACAATATAACAGACACCTCCCCCAACTTCCCCAAACATCACCCCAGACTACCAGACCTAGCCCAGGTGACCAGACAATTCAACAGAAATACAATCAATGCAATCCATCCAAACAAGGGGGGAGAAACAAAAGACTGGGTGGGAAATATTCGCCTCCTGTCATTAATAAAATTAAGATTATAGTTACACTAAAGCTAGTATAATCTACAATTTTGTAGCATGACAGGAGGCTTCATATTTGCGGTTTTAACGCTCCGACAGCAAAGCAAAAGAAGCATGGTCCGACGGTCTAAAGTAGAATTGGCGAAAAGTCTCTTCACGGGACCAGTCCCCCGAACGCAAAATGTCCTGAAAGGAAGTGCCCGCCAAAAAGGCTCCGGAAGCTGCGGCGCCTCTAACCGAATGCGCACTGAAGGTCGCATTCACGCCCGCCAGAGCCAAAAGCCATTTTATCCATCGAGCCAGGGTAGGGGATGAGACCGGCTTGTGTGGTCTGACATACGAAATCAACAGCTGTCCAGAATGAGAAGAGCGCAAAGGAGCGGTAACCGCAACATAACGAGCCAGTGCCTTCGCTACACAAAGCTTAGGCGAATCTTTGAAGTAAGGGTATGATACAACCGTCAAGTCCAACTTGGTACGTCTAACCACCTTGAAGGAGACCCCCTCTGGAGAAAACGAGAAAGCGTCGACAACGAAGGCCTGGACATCCGAAACACGTCTGAACGAGACCAGACACAACAAGAGGGCAAATTTTGCCGAAAGCTGGCGAAGAGAAAGGTCCCGGTTATCAGGCCAATCCCGAAGGAACGCCAAAACCAAACGTACGTCCCAGAGGGAAGAGTACTTGGGTGCCGGAGGGCGCGCCAGCCTCATTCCACGCAGGAGTCTGCAGACTAGCGGATCCTGGCCGATGGGAAAACCTCTAAGCGGGACATGTGCCGCCGAGATAGCTGACCTAGCCACGTTAACCGAGCGGTATGACCGACCCAGGTCAAAGAGGTGAGACAAGAAATTCAGCATGCTAGATACAGGACCTGTAAAGGGATCGGTATCCCGTTCCAAACACCAGCGACACCAGGAACCCCATGCTGAGAGATAGCACCTCCTCGTCCTGGGAGCCCAGGAATCCCAGAGAAGGTCTCTAGCCGATTGTGATAACGCCTCGACATTCCAGGCACCCCTGAAAGAGTCCAGGCCACCAGGAGCAGGTGGCCGTCTCCCACTAGGGGATGAAGGTTGCCCCGGGAGTCCGAGAGGAGCATTCGAGAGGATGGTAAGAGAAGAGGATCCCGACAGGAGAGATCCAGGAGCTCCGGAAACCAGGCTTGACTCTGCCATAGCGGAGTCAGCAACACCAAGGACACACGCTGCCGTCGAATTTGTAACAATACCCTGGGAATCATAGCGAATGGAGGAAACGCATACGCTCCCTGCGAAGGCCACACCTGGAGAAAAGCGTCCACCGCCGTGCACGCCGGATCCGGGAGCCAACTGAAGTACCTCTGGGTCTGGTGATTCGTCCTGGAGGCGAATAGATCCAAGGTGAACGGGCCCCTCTGATACCCGAGTTCGAGGAAGATGGGTCGCAGGAGTTTCCAGTCGCTGGCATCCCTCCAATGTCTGGAGAACCAGTCCGCCGTCAGATTCGACTCCCCCAGAAGATATTCCGCTTGTAAGGTGATGTTGCGTTGGAAACAGAAACTGTAAATCTCCTTCGTCACCTCCGATAGTGTTCGGGACTGAGCGCCCCCCAAGCGGTTGATGTACTGCACCGCTGAGACATTGTCCATCCGAAGGAGGACGCAGCAGTCCGACAGGTGGTTCGCCAGGCTCCGAATCGCAAATGAACCCGCAATCAATTCCAGGCAATTAATGTGACATTCCGATTCCTTGTCCGACCACGGGCCCCCCGTGGACCCGGCCGCGCACGTGGCACCCCAACCCCACAGACTCGCATCTGATTCCAGCACAAAATCCGGGTTTGGTCCGAATATCGCCTTGCCGTTCCAGGCGGACATATGCCGGAGCCACCAGCGCAGTTCGGTCTTCACGTCCGGAGACAGGGAGATCATCTGATCGTAAGATGGCCTCTTGCGCAGAAAATGAGCCTTCAGCCGTTGCATGGCCCTTTAATGCAGTGGGCCCGGGTAAATCGCCTGTATCGAGGCCGAGAGGAGACCCACCACACGAGCCAACATCCGAAGGGGAATCCGGTCTTGCCGTAAGATCTGTCTTATCTCCTTCCGAATGGTCGCTATCTTTGCCAAGGGCAGACGAAGAACGCATTCTATCGCATCGACCTCGAAACCCAAGAATTCCACCTTCTGGGAAGGTTCCAACGCCGATTTTTTTAAATTGACCACGAACCCCAGGTGTTCCAACAAGGAGATCACAGAGCGCGTCTGATATCTGAGCCTGGAGGGGTCCTCGCAAAAGATCAGCAAGTCGTCCAGATATATTATGCAGCGGACACCCTCTGACCTGAATCAGGCGACCACCGGCTTCAGGAGCTTGGTGAAGCACCAAGGAGCCGAGCTGAGGCCGAAGGGGAGGCATGTAAATTGGCATGGGATGCCCTTCCATAGGAAGCGAAGGAATCTGCGACAGTCCTCGTCCACCTGGACGGAGAGGTAGGCGTCCTTCAGGTCCAGTCTTGTGAACCAGTCTCCCAGCCGGAGAAGGTCCCGCAGAAGATGAATGCCCTCCATCTTGAAGTGGTTGAAGACCACGAAGGTGTTCAATTCTCGTAAATTGATCACTGGGCGGAACTCCCCGGACTTTTTCTTCACTAGGAAAATCGAGCTGAAGAAACCCCCAAAATCCGGGGCTCTTTGAACAGCGCCTTTGGCGAACAGTGCCCGAACTTCTGTATCTATCAAGGACTGTTGTTCTCTTGCGATGATGGGGACCCTTGGGGGTCGAACCTGTGTTGGAGGGGATTGGAAATCTATGACATAACCCCGTACCGTCTGAAGGACCCATACATCTGAAGACACCTCCCGCCACCTGTCTCTGCAGTGAAACAGTCTGCCCGCATGCAAAGTAGGGTGAACAAAAGTGGTAGGAGGTGCACTCACCTGCAGGAAATATCGCCCGTCCTCTGGCGCGGTATCCGCCCTCTAAGCGTAGGGGGTTCTGGAGTGGTATGACGGAAAGAAGGACGGACCACGGGATCTGTGGCGGCCCGAGGACCAGCCATGGCTGGAGACACGACCCCGCTGTCGTCCAGCCCGTCCAAAAACCCGGGATGATTGCGGCCGAAAAACCTTCTTAATGGAAGATTGAGCTTTATCCAGGGAGGTAAACAGGTTGACGTGCGTCTGTAGCTCCTTAATGAAGGGTTCCCCGAACAATAGGCCCTTAGCCATGGGGCCCAATTCTTTGGAGCCCAGTTCCGATTTGTTGTCCATACGGAACAGAGCTGTCTTCCTGCGCTCCGTGCAGAGGGCCACATTGGCATTGCCTAGCAGGCAAATGGAACGTAGTGCCCAGTCCCTCATGGTGGCCGGATCCAGGTTCGTACCTTCTGTGTAGGCCTCGTCTGCTAAGGCCAACATCCTGCATAGGGGTCCAAGTACGTCCAGCTGCTTATCTACGCTCCACCCCCTTCTTGGGGTCCCGACCCGAATGGGTCAAATACGTGGCCACCAAGGGGTCAAACTCCGGGGTCGCTGCCGCCTTGTCCGGCAGGACGGGTCTGGGGCATTCCGCCCTCAGTTTTTTGCGGGCCTCCGCTTCAAGGGGTCTGCGGACCCAGTAGTGCACAAACTGTGCCAAGTGGTCGGGCAACGACCATTCTGAGGACCTGGGGTGTCGGATAGACCAAGGGTCAAACAGGTGTTCTCCCGTAGCATCCAGAAAGGTCGTCTCCCGGCACCGCCGAGGGGGCCTCTGTCCCTGGCGCATCTTCGTCTTCCCAGCGCCAACTGGGGCCATCCCCACGGTCCTCGACCCAATCTCCATCTTCATCTGAAGGGGACTGGTCTGCCCGCCACTCATCCAACACGGCCATAGTAGGGGGAGTAAAGGAGGCCTCCTCCTCTGCGCCCGATATACGACGGCGCCTGGCCGGCGAGGTTGATAACCTCGAACCATGTCGCTTCGCCGGAGCCTTGCCCTTCCGGGAGCGTGGTTAAGGGCGCATTTGCGCACTTGCCTGCTCTCTTTCCTGAGAGTCTGACTCAGCCGAGTCGTCTGCCAAAAGGGGGGTTCCTCTCACACCCCTATCAGTCTGAGGTTGAGGAAGAGCCCTCGCCAGGGCTTTCTCCACAGAGGCGGCCACAGCCGCATTAATCAATGTCTGCAAGTTTTGCTCCTACGCAGCGGTTTCCATGATGCCTGAGATACGGTACGTGATACCTAAGGAGACAGAGAACAGGTATCAGTAGCAGGCAGTAGGGGCAGCACCCCTAGTATGGCAGAGGCAAGTATCAACGCATGCAGGCTCAACAAATCTTGTTCCAGGGTAAGGAGCCGTCAGGTCAATAGCATGCGTAGTATGGCACAGACAAAGCAGGCCAATCAAGGGGCACAGACAAAGCAGGCCAATCATAAGGGCACAGACAAAGCAGGCCAGTATATGGGCACAGGCAGCACTGGCCCAGTGGTATGTGAGGCAGGAGCGTAGGTCCTTGTGGTAGACGTGCGGGTATATCTTGACACACAGTGCGTGTAGGGCAGAGGTGCAACCGGGTGCAATGACAGCACAGTGATGCTAAGCGGGTCCCATGCAGTGAAATGACTAGAGCCACCTATATCCCAGGGGACATGCAGCAAAATCATGCAAATTTAGTAACATGCACTGAAGAAAAAACTGCAGGCAGGAGTAGAGAAACCCAAACCTGCCCATAGGAACCCAGAAAAACCTGTAGGAATGACCCCCCAAACAGAGGGGGCTGAACAGTAGCCCAACATAAAATAAAAAAATAAATTGGGCACTGCGCCCTTAAGGAATAAAGGTGCGTGCGGCCGAGACTGAACAGAGAGCCGCTCACCCCCGCGGCCGGCCACGTGGTCACGGGGGGGGAAGGGCGCCCAGAAGCGGAGGCACCCGCGGCAATAACCCAACACCCTGCTCCGTCCCCACGCCACTCGGTAACAGTAACCAGCGACCGGGGACGCGGGCAAGCAGGAAGGCAAGGATAGGATTCCCGCTCGGCGGACGAAGCCGGCGGGCGGGAATCAGTACCAGAAACACGTGGGACCGCCGGAGTCTTACTCTGCGGTCCCGACAGCGGCACGGGATGCGGTCGGGAAACCGCTTCTTGGCGACCGCAGAAAGTAAACAATCAAAACCCAAAAGAAGGGAAAAGAAATAAAAGAGAAAGGAAAAAAAGGGGGCACAAGTAACAGATAAGTAAGGCAATGCCCAAACACAAGGATAAACACAGCAATAAGAAACAGAAACACTGATAATCCAAGGCAAGAAAACATAAGAAAATCACCAAATATAAATAATAATAATAGACACACAGCCACCCATAGAAAACAGGAGGCAGTGGTACTCTGACATGTACTGTCTGCGGAGCAGCAAAGAAAGAGGAAATGGTAACTTAGGAGGAGCCTTATATAGATACCTTATGTTTTTGTCTTTGGTGTTTATCTCTCTATGTTAATGTGCTGCTGTGGAGTTCAAGTAAAGAGAGACTTAAGCAAATATGAAGCCTCCTGTTATGCTATAAAATTTGATGGCACTCTATAAATATCATAATAATAATAATAATAATAATAATAATAATAAGGAGATGCTTATTGGCCAGGGCTGTGTTTGACTTGTGCTGGCTCTACCCCTGATCTGCCTCCTTGACAGTCTCAGCCAATCCTATGGGAATGCATTGAAACTGGCTCAGACCACCACTTCTGATAATGTGACCAGACATGGGCAGGTCTGAGTAAGACCGGGGCAAAGCTAGCAGCTGCAGATTTGAATAAAAGTAAGATTTTACTATATATAGGGAGGCTAGTGAGGTCAAAGGGGGGCTAGATGTTGGTTTTAACATTATAGCGTTAGTAATACATGTTTGTGTTCCTGACCCTTTAGTGTTCCTTTAAGTGATTCGTATTCAGTCTTGAATTACCATGTTTGAAAGGGAACCGTGAGACCCGAAAATCTAAATTTACAGTATTTTGATTATTATTCAAAATAGTAAATTGGTTTCTATTAGGACTAGATTTTCTTAGTAGTGGAAACCACTTAAAACTTTGCATTCCTTGTGAGGAATAATTGGCAGAAATTTTCAGAGGCGCTTAGGAGCTAACTGAACCCATACTGAAAATGGCATTTTGTATGTTCTTTGTCTTCCGTTACAGAACAGAAAGTCATCCTGGGAAATAGGCCAAAAATTGTAAATTGACACTTAAACGTCAAATGTGAGAATGTGAAAAGGAAATAGTTCATGAACTGCTTGTTGAAAATGTAATTTCTGGGAGTTGCTTATAAAGAACAATTCTGGGACAAGGTTTTAAAAGTAGTGAAATCTTTATGGGAAACAAAATGTTTCTGATGACTGCTTCACATTTAGGACTTTGTTATAGACATACTCTTTATAAATACTCCCTTTATTTATTCTCACTCATGTTGCATTTATCAACAGTAACAACCAATGGAAAAGCAAATATCTCGCCGTGCAGGTAGGTGTATGAAAGAAGAAGAAAATATCCAATAGTGCTCACTGTAAACCTAAATATGTGATGCAGTATAAAAATGTAATACATTTGATAGAGCGTTAAGTCGCTCAAATATCTGCGCATGGATGGCATAATCTCCACCAGGGATATGATGGTAAATAGTTGTCCAGATCTGAATAAAATTGTAAAATTGCATACAAAGTGTAATAAATGGTCTATCACAACAAAGTGAATTAAAACCTAATATACTTTAATGCTTAAAAGAAAAAAACATGAATGTTACAATATTACACAACACGTTTCACCAATAAAGGCGTTTTCAAGTGTGATTGCGATATTTGGACTGTGAATATTTTGACTTTTTTAAAAATATATTTTATTTATTTAAGAAGTATAACAATAAACAAAAGCTTTGACAGGCATAATTTTTATAGGAACAGGGTTAGCATCATATAATATTTGGTCACGTTCAAGCAAGAAAGTTTCCATACAGAGAATAACATCACAGTATATACATCCGTTTATACATAGGTTCTCTTGTTATGATATAGTCACTACAACGGCTTTGAAATGTAACCCCGTTTCAGGTCCATTTAATATCTAAATATCGTCTGGAGGTTCAAATTATTTTAATAGCGAAACCATTAATAAACAAAAAAAGAGCAACAAAAAAAAATAATTTAAAAACAAAATGTTACTGAGACTCGACATAAGGTCAAATCAGGCCAAAAAATCACTACGCTTTATCTTATAGGATATTTGTTTGTCCAGGGTAGCCATAGTTTTACTGTATGTTTACCATAGTTTAAATTTGTTCTAGTACTAGTGTTAAAGATAGAATTAGATTCCATCTTATGCTGATATTCTATTTGTTCCATAATCTCTTGCTATGGTAAAGGAATTGAAGATTTCCAAGCCCTAGCTATACATATTTTAATAGTGAAGAATATATGGGTCAGGAGATATTTTAGATTTTTGTCTTGAGAAGGGAAGCCGATATTAAAGAAAAACAATTGAGGACTAATTTATTTTACTCACGGAAAAAAAGGAATTTACAAGTCTAAGCATTTGAGTTTTAACATTCCTTAATCCCAAACATTACTACCAAACATCATATATAGAACCCTCCTCCATCCCACATCTCCAGCATTATCTAGGGTAATTAGGTGAGATTTTTTGAAGTCTTGACGGGACCATATACCACCCATATATTATCTTTAGATGTATTTCATTAAGAGAAACACTATGTATACAACGCTTAACTAAAAGTGTGGCTTTGGTCCATTCCGGGAGGGAGAAGGATCCCCCAATATCTCGTTCCCATTTCATAAATAAAACTCTATGGGATTCCTGATACATTGACTCTAACAATTTAATAGATCTAGAGATCACTCCCTTCTTTTTATGTAGCTTTTTAAAGGACTCTATGTTATGATTATTAAGTATTGATTTCGACATTAAGAAATGTTTAATCCTTAAGTACGGGATGAGATCTCTAGAGGGAAGATTATATTTTGCTTGTAATTGTGCAAATAGAATAGGTTTAATCCCATTGCCCAAGTCTGAAATCTTCAATATACCAAGGTGAATCCACGATTGGACATTTATATCTTCTATTGCATATTGTAATACCTCTAATGGGGCTCTTATACTAGTTTGCCCTCCAATTTTCATTTTTCATTAAAAAAATTTGAAGTGATAATCATATCTATGAGGATTTTATTAGAATATATATATATATATATATATATATATGTCCAGTTCTCCTAGTTTTAAAATGCCAATTCAAAAAAGAACATATAATTTGTGTCTGGGGCTATCTTTCTGCTCTAGTATAAACCATGATTGGTTTTCCATATCCGAATTTACCCACAGCAAGAGATGTGATAACATACAAGCTTCATGGGTTTTATCGACATCCGGGAAGGCTATTTCCCCCTTTAAATAAACCTTACAGAGGATATCATACGCTATCCTATATATTCTTAGATTAGATTAGATTTTGAAACTGGTTAAGGGTTCCTTTTCTCAATCTATAGGGGATCGCTCTAAAATGATACAAAAGTTTTGGTATTAAAAATGCTTTGATCATATTTAATCTGCCTATCCATGAAGCCTATATCTTTTTCCTCCTTTTTTCCACCTGTTGTTGCATTTTTTTTTAATAGGGTATCAAAATGCGTTTATATCTGCTTTTCAATATCAAAGGATATTTTAATTCCTAAATAATCAATGTTGTTTCTTTCCCATGAAAAGTAGAATCATAAGGTCAAAAGTTCTTTCTGGGCCTTAGTTAAAAAGGAGGCTAAGATTTGCATTTTTTTTCATATTAATCTTGTAATTTGAAAAGCTACTATAGGAAGATATACTTTCTAAGACCAATGGGATTGAGACTAATGGATCTGTCAAGGTGAGAAGCACAGCATCTGCAAAAAGGGAGACTTTAATTTCTCCATTATATGACTTAACCCCCTTTATTTCTGTCTAATCATACTAGACAAGTGTTCAATCGTAAGGATATATAACAGTGCCAAAGGACAACCCAGTCTAGTACAGTTTTTAACCTCAAAAGGGTCAGATTCACAGAAAGAATTAATTATTTTTGCTGTAGAATTCCTATATAGCAGCATGGTTTTATTCCTAAATTGTCCCTCGAGGCCGAACTGGCCCATGACAGAGTCAAGTAATCTCCAATTGACTCTGTCAAAGGCCTTCTCGGCATCAAGAGCCATAATAACAGATCCCCGTTTATACTTGTTTGTTCTATGGATTAGATTAAATATCCTCCGTGTATTATCTGTAGTACCTCTCCCCCTGACAGATCAACACCAATCAAATCGCCTATGACCTCATTAAGACGGCTAGACATTATTTGAGAGAAGATTTTCATATCTATATTAATGAGATATAGATCTGTAGTTAGTGATAAATGATGGATCGTTATCTGTTTTTGGTATTGGAATAACTTGATGCCAACAGCAACTCATTAGGAAAGGGGTTATCTATCGACACATCCGTATACATATCCAAAAGGACAGGAGCAATAAGTCTAGAAAAGGTTTAATAAAAGAAGACAGAAAAGCCATTGGGGCTTGGCGCTTTATTCAGTTTCAGATTATCTATCGATTCCATTACTTCTGACAACAAAAATGGAAAATTCAATATATCTTATTTCTTATGATTTATTTTTGGGAGTTTGAGATTAATTAAGAATTGTTCAATTTCCTTATTGCTTTTCCTCACATCCTTTGCATTATATAAAGATCTATAAAAATCTCTGAATGCTTTTGCAAATCATTTGGTGAAGTTAAATGTTTGTCACCTATAACATATTTTTTTATGGACTTGTCTTTAAGGTGGTTCTTAATTTTATTTGAAATGTCTTTATTTATTTTATTGTTATTATGATACCACCATTGCTTAAGAAATTCTATATTTTTGTTGACTGTATCGTATATTCTATCTTTAATAGTCTCCCTTAAATTAGCTATTTCTTTGATTATTTCCTTATTTAGCATACTTTTATTTAACCGTTCTTTATTTGCTAGTTTTATCCTCAGCTCCTGCAAAGATTCTCCCTTCTTCCGTTTGAGTTCTGAATCAAGTTTTATCAATAATCCCCTTGCAAAGCTTTTAAGAGTACAGCATAGTACCATAGTATTGCAGTGGAAACTTCCCCATTATCATTAATAGTCATAACATTCTCTATTTCAGACGTCAGAGTATTAATATTGTGATCAGATTTCAGAAGGATTTCATTAAGTCTCCATCTTGCCCTTGGCCTGAAACTCTATTTTAGCTTACTATTAATAAATACTGGGGCATGGTCCGACAAAACTATAGATCCAATATTCGATTTAATAATTGCTCTTAAAAGCCCTGCCTTCACCAAAAACATATCTATTCGGAAATAAGTGTGATGGTTCAAAGACTTCCAACAGTCATATAAAGAATTCCTATTTAGAAATTCCGAAAAGTCAGACAGATAAGAATTTGTAGTCTTCTGATCTCTAGTATTTTTATGGCTTTTATCCATTCTTGGATCCACAATGCAATTAAAATCTCCCTCAACTATAATATTACCACATGCTAATTCATCAACCCTTTCCATGATCTCATCCAGGAAACCTACCGGGCTATAATTTGGTGCATAAATGTTAACAGAAGTATATAAAAATCCATTGATTTTAGAAATGAGAATCAAATATCTGCTCATCGTGTCTCTAAATAGATGAATAAGTTCAAAATTAACTCTACTAGAGATTATAATAGCAGTACTTCTTTTTTGCGCTTCCCTTCAATATTTGAGCAAAATATTAACAGAAATCAATATCTATAATATTTTCAATCAGAATTTTATATACAGCACCCATTTTCTAGGGTGAATTCAAACCCTGAACATTCCATGACAAGAAATTAAGTGCAATCATAACACCTATTATCCACGATTTGCCCCATGTCGAGTCTCAGACCCATGACAAAACATAAGAAAAAATACATAAAAAGATCAAATAAAACACAAGGTAGTCAAGTAAGAAGACATGTGTACATCTATCACACAAGAATTGTAGGGGTGAGAATATTAGAAAAAGGAGGAAACACTTCATAACCATGCCAACACAAAACATTATTTTAGACTAGTAACATCTGTTCATCTGTATATATTTCAGTCCCCTATGGTCTTACCTAGATTGCCTATATTATGGAATAAATCCATCACTAACCATACCACCAGCCTATATCAAGGTGGTGGAGCTATTGTGTTAGCAAGTGTTTAAGATGTGATTCATGTTAAAAATTTATAGTCATAGGAAACCAAATATATCATCCGTATATATCCTTATAGATCATCCATAGACCCAACCCACATAGCAAAATCACGCCATATCACAGACCTGCTCCAACTTAATGTATCTCTGAAATTCTTCTTTATATTAATGCTTACTTTAACTCTCTTTATATTACTGATAGACCACTTCTTTGTGATAAATATAACATTTAAATAGACAATCTTCTCCCCATCCTCTTATTATAAATCCATTCAAGTTAACTCTAGTGTATATACCTCCTAATTCCATTTCCATATTGATAGAAAAAGGCCCTAGCCTTCGTGTTGAATTAAAATTATTTAAATTACCACATGTACGTGTAAAGAGAGAAAGAAAATATATATATATTATGATACCCCTAAACTGAAAGTGCTAGCCACCGTTATGCCATTAATTATATATGTCTAAACCCTAATCAAAACCCTCCTCTCATTGTAAAGCACAAATAAATGTAATTTACAAGTGTACTCCTCTACATTTCAAGCCTGTATGTATACAATAATAAAAGGTACTCCTAAAAATATTAAGCATGGCAGCCTTATGCTATGGCGTAAAACTTTAGCTACATAGGAAGCAAATATTAAACAGGGCTAGGTTTTCTGTTAGCATTCTCTCTTTCTCCATAGGGATCAAGTGGTTACTCATTTAACTTATTAAAATCTGAATTATATCTGTTGAAGATTCCAAGACTGAATTGCTTCTTGTGCAGCAGATGCTTCTTTAAAAAGATATTGCTGACTTGAAAGAATACAGTTAGTGCCGTGGTGAAGTATCATTTGTATGTGACACCATGCAATCTCAGTAAACCTGTCTGAATTACAAATCTTTTCCTTGCCTGCCGAGTCGTTAAGGATAGGTCTGAGTAAAGCTTAATATCTTTGAATTGAGCATCTGAGATAGAATTATTCTGTGCCGATTGCATAATCAGATTTTTGATATAATTATTAGAAAAGGAAACAATAATGTCCCTTGGTATATCTGACGGCAAATTCTTCGGTCGGTGTAGCTTATGATATCTTTCAAATGGGAATTCTCCCATAGACTTTTCAGGGATAAAATTTAGAAAGAAGGATCTAAGAAATTGGTCCAGCTGATCATAATTAATTGTTTCTGAGACTCCTTCCTTCCGATTGATTAAACTTTAGAGTTAGATTGTCATTGATTGCTTGGATTTTTTGAAGTGTTTCAGATTGCAGTTGCAGTTTAGAGGATAAGTTGGATAATTCCAGCCTTAAAATATTGGACTTGTCTTCAGAATCTTGTTTCAATTTCAGGTATAGTGTTTCCAGTGCTTCATTAAGTGTTTGTTGTGTGATATACTGAGAGGTTACCAGGTGGGCTTCCTGGGTTAGGGGAACAGATTCTCTACGCTCACCTAAAGATGGCCTTTTAACTAAGCAGTGCTCTTGAGATTTAGGTGAGTAAAATAAATTAATATTTTTATTTTTTTCTGTATTTGTCGATGTTGCTTTATCTTTATCTCTTTTGGGAGACATTTTCACCTCTTTGCATTTATAAATTCCCCCCCTTTTCACCCGCAAACAAAGCAGTGGGAAAGGAAAAAAAAGGAGAAAAAAAGGTTCAGCAAATAAAACCGTTATTTCACCACCTCGAGAGATAGATAGCTATCTTCTATGCCGTCGCCTTCTTATTACCCTTCCTCCTGAGTTGGAGTACAGTTATTGTTTCTAGGATATACCACTCTGTATATTACCTTTTGTCCAGATGAACTAGGCACTGGTCGTAATTCACCTCCTCCCAGCCTCTGTTTCCCAGCCCAACTGCCGCAACTCACTGCTACTGGCTTTCACATAGATGTGTACCGCCTGTCAAGAGTGAGAGCGTAGCGAGCAGTTGGCAAATTCACCCGAGTATTCCTTCAGACTTAACTTGCTTGTTGTCCTTTGCTGGTTTTACCGGTTTAAGCTTCCCTGGCTGCACTCGCGCTCAGCGTGCAGAGTTGGATGCCGCTTCCAGGAGGTCTCCTCCTCTCCCTATATCCTCGTGGCAGTGGGAGCGTGTGCGCTCACGTGTCACGTCATCCCCATGCCCTATTTGGTCTTTTTTATATTGTTATAATATTCTATCTTTTCATACCTTTTGGCGCAACCCATTTTTAATTTTTTTTATTTTTAGAAGCACTGTAATGGAATCTAAAATCATGAATAATGCACTAGAAGACTACCTTTTACAGTACTTCTATCCAAGTGTGTGGCAGCAGTGGATAGAAGCACTGTAATGGCTAGGCATTGTATTTTGAAATTTTGCAGATATTAAAATTGAGACAGTGGTTGGTGAAGAGACTAATAGGCCTGGTACCTATGTTTATGATGGGCATACTTACAGAATTTCATAGACAGAAAACACCAAAACAGTCAACAAGTGTTCTTGATCTGGTGATAGTTGTCCCCACATGGTATCTCCCCATTGCCATACTACCAAACTTTTGTCCCCATAAAATCTCATAAAATGTGAAGAGATGTGAGTGCATTAGTGATTAGCTTGCATTGGGGTTGCATGTCAGTGATGTATGGGCATCAGTGCTATAAAATACTTTTTTATTACCTGTTGAGTTAATTTTTCATATTTTTATCTGTGTTTAAGATTACTCATACCCCATGTAATTCTCTCTTCCTTTCCAACACTGTATGTCTGCTTGTCTTACATTCACTTTGTCAGTAATCACAAACTCTGAATTTTATCACATGACAGGAGGCTTCATATTTTGCATAACTTTCTTTACTTTATGCCTCCAGCAGCACAAGTCAATCAATAAACTTTAAACCAATCAGTAACAGGCATCACATTCATATATAAAGCCCTGACAGTCACATGACTTCCTCTTTCTTTGCTGCTTACCAGCCAAGGCACAGGTCAGAGTATTTTGCTCCAAACTGTTTTACTGAATATTGCAATTGTCATTAGTTAATCATTTATTGTACGCCCTTCCCTTAACCGAGAAGGAGAACTCACAGTGCTGCCAAAACTCCACAATTCTAGACCATATAAGGATGAACCCCGTGGACTATATATATTGAGGCTTTCACGTCTCCCAGACTCGGGCTACATCCCGACATTGCAGACCGCTCATCCCGGTCTTACTGAGGGTGTCCTCATTCTCAGACCACTCCCCGGATCCTGCGAAAATGATACTGATTGATCAAAATTCTGGGTGACCCCCAGTTATACGCGGAGGCCTACTGAGTGGCAATAAGTGTACTGTTGTACGATCCTGTCTCCCACGGACCGAAAGGGTGTGAACCAACATGTCGGACTTACCTCAATATCCCCGACCGATTTTCAGGCGAGGATTAAGGCTGCCATGACAGCTCCGGGGGAAGAAGTCCTCTCCAGTATGCTGGCTAACAACCCATCCGACAGAGCGGGTGCAACGGCAGCAACACCAATGGAAGATTGAGATACCGACGTTAGGTCGGACACCCATCATCAGGGGACGAGGACTTCATCCTCCCCCCCCTTCTCTGGAGATCATGAAAGAATGGAGGGCAGAAGAGGTAAAAGTGACAAGACACGCCTAGCAAGAAAGGTTTTTTCTTTGGCACACTGGACACTCCTGTTTTGACTCACGCACCATCCGACAACCAGGGTCATCCGAATGGGGTTAACTGGAGCACCGGGCCCACTTCTGGCTTAGGAGGCCTATGGGAAAAGAAATCCGAGACCGGCTCAGGATGGAATGCCCACGCCCTCTATGTCCGAACAAGATAGTCCTCACTATGGAGCTCGTGGTGATATGTATGTCCCGATCAGTGTGTAGGAGGAGGACTCAAAATGAGTTAAATACTGGATATGATCAGCCCGGGAAAAAATTCTATACTTTGCGGACCTGACCCCACACAAGACTCACCTCTAGAAGCTCACGATGTGAGGGAATGGGTGCAAAGGGCAATATGTAAGTTGGGGAACGCAAGGCAGACAGGTGCACAGAATGCCGCAAAGCAGCCCGATTAAAGATGGATTTCAAACTATTGAAGTTAGGGACGAAAGAGCGAGGACCTCAGGCAGACAGACTATCGTTTGGAGAACCATTTATCTCAGCAACGGTTTGGTAGTAAGGAAGAAGATAGGAGACTATCACCCAGTCATCAACCTATGCCAACCCAATGGTTTTGGGGCGTACCGACAACTCAAGAAGGAAGGTATCCATCTCTTAGGGGATCTACAAGGTTGGACTTGAAGGGCACTTACCTATAGGTTCACATGGTGCCTCATGAAGTTTCTGAAGTCGGTCACTGCGCACTGAAAAGCAAAGGGTATCTGCTGTCACATACCTAGACGACTTACCTTTTGCAAATCCAATTCATGACTACGTTTACAAACGAGATTTATGTTTACAGTTTCGGGAATTGTTGGGATTCATAGTGAACAGAGAGGAGTTGGTTCGATCCCAGTTCCGAGTGATTCAGTTCCTCTATTTCAGAATAGATTCCACCTTGGGCGGATTACACCTTCCCACATCATTGATAGCGACGATTCGTAAGGAAATTCGACGGGTACGGCGGAAAGGCACCATAACCCTTTGACTATTTCCCAGGACTGCTTCACTACCAGGCCAGACAGTGGCTGAAAGCTCACTGCCTGAGATACGGACACACCTATGAAATTGGGATCAGAATAGCGAAGACTTCGATAGTACTCATTACTGCGGTAAAGGAGGCAAGCGTGACACCCAGAAGGGTTGTCCTTAATCAGGATCATCCTCTGCTCCTTCCGTTTTAACTTGCCTTCGGGCGGATCCAAAAGGAGAACATCATCCATTGAGAATGCAGGAGCATCTGGAGTTGGTAGATTGGTGTCTTCCAGGGGAGACTGGTATGTCAAGGGACTATCGCAACCAACTAGAGACCTACTATGGGACTCATGGACGCCAGGTATTCCCCCGAAATAACTTATCCGCATGGAACACCTTGAGTTCGCTGGTGTATGGGAAGGGACTGCGATCCCTTTATTACCCCTATCTCCACGATGCTGGATCTTTATCATACCTTTTCACTACAGGCCGATCGGAACGTTCCATTAACGGGCTACGTTCCGCGATTTCGACGATGCATAGCACGATTCACGACACTCCGGTCAATCAAGAGCCTTTGATATGCCATTTTCTGTGGGGTATCAAACCGTCCAGAACCATGCGTCAAAGTATCACTGGTGTGGGACTTTGATTTGGTTCTTTTGGAGCTAGTCAGATATCACGGTCCTATCCCTCAGTCAGCCATTAGCCAGAGTCACGTTACTTTTAGGTCTTTTCGTCGGGTATCAGATGTACTGGAGTTCGACGTAGACGGTCTTTTCGGTATCACCGGAAAGAATAATTTCTACAGTGTCTCGTAGAACTATATCTTATCCGTGTCCGTATCGTTCCCTGTTACCGACGGTTTCCCAGCCTTTGTGCAGTTAAAGGGGTACTTTGTTACATGGAGATCACGACAACACTTAGAATGTCACATTCAGGACATCTGCTGGTCTTATACCAACCGTACAAGCCAGTTACCATGAACACTCTCTCTAGATGGGTTCATTGGTTGTTATCGCTAGCGAGGGTGGAGACGTGTTTGGGTACTCATTCGGTAAGAGGCGCAGCTGCTTCTCAGGCCTTCACGAGGGGGCCTCTATATTTTCAGCGACGAATTGGACACGGATAGACTACTTCCGTATATTTATTTTCGTCAACCACACACGCATCCTTCACGCTCATACCACAGCTTTAAAAATGCAAAATATGAAGCCTCCTGTCATGTGATAAAATTGTAGATTATGCTAACGTAGTGTACCTATAATCTTAATTTTAATAATGACAGGAGGCGAGTATTTTCCCTCCCTGTTTCCCTCCCTATACTCTGGAAATTTTTTATATTTTGGTTTGTCATTTTCTCAGTGTAAATTATAAGGTTTGGTAATTCAGTATATTTATGGGATGCTTATTTGGTTGATATGTGTTAGATCCGTGTTGATTATTAAGTATACTATGGTTTGTTTAATGTTTCAGTATATTAACTTAATATAAATATAGACACATATAGTACTGGATTTAATGTGGACAACAGTTGGTTTCCATCACCTTTCACGTATTTCTGTTCTTTTCAGCGTAATCATCATAGATGGATTCGACAAGATAAAGCTGGAAGGTTTCAAGTTATGTTCTACACGTTACTCAGGACTGTTATTTGAATTCCCTGACGTTATAATAGACTGTTTTTCGCATCAAAGAAAGAGGAAGTCATGTGACTGTCAGGGCTTTATATATGAATGTGATGCCTGTTACTGATTGGTTTAAAGTTTATTGATTGACTTGTGCTGCTGGAGGCATAAAGTAAAGAAAGTTATGCAAAATACTCGCCTCCTGTCATTATTAAAATTAAGATTATAGGTACACTACGTTAGCATAATCTACAATTCTCTCTGTTTAGGTCTCATTTGTCTCACTTGGCATAACATTGAAATTGTTAAATGATTTGATTGTTAATAAATACCATCATTACATAATATTGTTATGCTTGTATTACTATATTACTACTATTCTATGACAGTCATTACAAGATCACAAATACTTACTTAACATTCATCAATACTAGCCTTGTTTATCTGTATTGCCAAGGTCACTGACATAGTTTGGATCTGTCTATTTGCTGTGCTTATTTGTTTTTAGAAAATTGGAGACTTTTGTACCTTTCCTAGAGTTTACCTTTGATGTTTAAATTATTAACTCTGTACTCTGCAGCTAAATACCGTAAATGGGATTTTATGTCTTCACTTTGAAAATCTTCCTGATATATATATATATTTATATTTGTAGTCGGGGCAATATGGCCAAACAGAGAAATCTTAGCATAATACAATCATAACATCCATGAGTATGCACCAGTCGGTTGTGGTGTGCCGGAACCGACAAAGCAGTAGGCCTGTAATAAAAGTGGGCAAAAAGAAAATAACCAGAAAACATTATTCGTGAACCAACTTCGTTTATTGAGATAAGTCACAAAAAGCTTGTCTTAATTCTTTAACAGGATTGGGTATGTAGAGTGTGTAGGCGGAGGATTTCCAGCGCCACATGGCCTTAATAATATGAGCGGGGACGTGGTTAGCGGATGCGGAAGATGCTGCTCCTATACGGAAAGAGTGACCTGAAAATTGATTGGGGTTTAGGCCGAGCCTGGTCAACAGAAGTCTTGTGTACAGCATGAATTTAGCTGTGGTCAGAGTGTGTCCATGCAGTTCAAACAAAGGCTGTTGAGGTTGTTTTTGGACTGAAAGTGAATAAGTGTCTAACACTTTAACTGGGCACCATATATTGTGAGTAGGGTACAGTGGTATTTGAATAATGTGTCCGTCGGTGCTGGTTTTGGATTGTCTTAGAGAGAGAATATAATGGTCGGTATGTTTCTGTAGATCATTGGTTCTAAGGTATTCAGGTGCGGTGATGGTTATGGTTGTGAATTCGCTAGGCCGGAGGAACCCGTAAAAGGCAAGATATAGTGCGGTTTTGATAGTGCTATTTGTCATGGGTTCGAAAGGAGATGAATCTAATAGGTTGGATAGAGAGTGGAAGATGTTGTTGTCTATAGGTAGTCTTTGTGAGGGAACATGTGTATCTAATTTTTTAATGCCTTTAAGTAATGTTTTAATTTGGTATGAGGTTAGAAAAGCAGTACTGATAGATTGTTGGATGAGCATATGGTGTTGGATGCCGGTAATGTACAGTTTATTAGTATTAAAGGATAGTTTAAGGTTAATGTGGCAAAAAGAGGTAAACCCCAAAATCATCTCTAATGCAAACATGTCGTGAATGTGAAACTCGTGATAAATTTTTTTGAATACGTGAAAGGCCCTATCATAAGTGTCCCTAGTGTTTACTGAGGGTGCCATATGAGAAATGTGACGTGCGTGATCTAACAAGGTCTTTAATCCATGATCATGTCTTGGAATAGAGGTGCAGGTGTAGCTCGTCTGGAAGTGTTCGGTAGTAACGAGAGAAAAGTGATGCCGAACGGCCTTTATTCACAATGTGGCATGTAGCCAGGTTATCCGAGTAGCACCTGACCGTGTGGTCAGACCAATATGGTCCCCAAGCAATGGCTGCCGCAACGATTGGGTACAACTCAAATAAAGCAGAGGTGTCAGAAAATTTGGGTAGTGATTCGACTTCGGTCGGCCAAGGGCCCCAAAGCCATTGGTCACCCCACATGGCGGCAAAGCCTGTGTTAGCTGCGGCATCTGTCCATAATGTAGGTGATGTGTCGGAGGGAGGTGGTATAAACATGGTTCGCCCGTTCCAAGAGGTAAGAAAGACCCGCCACATGCGTAAATCAGAAGTTGCGTGTACAGCTAATGTGATATGTGAAGTGTCCGAAGAAAACAGTGGAAACAAGGATAACAGGTGGGATATAAAAGATCTACCTTGGAGTATGATCCTCATGGCAAAATTGAGCGATCCAAGAAGTGATTGGAGTTCTTTCCGATTGCAATGACATTGTAGCAGGTAATGTTCAATACTTGCCAGGGTACGCTCAATCTTGTCCTGAGGTAGACTGGCCTGCATGTGTATCGTGTCTAGTTGTATGCCCAAAAATTGCATGTAGGTATCTGGACCCAAAGTTTTGTGATGAGAGACAGGAATGTTAAGAGATTCAAACAGTGCCAATAAGTGATTCAAACTACTAGGTGGAAGAGTGTTATTCTCAATCAAGAGGAAATCATCCAGATAGTGGATAACCGAAGGGCACTTGAACACATTTAGTAAGAGCCAACATAGAGCCTCTGCAAACGTGTAAAAAATACGTGGACTGCTTTTGGAGCCAAAAGGTAGTCGGGTGAAAAAAATAATACCTCCCTTGCCATTTAATACCGTGTAGATGCCACAGGGAAGGATGTATGGGTAGTAGCTTAAAGGCGTTTACCATGTCTGTTTTACTCAGCCATGCTCCCGTACCTACTTGTAGAATGGCCCCTATGGCATGGTCAATAGTGGCGTAGTGTAGTGAAAATTCTTCAGAAGGTATTAGAGAGTTTAGGCTGGGGATAGTGGAGGAGTGTGGTGCTGATAAATCAATTATCAGTCTGGGTTTGAGTGAGGTCTTCCCTGTGACTACCCCTATAGGTATACAAGACGTGAAGGGTAGGGAAAAGAATGGTCCCAACAGAAACCCTTGTTCCAACTCAGTTGAGATAAGAGTATTTACCAACTGTGGATCGTCTAATGTGGACTGTAGGTTGTCGCATTCCAGTGTACCGGAGGGTAAATGGACCAACCCAGTGTGAAATCCCTCAGTCATGCCCAAAATAATATATTCAGTAAAATGACGTGAAGGATGTGGCTGTAAAAGTGATGTCAATAAAGTGACGTTCACACACGTGTGATACGGTTTTGGGAATGCTTTATTTGGGCACATAGTTTTGGCATGGGCTCTAAAACAGTGTGAACATACGTGCATCAGTCTACGGTAGCGGTCTGTTTAGTACCACTTGTTTCCAATTTATCCAGCCTGTCATTAATTGTGCTGATGGATAACATGAGCGAAGTCATCATGGCGTGAAATGTTGGCAATTGTGTGCCACTAGGTCCTTCCCCTGCATCAGAGTTGTCAGTGGCCGTATTCAAAAGTCTGAACAACTCGGCTTTCCTAGGATGCAGCGTCTTCTAAGTTCTGCCGTGAGACGTGGGATGGTCCATGATCTGAGAGAAGCAGGACTAGCAACGTCTGTCCAAGGAACAGGGGTACCAGGCCTAGCGGGAGTGCAGGGTAGCGAGAGTTCCTCGGGGATATCAGGATTATTAGACATAACTGAAAAATATAAGTAAGCTTTAATCAATCACTCTGTAATGTTTGATTTGGGTGGGTACTGGTAAGGCTAGCTAAATGCCAAGTGGCGAAACAATTATACTTATTGATGGTGACAGATGAGTCCCTACTAATTTCCAAGCGGCTTGAGAGGCGCTACCTATGCGTGGGCCCGAGGGGAACGTATGAGGCCACTGAACGTTGTGGCGGGGTGTTGGCCTCTCAGTGGTAGTTAAAGCATAAGATAGATTGGGAGTGACAGGTGAGGCCCTCTCTATGCGACAATGCGAGACGGCTAACTATGATTTGGCCCGAGGGGCGTATTCCTCCGAGTATGAGGAGAGGGGTGTTGGTCTCGCGGGACCACTAGCCTATGGATTAAGACCAGAAACTTTTACCTAGTTGGGTCATATAACCTAGGACCAGTACCCCTCAGAACATGGTAGGAGAAAATTGGATTCTGGCGTAGTACCTGATATGTGAGTCAGGTTGCGCTGTCGAGGTAGAAGTAACCAGTGACTGTAAGAGTCTTGAGATGATTACCTGTTGGACATGAGATTTGATATATAAACGTGAGATTAAACGTAGTGTTATGGCCAGATCGTGGGCCCTAAAAAACAAGGAACCTACCCGACACTGCAGAGGGTAGATTTAACAAAATTGACGACGGTTTTCGTGCTTGTAAAAGCTACCGTTTGAAGGCAAACAACCTAAAATAGTAAAATACATGCTTAACTAATGTAATGTGTATCATTGGACTTCATAAAAACATAATTTAAACATCAACCAACCTATAAGAAAATTGACATGAATTCACAATTCCCAGTACGAACCACTGGGATAACTCTGTGGGAAAAACAAATTCAGGAAATCAGGACCCATCAAATTTGTTTAAAACATTCCTATTTAATAAATAGATTTACTCCAATAACGTTTGTAACCAGTAGGGGCGAAATCCCCATGGAGTACTGGCTGAATTCGTGCTTAATACGTGAGTTAGTGTAGTTGCCGAAAGAACTATATAGAGTGTAGAAACAACCGAATAGATACACCATAATTTATATTCGAAACCAACCGATTGATGTTTAAACATAATTTAACCGAATGATATCGTTCGTAAGTTTGAACGGTGAACACGCGAATAGCTGAGTGAAGCATTTAAGACGAATGCAATAGTGATACAATAAAACGAACCGAACGTAGATTTGAATCGAACGGGGCTCCGCCGTCTAAAGCAGGGGAATTGCAGCAGTTGCTTTACGGCGAGCCTGACTTACGGTTTTCGTGAAGAAGAGGTAACGAGTGAGATGTGCGGACGCCGGCAACGGTAAGGAGAGCCAGGGAAGCCCAGACCAGGAGACCACGAGGGAACAGGTAAGGAAAAATCAAAGATGACGGTCTGAACCGGAAGTAACGTTTCAGACTCGCCAGACCAGCAACGGTAAGGTGGGAGTGTATTGGCAGCCCTTTTAAAGGTGAACCAAGCCTCTCCCACAACTCCAGGCCAAGCCTTCAAATATATATAAAAATTTGCCTTGGTGTTTGTGCTTGAGAATTAACTGGATTTTTAAGGCTTTTAAACATTTGGTTTATGTTTGTCTGTAATGTCTTGTCAACTTAGGTTCGTCTCAAAAAGCTGTATTTGAGAATGTGTCAAAATTGTTACTCTTTCCCTAAATTTTGCAATCTGTATTTCACTCCGTGTTCAGTGATAAACCACAAACCGTTGCATATATATATATATATATATATATATATGATAAACATGCGTATAGTCACACAGAAGGCCCAGGGACAGCAACCTGTCAGGTAATAGGAGCTACATTTTGTTGTTGTTTTTTTTTTTAAGGATTAAATAAATTGTAAAGATGGGAACTGCATTTCCATGATGTTTAACCAATCCCCAGCCTGGCCGAGCACACTGTAAATTTTTGTCCAAGTATCTATAATTACTGATGAGCTATGCATGTTCTGAAAGTGTGACTTGTGCTGGTTTGTCAAATTGAAAAGTGTGGTCCACAAATAACTGCCATGTTGTTGTAGTTAATCTCAGGAACTGTGCAAGGATTTTTGAGTACACATGCGAAGATGCATTGTGGCACCCTCCCACCCCCACCAAAAAAAATGCATTGTAACCTGTGTACCTTTTAACGCCCTTTTGAATTTCTTAGCTACTTTTGTGTTACTTATTTCCCTGTTTTGAATATCTTACTTGCTTTAGTGTCTCTTATCCCCCATTTTTGCCCCTTGTGTGTTTCTTACTTCCCCCAGCCTTTTTCTGTGTCTCTTACCCACCTGCACCTGGTCTTTTTCTCCCCCAGCCTTATTGTGTTTCTCTCAGCCCCAGGCCCTCTGAGTGTCTTTTTTTCCCCTTACCAAGCCCCTCTGTATGTCTCATTTTCCCGAGCCCCTCTGTTTTTCTTCCCCTCCCCAGCCACTCTGTGTCCCTCCCACATCCTCTCTATGTGTCTCTTTTTTCCCCTTTTACCAGTCCCTATGTGCATCACTTTCTTCCTTTCCCCTGCTGCTCTGTGTGTGTATTACCCCCAACCCTTTTGGGTGTCTCTTTTCCCCTTCCCTAGACTCTTAATGTGTCTTTTTGTCCCTAGACCCTTTTGTGTCTCTTCCCCCAGTACCCTGTCTCTTTCTCCCTCCATCCTTCTGTGTGTATCTTTCTCCCCTAAGTCCCTATGTGTGTCCTGTTTCTCCACATTAGACCATCTCCGTGTCTTTCTCACCCCAGCCCATCTGTGTCTTTCTCCTCAACCTCCTTCTGTGTGTCTTTCTCTCCCCCCCGCCCCCCCTCCAGTACCATTCCTCTTACCCTGTTGTAGTGTGAGAGCAACAGGTATGGCAAAGTTTGTTCTCCTTTGATTTCACTTCAAGTAGTGAATTACATTGTATTTGCACTCACCATATAGGTAGATACAGTGCCTTCCCCATGACAACACATTCCAGTGCAACTAATTTGACAAGAAAGCTCAAAAGAATAACATAAAAATTGGTAATGTTTCTTTCACATGGAATTTGATCACTTTTTAATTAATTTCTCTCAATTCAAATTTGTACCATAACGTCAACCTGTACAATGTCTGTATTAATAAATAGAAAAAAAATAAAAAAAATAAGAAAATACACCAGTATTTATGGTATCTGGAGAATAATTATGGGGTGAAATCTCCTAAATTTTGCATAAAATAATTAACATTTTAACGGCTTGTAAAAGGACAATATTGGGCTTGTCAAATTATAATAAAATAACAGTATGAATACATAAAGGAAAGGTGAGATTATAATTAATGACACAAGAGAAAAAAAATGCCAGTCCCATATTGTGATCATAGAATAATAACAGGTCATGTAATCCCCAAGTCTTTCCAGCCAGTGAGGCCTTCTTGAATAGATTTTTCTTATTCACAAATGAGTAAATCTGTAAACTATACTAAGCTCACTGCTCTGACCACAATGGGTGCTTGGCTCTAACTAAATTCGATGTGAACATGATAAATTCTGTCTGTTGATTTTTTTTTCCTAGGTTCAGATATGGTTAATCATGGAGGATGTTCCATTAAACATTGAAGGCTGTAAAGTTCTGTGTTTGCCAACTGGTTATATGTATAAGCTCATACCAAATATACGTGTTGTAACGGATTGACGGGCACCCCAAATGGGTACCTCCGTTGAAAGATGCTCCTGAGGACTCCAAGCACTGCAGCAGACATCATAACCACCGTAGACTCCTCCAGAGAGCAAGGCAGGAACAAGCTCTTACAAGAGTTTAGTAGTGATTTAGCAAGGGAGTATGACAAGCATAGCAATCCCTTGTAGCAGATTCCCCCAATAAGAGATGGCACTCCAAATTGAGGGTGAAGTAGAACTGACTGTACTGGCACATACAGCCTCTTTTATTCACATTCTACAAACATAGTACTGCCACAGGGTTTTGCAGAACAACCAATCAATACGTACAATACACTCAGACACTCCCACACAAAATCCTCCCCTCTGCCTGTGATATAATTACTGAACACAATAGTCTAACTTAATTATCACAGGCAGGAAAATACACAGTTTTACAAAATATGCATAACTCTAAAAGTATACATCACATTCACATAAAACTTACATTTTCAGAATCAGTATACTCCAAATACATATGTCAAAATAAAACAAATTGGTCCAGTGGGTCAAAAGGTCGATCAATGTCCTTTGTGACCAAATGAAGCATGGCTTTTCTGCCCAAAACCAGTTCCACAGAGTTTTCTATCCTAGAGATAATTGGGAAGTAATCCAATTATCTCAAAGGACAGAGGCAAAACTCCATTAGCCACATGGTAGCAAAATACAATAAAATACATAAAAATATATAACTGTGCAGCTATTGCATAAAACAGGTACACTCAACATATCCCCAGATAGCTTAGATCTGAGCGCACATTATTACTGAATGGTGCTCAGATCACATACAGACAGTTCAATTGCCATGGAGCCACAGTCTTTCACATAGTCTTTCATTATACGAATGGGCTCCATGGCATAGCTATCTGGGGCAACACTGCTCACAGTACCGAATGACCCGGCTTTCAGGTCTTTGCAGGGGAAAATCAAGCATTTCAACATGGGACCATAGTCACAGGGCAGGAGGCTGGCAATCAGTCTTCTCCAATGCCCAGTGGTGAGGCTGGTTCCGCCACACGTGTCGCTACAGGGAAGGGGAGGGGGCAATTGTCTGCTCTACATTATTCCTTCCCTTATCACCAAAGGTGTAATCCCATGGTGGCCTGGTGGCCGAACTTGCATCAGTGATGGACAGTAAAACTGTCCAGAGGCTGTGCACTGTTGTGCTGTAGCCTGCCATCCTGGATCTTAAGGCCACAGCACAGCCTTACTCACAGAGAGCTGCATCCATCTGCTGGCCACTGGTGCCTGGTCTACACTGCACAGATTAAATAGTGTAAGTTTCACCATTACTATGCACATGGGTGCAGCGTCTGTGCACTCCCACCCCATGCCCTGTGCATGGAGATGTCATAGGAGGGACCACGGGAAATAAGTGTGGCAACAGTGAGCACACTGCCTGAAAGGCCCCGTAGACACATGGGAGAGAGGAAGAGCAGCCACCACCAGAGACTACTTCCTGTGCTGCCCAAGCCCCCTGCTTTACTATATGTAGGCAATGTGGCATGGTTGGACATAAAATGTGGGCATTGTGACATGGATCATGTCACAACTGAAATATATGTAGGCAATGTGGAACTGATGCAACTTCTCCTGCCACCATTTTAATTTATTTTTTTATTTTTTTGAAATGTGGAAATTTAACACAGTAGTTTGCAATTTCGGCAAACATCTGCAGTGTTTGATTAACCCCCATAGTACTAATGAGAAGCTTCTGGTTGGTTATTTCCCTGTTAAGAGACTGAGAGTCTCTACTGGGGAAAAAAAGGGAGTGCTTACAAAGGTCAGTTCATAAGATCTGCAGCCTTTGCAAGCTCTTTTAAGATATGCTCCTAATTAATACATGCATGAAAAACTCAGGCATGTATTCACTGGAGGTATATCTACTAAACATGAATTTAAATTCATGCTTCTATAAGCTTTGCAAGTAACTCATTAAGAATTTTCATGAATTAAGCTACTCCGGACTATGCACGTGCCCAACTTCTGTTCAGGCTATCTCATATAATTTTACTCTACTTAGGGGATTTTTGGGAGTGCATTAAATGTGCATGCTTTCCAAGGTCTTATACAGGTAGAACGAAGCATGGTTTGTTTCCCACTATATCATGTATATGGGGGGCATAAATCAATTTTGTAAATCTCAGCATTTATACTAGATAGGAAGAAAGGAGACAGGGGAACTCGTTAAATCATAACACAGATAAGGAGCATTTGCAGTTAAAGTGCTTGGAGTGTCCCCACTGGTGTCATATTAGTCTCTATCAGTATTGATAAATCCTTCAATTAGACATTCAAGCTGTTTTCACAAATCTGTTTAATTATATAACTCTCATAACTCTCTGTTTCAAGTTCACCTCTAGAACTTCAGCTATGTCATTAATAAAGTTGATGTTATATTTGATATGGTTATTGGAAAATAGTGAAACATTCTATGATATTAGTAAACACTAAATGTTTATAATAAATTACTAAGGAAACATTTTTCAACACATTCCCATTTATTTTAATTATTGCAATTATTTTTTACCCCCATCCCCCCAAAAAAAATCTTTAAGAAAAAAGATACCTGCATTTAGCTTGGTTAGTGACCTGAGACACTATCCCGGGAGGACAAGTGAATTATTCACAGCATTAAGCAAGATATTGCAAAATGTAGAATAATTTACCAACATGGAAAAAGTCTATAAAACACCAATAATAAAATCCAATCATCACAAGGAGTTGGGCAAATCTGCTTAGATCAAGGCCGTTAGTCTGTGCTTCCCAGATGTTTTAGATTCATATTGCCAGCAGACAGTTATGTCCAGTAACATCTGAGGAACTAATGGTCACAGTTTAACAATTGTGCTTTATATTATGACTGTTTTGGCAGGTTATCTGTCAGTACAGTAGTTAGAACACATTCCTATGTTTATATGTGGAGGGTACCTTAAAAGGCCTATAGATCTGACCATCAGCGATAGTAAAATAGGTTTACTTTGTACTCAAAATATGTAATGAAGTGTGGGTTTGAATACGGTTGAATTTAAACTACCCACAAACAATCAGCCTTGTTTTTCTGTCAGTTTTACTTTATTTTTTTATTCTTTATTTTGTTTTACAATCGTTACCTTCAGCCTTGCTTTTTTATTAGAATACATTTTATTGTTTGCACAACCTTTACCCTCGGCCTTACATTTTATTGGTTTTACAAGGTGTGCCTACGAACGCTTTAAAACTATTTACCATTCGTCAGTTTTTCTTCCATAACAGTAGTGCGAAAATAATTAAAACTCAATGTCTTTTAGCAGAGAAAAAAAATCCATGCAAATATCTGCTCAGTTAAAAATAAAGTTAATTTAGATCAATGATTTTATTCAGAATTTAAACTGAGTTAACATTTTATGAAAATGTTATCCCTTTTAAATAAGTGCTTTATTCTTGAATATACAGCAATTTTCATATTTTTTACCAAAAATTATCAGCAACATTGAATAATCTACTTTAGTAGTTGCTAAAGCAGTATTCTATGTGTACCAGTAATCGCATTTCACATAGCATACCTATAGATCTTTCAAGAAGCGTTTAGAGTTTTTGTTTTTTAAATCAGATTTAACACAGCTGAGTGCTTGAATTTTTAGGAAGCTATTCGCATTGCTTGTTGCTTAGGGGATGGACAGAATTAGATTGAAGAAGCATTTTTACTTTCTGGCAAGTAATAGAATTTGCTCTTCTTTTGCCATAATGCAAAACTACAAAAATATCCAAAATAAAGAAATTACACTGTAGGGTCGGAGTTGAAAATGTATTCTAAGCTAACTCAAACTAATTTAGTTTATATTGTAGCCGGTTCTCAATTGATTTTGTTGGTTCATGTATGCCCATAGACTTACTGCTCACATAGAACAAGCACTTTATTGAATACCACGAATATAGTGTGCGGAAATATCATTATTACATTACCTGCCCATTCGCCCATTGATCGATAAAAGGACAGCGGCAAAGCTCCCCATAGATGTGGAAATAGGTACTTCAAAAATCCCAAACATTTCAACAAAAAGTACAAGCACAGAATAAATCCAAGTAGACAGAAAAACTGTTGTAAGATATGCTCCATGATAGCAGATTTAGAGAGAAATTCAGTCCTCTTTCCTTTTCGGTCTCTCTATGTACCCACTTGTCTCCTTTGTCCCCCCTCTCTCTGCCTCTGTGTCTCTCGATGTGTCTGCTCGGCTACTTGTTACTGAGTTTATGCTTAACTACAGCTAGAAGGAGATGAGTAATGAGTGAAAGAGAACATGCCATAGTTTAACACTTTGCACCTCACAGTGGTGAGCAATTGCTCTGGAATCCAATGGGTTACATTACTGACAGAGTGTATCTCTTCCATTCTGTTACCAGGTTTATTTACAGACGCATTTGATGCAATTACCTTCTTAACTCCTGGGTTGCCAAATGATTGTGTACCTTTGCTTTCCTGGCAGTGAAAACTCAATACATTATACTAAAGATTAAAGAGGTTTATATTTCACTGTTTATTGATTGATTGCCTTCCTGCTGCAGCTAAAAGATGAACCATTTTAAGTGCTGTTTTATGAGTTTGCATTGATTTCTCACAATAAAGAATGATGATTAGTGCACACCTGGTCATTTGTAACATATTTTGTCATTTCATTCCATCCCACAACTCTTAGCCACACCACAAAATAGTCAGTGGAGTTTTGAACCACAAACTTTACACCCAACATATGTTTGTAGATAGTCATAAATGCTCGAAATTGATAAGAAGGCATACTACATAACTACACGTGTGAGTTTGCAAATGACATTCCAATTAAGTTCAGGCACAGTCTGGAATTAACCGAACGTGTAGTTTAGTGTAATCGAGGATTTCTCTGTGTTCTTTGGGTGTGATAGGCTTTTTTCTTATGTTGTAATGCATCGTGTGGTTTTCAATAAACTATTGTTTTTCAATAAGAGTAGCCTAGTCTTTCAATTTACCAAGACTTAACGAGGTACGGACCATCAGCATTTGGGACACTATAGGCACCCAGATCGCTTTTTCTCAGTGAAGTGGTCTTGTTGCAGGCTCCCTGTCCTTTTAACCCTGCAATGAAAAACTGCAGTGTTTTTAGAAACTGCAATATTTATATTGCAGGGTTAAGTTCTCCTCTAGTGGCTGTAATACTGGCAGCTACTAGAGGTGCTTCCTCTGAACTGACCATATAAAATGCCACAGACATCCATAGGAAAGAATTGAATACAATGCTCTCCTTTGTGGAAGCATAGGATTGTACCATTGCGGAAGAGGCCTTGCCTCAGCTCTAGAAAACGGGTTCCTTACGCTATAGTGCTAATTTAACTATTTACATAAACTAATTAGTACTAAAATACATATTGAGGGTTTTATCACTAAATAGTGGATTGTTGTAAACTGGAAAACCTAGTTCAAAAGAATCTGGAACCAAACCTGGCCTATACTGTACAATTAGTTTGGTAAACAAATGATTATCCCTATAAAACTAGTCTAGCACATCCACACTTTCAGCCATGAATTTACTTTTAACATTACCTTCAGTTTTACTTTTTAATAATATACATTTTATGAGTTTCATAATCTTTACCATCAGTCTTAGTATTTTCATTTGAAAATTTTACAAGGAACACCTATGAACCCTTTAATACAGTTTACTGTGATTGATATATAAACTGGACACTTACTTGATGAACACTAGTCTTGATAAAGTCCGTGTTACAGACGAAACGCGTACACCACGTGTTCATTATTTTATTGCATTACTACACCGGCATGACCTCCTTGACCCTGTTTGCGGCTCCCAGCTTTTTCACCGGTACAACCTGTAGCGGATCGACGGGCACCCCAACTGGGTACCTCCGTTGAAGGATGCTCCTAGCACTTCCTGAGGGCTCCACGCACTCCAGCTGACACCATAACCACCGTAGACTCCTCCAGAGAGCAAGGCAGGAACAAGCTCTTACAAGAGCATAGTAGTGATTTAGCAAGGGAGTATGACAAGCATAGCAATCCCTTGTAGCAGATTCCCCCAATAAGAGACCGCACTCCAAATTGAGGGTGAAGTAGAACTGCCAGAGCTGTGGGTTTATTGTTCTTATATACACATTCTTACACATTAGTACCACCCACAGGGTTTTGTAAAACAACCAATAAAACACATACAATACACTCAGACACTCCCACACAAAATCCTCCCCTCTGCCTGTGATACAATTACCTTACACAATGGGTTAATGTAATTATCACAGACAGAAAAATACACAGTTTTACACAATATTCATAACTTTAAAAGTATGCATCACATTCACATAAAACTTACATTTTCAGAATCAGCATACAAATACAAACACACGTCGTAATCATACAAATTGGTCCAGTGGGTCAAAAGTTAGATCAAAGTCCTTTGTGACCAAATGAAGCATGGCTTTTCTGCCCAAAACCGGTTCCACAGAGTCTTCTGTCCTGGAGATAATTGGGAAGTAATCCAATTATCTCCAAGGACAGAGGCAAAACTCCATTAGCCACATGGTAGCAAAAGACAATAAAATACATAAATATATATATAACTGTGCAGCTATTGCATAAAACAGGTACATATCTCCAGATAGCTTAGATCTGAGCGCACATTATTACTGAATGGCGCTCAGATCACATACATCCAGTTCAATTGCCATGGAGCCAAAGTCTTTCCCATAGTCTTTCGTTATACGAATGGGCTCCATGGCATAGCTATCTGGAGTATCACTGTTCAAATAGGGAAAGTACCGAATGACCCGGCTTTCGGGTCTTTGCAGGGGAAAATCAAGCATTTCAACGTGGGGTCATAGTCACAGGGCAGGAGGCTGGCAATCAGTCTTCTCCAATGCCCAGTGGTGAGGCTGGTTCCGCCACACAACCGTCTTTACCCGGTTTGGGGCTCCTTGCTTTTTTACAACGACGGACCGAAGCAAGCACCAGTTTGTTTCAGATTTGACAGGTTCATTGGTGTGCTCCCAGAATCAGGAGTGTGGTGTGGCGAACAGGGTAAGTTGCTCCCGGCTACTCCCAGAGTTTTTCCAACTTGGTAGCCCCTTGTGCAGCACCCTTAGCCCGGTCACATTAGCCTGTGTGGTTTCTATTCCGTTGCTGTTGTATTTTTTTGGGTGGGTCTAATTAATATTTTTTTCAATTACATCACACACTTTTAGGTGTTTGAATCCTCATAATTGTGTTTACTCCAGTGGAGGGGCCCCTCACTGGAGTTATCCAGAACTACTGACACATGTTATTGTAAATTATTTTGAGTATGGTTTTAATATGTGTATAACTTGATTTATTGCTTTTAATCTCTTGGCAGTGTTTGTTGATGTTTCTACTTATGAGATAACATTGTTATATTAAGTTTTGTAAGTCTGTTGTTTAGACACCCGTATCTATTTATATTTTAAATTCTTTAAATACTTTAATTAAAAGACACATTATTAATTGCCAATTATAATTTAGTGGATTGTGCCGTGATTTATATTGTGGCTCCTAATTTTTCTTATAACATCTATTATCAGACTCAGGGCGCTGGATATATTGTATCTGACTAATTAACATTTTCATTGCCGGAGTGGTGTTACTTTATATTTAATTTGTTTTTTATTGGAGATCTCACATAACTACATAGATTGAAAAAAACAGAATCAAAAATTGAGCTTATACATTCCAAAATTAATGCCTCTAATAATGGGGAACTTATTTCACAGTTGGATAACGCAGTCAATGTAAGGATGATCAAGTTTGAAAAGGAGATTGTGAATAAAAAAAAATTCCACATTTATGAGAGACAAGAATGACTACAACAGTGGGCTTATCAGAAATTGGCAAAGGAAAGAACTGAGACATAATAAGAAACATCTCCATATGAAACCTAATCTACCTCATCAGAATAGTCCTTATAGTTTCACACGGAATCGTGAAAAAAGAAAATCTCTTCCATTCCAATGCCACCCTATGGGGAATGATACCCCCAACATACCCGCAAATCTTATGCAGAGGTGGTACGACATTCTCCTTCACGTTATAAAGTTGCTCATTGCTCATATACCCCTGGGAGATTTAAAGGGCATCAGAGGGAGCGCTATAATCCTAATCATATCCATCTTACATGCCAGCATTTATCCTCTATCAATAGCCAACTGATGAGGGATACCCAGATACTTCCCATATCTGATAACCTAAGGGCACGCCCAAAGGTCCACACATCCAGAACCTCAGCAGGAGAGTTGAATACTTTTTAGGGGAGGGTCTTCAACGCAATCCCAGAACTTTTCCCTTTTTTCAAAAGCCAGAAGCCGAAAGAGAGACGCCCCCATGGAGGAGCAAGGGAAAAGGGAGTCCAACCCCAACAAAATAAGGTGCCTCCCTTAAAGGGGATCTTCAATTTTTTTACGCATATATTAAGTTCCTCAGAGATTTCATTGCTCAATAAGGGATTGAGTTTTGCCTCTCTAAAAAATCCTAATATTTTAGGGTTATTTAAGGAGTTTAACCATTTTATCCAAAAGTTAACCCTTGCAAGGTCCTTCAATATTAAGGAAGCCAGTAGTGTAAATCGGTGCACTGGCTTTTTGAAAAATCCACAGGACAAAATCATGTTTAAGAATTTAATGACCCTGTTGATTGAACACCACAATTCCAACGTGGAGATTGATGCCATGGAAGTTTTAAATGCCAATATCACCACAGGTTTGAAACCCTCCTCCTCCTATTATCCAGTTTCAGATAAGGGTAATTTTATCCCCATCTTCTACGAACTCGTGATAAGAGATTTTAAGGGTGTAGACTGTAACAGAGATTCTAAGTATAGGACATCTGACCCAGCTTGAAATTGAAGCCCTGAGAGGCCTTAAAACCAATTGTAACATTATCATAAAAGGAGCGGATAAGGGTGGGGGCATTGTTCTTTTGAATAGAGAGGCTTATTTAAAGGAGGCTCACCGTATTTTGGGGGATATTACGTATTACAAAACACTTCCCAGCAACCCCCGCTGTTCGATTTAATAAAGATCTATGCTCAATGGTGGATAATATGTATGACAAGGGGTGTATTGAAAAAGCAGAAAAGGGATTTTTACTATCAAGTTCTGGTGACATACCAATTTTTTTTTATTACCTCCCCAAGCTCCATAAATCTCTCCCTAATCCCCCTGGACAGCCAATTATTTCATCCATTGGTTCAGAGTTTGGACCTTCAACAAATGATCTGATATTTACAATCAATTCTATGATCACATGTAATTCATCATATGTGGTGTATCTTTTAACCTGCTCTTATGGTTTATGTAGGGTAGACAACCAGAACACTTAAAACTAGATTTAGAGAGCACAGGAGGGCTATCTTGCACAAAAATAAAAAATCCCCAGTAGCCAGACAATTTGAGGCGAATTATGACCGTGATCCAAGGCATATCTCTGTGATGGGGATTCAACTAATCCCTGATAAAAATAATCTGATAAATAGAATGAAAGCCCTTATCAGCGCAGAAATAAACTGGATATTTAAATTAAACACCCTCAATCCCTATGAGCTCAATGAGGATCTGGAGCAGATTATTTAATCCGATGAATATTTTTATTTGCTCCTCTCTCCTCTTCAACCAAAATTCTTGATTTTTATTGATTACATTTTATTGGCATTTATGTCTATATGTATTGCCTTCTTTATTTGTTGTGTACTAATAATATTCCAACGATATTGGAAAATACCAAATGGCATTATACCCCTTATGTATGTATTAAATGTTTCCTTATACAACTGGCAATTTTGGTTTATTAGGTCCAACTACTTTTTTGGTTATATAATGCATTTTAGCTAGATTTGTAGGTTTTGTTTATTGAATACTCTTGATAACTTTTGGTTTATAAAGAAGGTTTTACCCTTGTACATTTTTTCTGACGTCATTGTCATGATTACAAGTTGATCCAGCATGCAGTACTGTGTCACACCTAGGACTAAGAATAACATATAACCGGACCTTAGAATGGCCGGACTTCATGTCTTCAAGAATAGTCAAAATACTTGCCGAGGTCAGGGACACCGAATCAGACACAAAGATGAGGGAGAGCAAAAAGTCAAGGATACCAGATTTCAGGGAAGTCAAAACAAAGCCAAAGTCAAATACCAGAAAATCAAGATCAGGAACGTACTCTCGGATAACCATAGGCATGAAACCACGACAGGGCACTGAGTAAGAGGAGAACTGGGCCTAAATAACCCTCCTATGGATCCGATTGGCTGTAACCAGCCTTTGACCCCAAAGGCAATTACCAGCTTTCCATTTGCATGATTGCTGCCCAGTACAACTTTTCCTGTCAGGACAGTAATGTTGCTCGGCACAACTTTTCATGTCAGGACAGTAAATGCCATTAACCACATTTTTATGTGCAGATGAATACGCGACAGTCATGTCTTATTGTAATTAACATCCTTAAGTGATTGATATATATATTTGATGTTTACTTGATGAACACTAGTCTTGATAAAGTCTGTGTTACAGACAGAATGCGTAGACCAAGTGTTCTTTATTTTATTGTATTACTACACCGGCACGACCTCCTTGACCCTGTTTGTGGCTCCCTGCTTTTTAAACCGGCACGACCTTCTGTACCCGGTTTGCGGTTCCCTGCTTTTTTACAACGACGGACTAAAGCGAGCACCAATCTGTTTCAGCTTTGACGAGTTCATTGTTGTGCTTACAGAATCAGGAGTGTGGTGTGGCGAACAAGGTAAGTTGCTCCCGGCTACTCCCAAAGTTTTTCCGACTTGGGAGCCCCTGTGCAGCACTCTTAGCCCGGTCACATTAGCCTGGGTGGTTTTAGAGCTCCATATCCCGTTGCTGTTGTATTTTTTTGGAAGGTCTAATTAATATAATTTTTTTTTCACTTACATCACAAACTTTTAGGTGTTTGAATCCTTATACCTGTGTTTACTCCAGTGGAGGGGCCCCTCACTGGAGTTATCCAGAACTGCTGACCCACATTATTGTAAATTATTTTGAGTCTGATATTAATGTGTGTATAACTTGATTTATTGCTTTTAATCTCTTTGCAGTGTTTGTTGATGTTTCTACTTATGAGATAACATTACTATATATTTTTTTGCAAGTCTGTTGTTTAGACACCTGTATCTATTTATATTTTCAATTCTTTAAATACTTTAATTAAAAGGCACGTTATTACTTGCCTATTATAATTTAGTGGATTGTGCCATGATTTGTATTGTGGCTCCTAATTTTTCTTATAACATCTATTATCAGACTCAGGGTGTTGGATATATTGTATCTGACTAATGAACATTTCCGTTGCTGGAGTGATGTGTTACATTATATTTAATTTGTTTTATTGGAGCGCTCACATAAGTAGATATATTTTATGTTTTTTTGATTTTTCTTACATATTTACTGTATAATATCCAGTAATCCATTTTTCCTATTAATATACAATGCTTTTTTTTTTTAAATCCCATTTATTCCATATTTCATCCCAAGACAATCTCATGATATGCCAGGTGGATCGTGCAAGCATCTGAACAGGGGTAATTGTGATTTCCCTTTCTACCAATTTAATAACTATTTAATAATCATGAAATGCTAGGAATTATCTACAGACCAGGAACATATACAGGGACTGGGCCAGGCATCCAGGCCATGAGACAAGGACTGTCTGTGGACTCTCTGTGGAACACTCCCATAATTGCAAACAAAGTTATAAAAATTCCAGGTACATTTTAAAGCTGAAGTTTCCACGGTTCTATTTTTAAACGCCCAATATAATAGTGATATATAGCCAGGTAATATTATTTGATATTTATATAGAGCGAACTTATTCTACTGCACTGTATAATTGAGGGAATACAGACAAATCATGAACATGTACCATTACAAAAGGACCAAAAGACCCTGCCCATGAACCTACAGTTCAGTAAATACAGTACTTTTAAATAAAGTACTTGGCAAGATAACTTGTGAGCGTACAATGTAAAGTAATGCTGTTTGAAGTTGATGAAGGCAGGAAAGAAGGAGCCAGTGTGAGTGTGTGTGTTAATGGTAACACAATATTTTCAATGTTTCAGTTTTCTGGGAATCAAGGTGCAGGTCTGGGTCTGTAGAAAAAAAAGGAAGAAAATTGAATTTGAGAAACCACAAATATGCTTTTCTGAAGGCAATGAGGAAGGATGAATAGTATATTACAGAAAATGATGTTGCTCTGGAAACCTATAATAATAATAAACCAAAGGACAGAAGGTCAAGTAGTTTATAAATGTTTCCAAAACCCTGAGATGTCAAAAACTCCTTAAAGGGACACTACTGGCACACAGACCACTTCAGCTGATTGAAGTTGTCTATGTGCCCTGTCCCTGTCCCACTTAGTCATGCAATGTAAAACCAGACAGTCACTAGAGGCGCTAGATAACTTTAGATAGATAACTTTAGGTTGTCTAAGTGATGCTGGACGTCCTTAAGTTCTGCATGAATACAATCAACATCAGTAAAACCCCCATAGAAAAGTATTGATTCAATGGTTTTCTATGGGGAGAGCCCAATGCGCTCACTGTTCATGCGCATCAGGTCCCCCAGTGGAAAACGATGGCGGAGGTGAAGCACCAACCCGGCACCAAGGGACATCTGTGCTGGAGTTGGGTAAGCAAAAAAAGTTGTTTTAAATACTTTTTTAATAGTGGTGGCCTTGGCTGGCAGCTAAAATAGGGAACAAGCCAAATTAAAATAGTGGCAGCTACTTCTCTGTAGTGTACCTCCCACTCATATTGGGCAAACTGTGTTATGCGTGATCAGGTTCTGCCCAAGATTAAGTCTCAAACTACACAAAGGGGAACTGTGCATAATTCTTTGTTCATTACATGGAATAATTGAATAGATGCCTGTGGCGAAACCGGTCTCGCCACGTGTCCTTGGAGGGGGCTGCTTGCCTGCCTCTTGCCTTTGGACTATGGACCAGACTTTATGTGAATGTGTTAACCCAGATAGCTATGCCATGGAGCCCATTTGTGTAGTTAAAGACTTCGGCTCCATGGCAATTGAACTGTGTGAATAGGATCTGAGCGCTATTCGGTAGTTTTGTGCACTCAGATCCCAGCTATCTGGGGATATGTGAAATGTCTGTGTCTTATGTGTAAAAGGTGACTTTATGTAGTTTAAAGTGTTTTATGTCTTTTTGCAACCATGTGCTTAATGGAGTCTTGTGTCTGTCCTGTGAGATAATTGAATTACTCTCAATTATCTCCAGGATAGAAGACTCTGAAACTGGTTTGGGCCCGAAAGCCATGCTTCATTTAGTCACAAAGGACTTTACCTTAACTTTTGAACCCCTGGTCTGATTCGTGCCATTTTTTAATATGTTGTTCCCCTGAATGGATTGATTATGAAAATGTATGTTTTATGTTTGTGACATGTATATTTTAGAAGTTATAAATATTGTGTAAAAACTGTATTCCTCTGCCGGTGATAATGAGATTACCCATTGTGTTCAGTAATCATATCACATGCAGAGGGGAGGATTTTGTGTGGGAGTGTCTGGGTGTATTGTACGGATTGATTGGTTGTTTTGTAATGCCCTGTGGGCTGTACTATGTTTGTGGATTGGGAATAAAAGAGACTGTATGTGACAGTACAGGGAGTTCCTGTTTTAACCCTCAAAGTGAAGTGTCGTCTCATTATTGGGGGAAGGATTTATTGTATGCTGTTCCAGTTTGACTGCTAGGAGAGTAAACCTATTCGTATGGTTCCTATTCAACTGTCTACAGCATTCATATGCTTGGGAGAATTTATTTGTTTCTCCGGTTCGGTGATTGTGGTGTCTGCCAGAGTGCTTGGAGTCCTCAGGAAGCGCTAGGAGCATCCTTCAACGGAGGTACCCAGTCGGGGTGCCAGGTGATCCGTTACATTGGTGGCAAGCGGTGGGATGGCGTCCTAGTGCGAGGTAAAGCAGCTCAGAGACACCGTTCGTGGAGTTACAAATTGAGGGCAACGCTAGCACACGTGCAGCGCCCCTGGGAGCAGAGGTATCCAGCGACTTGGAGCAGACAAGTATGGAAGGCTCTGGCGATGATTGGATGGCCGAGGTGAGGCAGCGAGTGGCCCAGTATGGGGATGATTTACCCATGGAGGTACGCCGGGTGATCTGGAACCAGGTCACGGCCGAGCGAAACACAAGGCTGGCCCGAGAATTCCGGCTGGCGAAAGAGAGAGAGTATGCTCAGCGGAAGGAGTGTTACAGCAGCCGAGTAGAGGCTGCATCCGAGGAGGCTAGCCGTCTCCCCCTGAGGCGGCCGCAGGAACCCGAAGTAGGGGTCCTCATAGACTGGTCCTGTGAGGAACCACAACAGGCAGGTGGAGATGGGACCGGCCCAGATCCCCAGCAGCAGCCGGAGTTGCCAGGTGCGGAAGCAGGTGGTCCTTACTCGCAAATGTTGAGGGACCTCACAGACTGGTCCTGGGAAGACCCACAGATGGCAGGTGGAGATGGGACGGCGGTCTCTCTACCGGCCCTACAGGGATGCTGGGCGGTCGGCCCAGATCTCCAGCGGCAGTATGTATCACAGGGAGCTGAAGGTGCTGTCCTTCCTCCCCAGCGGCAGTGTGAGTCCCAGGGAGCCGAAGGGGTCGTCCTTCCTCCCCAGCGGCAGTGTGAGTTCCAGGGAGCCGAAGGTGCTGTCCTTCCTCCCCAGCGGCAGTGTGAGTCCCAGGGAGCTGAAGGTGCGGTCCTTCCTCCCCAGCGGCAGTCTGTTTCCCAGGGAACGGAAGGTGCAGTCCTTCCTCCCCAGCGGCAGTGTGTCCTGCAGGAAGCGGAGACAGTCTGTCTTTCTCCCCAGCAGCAGGACAAAATATTGAAAGGAGAGACAGTTGGTCCCCCTCTCCACCAGCAAAGAGAGTGTCAGGGAGAGGAGCAGGTTACCCCCTCTCCCCAGCGGCAGTCAACAATTGAGAGAGAGGAGCTTGTTACACCCTCTCTCCAGCGGCAGCCTAACCCACCAAGGGGAGATGTTAAGCCCCACAACTATGCAGATGGGACCGTAGTCTCTGCACTTGCAGCACCAGGGGTAGGGACAGTCGGTCCTGTCCCCCAGCCACAGAGCAGTGTATCCAGAGGGGAGACAGTCGGTCTCCCCCTCCCACAACCAGGCTCCAACCAGGCTACTTCAGTGGTAGCGCTGGCACCCGGGCAGAGTACCGCTGGTCTCTGCCCACTCAGCAACCCACCAAGGCAGTCTACCAGCCCCCCGCACAGCCGTGGTGAGGCACCTGGACATGGACAAGTTGCTATTTTATCCAGGTGTAGTAACCAGTTATTGTGGGTGGGCTGTATTGCTGTTTGTGCTTCGTGGGTGGGTTGCTGGACTAACCAGGGCACTGACCGGCAGGAGGTCAGATACCCTGTTAGTCTGGATGGTAAAGGGGAGAAATGTGGCGAAACCGGCCTCGCCACGTGTCCTTGGAGGGGGCTGCTTGCCCGCCTCTTGCCTTTGGACTATGGACCAGACTTTATGTGAATGTGTTAACCCAGATAGCTATGCCATGGAGCCCATTCGTGTAGTTAAAGACTTCGGCTCCATGGCAATTGAACTGTGTGAATAGGATCTGAGCGCTATTCGGTAGTTTTGTGCGCTCAGATCCCAGCTATCTGGGGATATGTGAAATGTCTGTGTCTTATGTGTAAAAGGTGACTTTATGTAGTTTAAAGTGTTTTATGTCTTTTTGCAACCATGTGCTTAATGGAGTCTTGTGTCTGTCCTGGGAGATAATTGAATTACTCTCAATTATCTCCAGGATAGAAGACTCTGAAACTGGTTTGGGCCCGAAAGCCATGCTTCATTTAGTCACAAAGGACTTTCCCTTAACTTTTGAACCCCTGGTCTGATTCGTGCCATTTTTTAATATGTTGTTCCCCTGAATGGATTGATTATGAAAATGTATGTTTTATGTTTGTGACATGTATATTTTAGAAGTTATAAATATTGTGTAAAAACTGTATTCCTCTGCCGGTGTTAATGAGATTACCCATTGTGTTCAGTAATCATATCACATGCAGAGGGGAGGATTTTGTGTGGGAGTGTCTGGGTGTATTGTACAGATTGATTGGTTGTTTTGTAACGCCCTGTGGGCTGTACTATGTTTGTGGATTGGGAATAAAAGAGACTGTATGTGACAGTACAGGGAGTTCCTGTTTTAACCCTCAAAGTGAAGTGTTGTCTCATTATTGGGGGAAGGATTTATTGTATGCTGTTCCAGTTTGACTGCTAGGAGAGTAAACCTATTCGTATGGTTCCTATTCAACTGTCTACAGCATTCGTATGCTTGAGAGCATTCACATGCTCCTACGGTTCGGTGATTGTGGTGTCTGCCAGAGTGCTTGAAGTCCTCAGGAAGCGCTAGGAGCATCCTTCAACGGAGGTACCCAGTCGGGGTGCCAGGTGATCCGTTACAATGCCATCATCCGTGCAGTATGGGATTCTAAAATTGACCTATTCTTTGTAATATATCACAAAAAACAAAAACAGGGCTGTGAGTAGACTGAAGCAGCCACACTATGACAGCTATCAATTTACACACTATTTTCACTCATGAGTGAAACTACTGTTGATAAATAATTTACTTTTTCCAATAGTCCCCACAGACGATAATGAAAAGCTCCTGATTTGAATATTTCAAGTGAGGAAGTGGCCTGCTGCAGATTCACTAGACAGTTCATTTGAAAGAAACTTTAATGTTTAGTAAGTTTTTTTTTTTTTTTTTATGTTTTCATTATTTAGTTTCAAATAAGTGCCCTGATGAAAGAATCACAGGAGTTTACCAAGAGAGCTAAACACAGTGTGATGGACTGCCAGGCTCCCCCTGACAGGGTGCCTCCGTCAGCCGATGCTCCTAGTGCTCACAGAGGGCTCCAATCACTCCACCAGACACTATCAGCACTAACAGCTTGGCTGCGAACTCGCCGTCCTCCACCCACCCTGGACCCAAGACCAGGATCCAGCATCCAGTGGCTGAACCTTTCCTACTCCAGATAATGTAGCAGGAACAGCTCTTAAATGAGCTAGTGATTATAATCCCAGGGGAGTATAGTGATATAGCAATCCCCAGGGTAGATACAGCTGTTTCCCCCACACATGAGATGAGACTCTATGTTGAGGGTAAGCAGGAACTCAAATTTAATTGAGGCACACTGGCCTTTTATGCAAGTTTCACAACAAGGGTGACACCCACGTGGAGTTATACAGTGAGACACTCCCATACAATATACACAATCCCTCCCCTCTGCCTGGTAGATAATTCAGGCAGATAGTGCATTAACTTAATTATCTCCATGCATAAAAACCAACATATTTTATAAAGTGACAATAAGTACCCCAAAACACAACATATCCCCATACATCCCCTGATCGCCCTGATCTGGTGGACAACATGTCCGAAAATTACTCAGATCAAATCAGGGGTTCAAAAATGTTATGGAAGTCATAGTTTTGCCCAGGCGCAGGCATGGTCCCATGCCCAAAACAGTTCCATAGAATCGCGGCTAAGTGCCGCTGGAGGACTGACCGGGAACCGCAAGGTTTTCAGGCCAACAATAGATCCAGGGCATTCGTGTCTAAGTCCCCCTGAAGTCTGTTCGTGATTTTGGTCCATGCGAACAAGATGGTTGCAACCATGTGCTCAAATTTCGATTGGCGGCCACTCCGACTGTTCGGGAGTTTGAAGTGCCACTTCGAAAGTTTGAACTGTGATCATAAGTTTGAAAAAGGCATGAACAGTGATTTAAACCAAGTTTTATCACGGGGCCATAGTCACAGGGTAGAAGGCTGTCAAGTATGCCCCTTGAAGAACCAGTGGCCAGGTTACTTTCGCCACACACAGCATCTTTGCTTCCTCCACGCACCTGGACTAATTTGAACAAATCTGACATTAATCAACTCTCATCCATAGGTAAACTCTGGCTCTGATCCAGTTAACCGCTTCAATGCTGTCTGACTACCTTACTGTTTGCCTAACCTCAGAACCCCATTACTAGGTATCCTTACAGTGTATTATCCCTGCATGTATTTCATCTTTAACCTGGCAACTTGATTCGTTAGTGCAGCCTGCTAGTTCTCCAATCCCTCCCACTTCATGTGTCAAACTTTATTGGGGGCAATTAAAGATAAATAACTATCTCCAGAAAGAGGGGGACTCCCTATTTAGTTAAAGTACTAAGAAGCGTACGACCAAGGGGAACACAGGCCATATTCCATCTGTGTGCCACGTTCCATCAGGAGCCAATTTCCAATAAGTGCCCTGATGATAGAATCATATGAGTTTACCAAGGAGGACGGACACATGGAGGAATCCTAGAGACAGTGCTATTATCATCATCAATCATCTTTCACATGCTGCATTTAGGTTTGTGTTTATTGTCTAGCCATGTGTGTCCTGAAACTACCATTCCAAAGATCCACTACCTTTCTTACTAGTGTTTATCTCCACATCTCCTGTACATACCACTAACATGAATCTAATTATGACCATACTCATATTCTTGGTAATCCTTTTCTCACTCTAATCATGTTCCCATCGCAATCCCCATAAGCACACACCAAGCTGGAAAGCAAATTCTTATACACCAGGGCTTGCTCTATTGGTGTACTATTTCTGCTGAGTGCTGATGGAGAGTGTTAAATACAGTTCTCTTCCCCCACCCACATTGTAAAACCAGTCACAATACCACCAGAGAAAAATAATGTCCAAATTCCTATTTCATGCTGCTTGTCCTTGCAAATTATGTGGAGTCTAAGCCTGATCCCTCAGCTGATTCGATTCCTAGTCTCCCCGCTAAAAAAGGCCTCTCCTTTGTGCATTGTAGCATTCACAGCTTAATTTCTAAACTGGATGTGCTGCAAGCTTGGTGCTCCTATTACAAACCAAGATCATTGTGCTCCTGGAAACATGGCTGACAGCAAAAAATACCTGACTGTCATTTCACTACATATATTCATGCTTCAGAAATGACAGAGCAAAGAGAGGAGGGAGCATTGTTATATATGCTGACAAGTTCATAAATAACCACTATACTAAACTATAGCTTCCCTGACACCTTTTATTTCCTTTCTGGTAGAATAAAGATTCTGTTTAGTAAACATATCATTGTTGCTAGAATCTATCGTCCACTTAGTTCTCCATTGCATTCCCTTTCCGACATAACCCAACTCCATGAACTATCACTGTGCCTACAGACAATGGTGAAATACATGCACAAAAATGGCAAAAGCCCAATACTTCAATGACAATTTGAACAATGGCATATCAAACCCAAGAAATATTTGGAAAATCACAAGTAACATACTCCCCAAACGACTTCTAAATGTCCACTGTCAAAGTGGGCAACCAAATTCTGCAACACCCCCTAGATGTAGTAGATCCCTTCAATAACTATTTTGTCAGATATGCCACTACCCTAATTGCTAAGCTAACAAATTACACATTCTGAAATTATCAATGTGGATCAGGCACCACTAAATTTGCACCCCATACAGAGAATCTATATTTTAGACTTCTGCTTGCTGGTGTCATTCATAAACACCGTAATAATTTAAAAATGAAAAAGGAGTGTGGATCTGATCAAATCCCAGCAAAGTTGCTGAAGCAATTACTAAACCTGTCGCAAACCTAATCAATGAATTCTTAGTGAACCCTGTGGAACACACCACCAAATAAAGACTCACTTTGTGGAGCGCTAATGGAATATGCTTACCCTACTATATACTAAAGGAGATGTCATGACGCAGTGCCATGACATCAAGAGGGGCGGACTCTCAAGGACGTCACGTTTGGCCCGCAATGTCACTTCTGGGTTCGGATGAAGGAGGTATAAGCAAAGGCTGAGACTGTACACACCCCCGACCACTCTGCATTACAACTGGCCACCGAAGGAGTACGGCGACCAATCAGATTAAGATCACAGATTTATAAACCGTCTTTTCAGGAAACAGACAATCTGATTGAGAAAGCTGACCGGCGAAATGCATCTCGGAGTTAGAGGAGAGTCCACTTCACAGATTTCTGGGACTGGTATCACTATACATACCTCTGTTTTTGAGACTTGAGCCTATCCTAGTAGGGCTCTATACCATGTGAGTTTGATCTATATCTCCTGCATATCACACGTTGGTTCCATTGACATACTAAACCATTTTGTGTTTAATTTTTCTGTTTTAGAAGATATTGTCTTTATATATCCCTATGAGTGGGAGAATACTGTCATCTGATCCCCTTAGCGCACTACTGAGTGAGTCTTTCTTTGGTGGTGTGTTCCACCGGGTTCACTCTTCTTGGCATTTCTATTTGTGTAAACTTGGGATATTTTACATGTGTGTTGAGCTGCTATATATATTTATTTGATGTGTATTTATAATTACGTGCCTTATACATTGCACAGAGCACTTTTTCAATGAATCCTTAGTGTCTGGATACATACCTAAACTTAGGAAGACTGCAAGAGTAATACTTATCCATAAAAGTGGTGAAAATACTTTGGTATCTAACTATTGTCCGATATCATTGCTCCCTATATTGTGTCAAAAATCTTGGAAAATTGTGTTCACACACAATTATGTGAGTATTACCAACAATCCATCTAGCTAATCCCTGATCAATCAGGCTTTCGTCCAAATCACTCCACTACAACTGCCCTCTTAAAAGTTTGCAATGACATCTAAAACTGGCATGGAACAAGGAGACCTAACTGGAGCTATTTTCCTTGATTTTGCCGAGTTCTTTGACATAGTAGATCATGGCATTCTATTGCAAAAACTTAACAATTCAGGTGTTAGTGATTAGTCCGATAACCTGGTTTCAATCATATGTATCAGATCGATCACAATGTGTCCATTTCTGACAGTGCCTGCCTTTCTCTCCCAGCCATGTGTGGTGTTCCCCAAGGCTCCATACTCTGCCCCCTACTATTCAAATTATTCATAATTTATTTGCCTAACGTCTGGAAAGCTTCAACTGTACACATGTATGCAGATCACATCATACTCTCCACTAGAAAACCAAATCTACCGCAACTTGAGGTTGTGCTCCAAGACCAGTTCACAAATGTAGAAACGTGGATCACAAATAACAAACTATTTATAAACACTGAAAAAACTGTTTGGAAGGGTGGCACTTCACCCTTAAACAAGATTTCTGGGACTTAACATTTAAGTGCCACCCTTCCAAGTTGGCCCCAGGCTGATTAACCTCAGACCAAGGATTATAAGGCTCTGAATAAGGTGAGCTCAACACTTGGTTTTATTATTGGAAAATCTATTTTAAATATACTACACTATTGTTTTTTCTCTTTTTGTGTTCTGATTGGAGGTGCATCTTTAACAGAAGAGGGTTGTGTTTCTGCCCCAATAGCACAAAGGCATTAAGTAAGGAGCCAATAAACTTAGGATCCTGTCAATGTGAGTGATTATCTATACGCACAAGTGCTACAGTTACAATCTGCACTATATTTGTTTTTGTATTTTCTTTTTTATATATTCAGTGTCTTTCCTGAACCCTAATGTTTTTTATTTGCACTATTTAGTGCTCCACTATTGTAAATAGGGTTACTACTTATGTCACCTGCATAATATTATTTAGTGTGTGGAAGAGGGTATTCTTACACATGTGTGTTTAGAGCTGCTTTTTTATGTTTATAATTTTAAGCCCTTAATATTGGGTACACTTTCTCCTATTAGAGATTTATTATATTGTTTTAAATAAATTATTTAGTTTATGGTCTATAAAATGCATTAAGAGGAAGAATGTTATTTTACCCCTATAGTTTTCCTTTATGTTTGCACGTATTTGGCAGTAACATGACTAGTTAAGACATCATATCACAGGTATCTCCAGTGTCCTTGTATTTTGGATTCGGTTTCAACTGTTTTCAATTGTCACCTAAACTCTGACAGAGATCTTTTATTCTTCATGTTCGTGGTTCTGGAGAGAATGGGATTTGGAGATAAAATAGAGGAAAATGTATTTATACTTACCGTAATTTTCTTTTCCTGGCTATTATTCATGGCAGCATATAAACATGGGTTAGCGCCTCCACTTACAGCCGATAGGACAGGAATAAACCAAATTCCTTTAAAAGGAGTATCCCTGCATAGGCCCCTCAGTCAGTAACAAGCTCCTACAGAAGAAGTAAAACCAACACTGGGTGGGTAGTATATGCAGCCATGAATAATAGCCAGGAAAAGAAAATTACGGTAAGTATGAATACATTTTCCTCTTTCCTGGCTAATCTTGGCAGCATCTACACATGGGAATACCCAACCTTACCAAGGAGGGACAGAAACATTCATAACTGGCAATCAAATAATTAGAACAATTCAACATAGATTAGAAGATTGAACTGAGTTAAGGACGTGACGTCCAATTTGCACCTCATTGATTGCTTCAATATCCAGTATGTAATGCTGGACAAACAAGTTCAAACAGGTCCAAATACCAACTTTACAATTGCCATGGAAGCTGCAACTGCACTAGTGGAGAGTGCCCTGAAAGCCTTTGGTACAGGTAGAGAATGGCATTGAAAAGCTTTCACTTTAGGCAGGATCTCTGGTGCTAAATGCAAGACAACCAGGTCTTGTTGAAATTCACTGAATGGGGGTACACAGGATCAAAACTGGAGTTCACACATTCACCTTGTTGAGGTACCAGCCACCAGCAACAGCATCGTCTGTGCTAACATCATGTAATCTCCTGCTAGAGGAACGAATGATGGTTTAATCAGAGCCTGGAAAACCAGTGGTAGGTCACATATGAAAGCTTGAGTTTAATTGCTGCTTACATGAAGCAAAGCACCAGGGGATCCAATACTCAATAGCTACCCTTCAGTACAGATAGAGAATGACATTGATAAGCATTCACCTTGGAAGCTCTTGCTAGAGGTTCGAATGGTGGTTTAGTCAGAGCCTGTAAGACCAGAGGTAGGTCACATATCGACTTCAACACCCTCAGTGGAGGCTTGAATTTAATTGCTGCTTGCATGAAGCAAAGCTCAATGGGTACCTATCCATGTGAAAAGTGCCAGTCTGTGCTCTAGAGTGTTATAATTCAGACCATATCAAGGCCTGATTGAT